AACACACCCGTAATCCCAGCTACTCAGGAGGCTGAGGCAGGAGAATCGCTTGAACCAAGGAGGTGGAGGTTGTAGTCATCTGAGATGACACCATGGAACTCCACCCTAGGCAACAAGAGCAAAAATCCCTCTCAGAAAAAACAAAAAATGAGAATCCACTTCAGTTTACCACGAAGAAACCAAGAAGGATTACACTTATCCACTAAATTTGATCAATCAGGAGATAATTTATATAGAAGATTTCCACCTCTAAGTGAAATCATGTAAGTTGAATTAATTAAAACTATAGTAGATCTTTCATATTACTTTCACAGAAAGTAGTTTTAACATTCCTATCAGTCTCTTTAGGCTAATCCTCGTGTAATTCACATAGATCAAATGAGAAATGAAAATGCACTCCTTCAGGCTGGGCATGGTGGCTCACGCCTGTAATCCCAGCACTTTGGGAGGCCAAGGCAGGCGGATCATGAGGTCAAGAGACCAAAAGTGAAACCCTGTCTCTAGTAAAAATACAAAAACTGGTTGGGTGTGGTAGCACATGCCTGTACTCCTAGCTACTCGGGAGGCTGAGGCAGGAGAATCGCTTGAACCCGGGAGGTAGAGGTTGCAGTGAGCTGAGATCACACCACTGCACTCAAGCCTGGGTGACAGAGTGAGACTGTGTAAAAACAAAAGAAAATGCACTGCTTCAAAAACACTGAGTACATTAACAAATACCAAGCTGCTAATGAACACAGTAAAAACAAGCTAACATTCTGAGGTGTCAGGAAAGTCAATTAGGCTATATCATATAGTGTCCCAAACGATGTTTCTGGTGGACACAAACCACCCGGATGCAAACCACTGCATGGGTAGCAACATGACTAACAGTGTATAGACACTTCTGAAATTCTTAAATCCTTTAGAAACTTAGAGATAACCCACAATGTTGCCTAATGCAGTGTTAAATAAGTATATTATATACTTATTATATATACACGATTTGAGAGACATAAAAATTAATACAACTTAGGTTAGTATCAAACTACAAAAGCAAATACTAATTGGCTAATACTGCCAATGGTTTACTTGGCAATTACCTAAGGTTTTATAACAATCAATTTACTAAAGTAAAAAAAAAAATTAACCACACTGTTTTTAGAGCTATGCACACAGTTCTAACCCCATTATTCAATCCAGTAATTCCTCCGTAAAAAAATAAGGACACTTGGAGTTTCAAGGAACTTTAAGAGAATTTTGTCCAATCTTCTGATTTTATAGATCAAGAACAAGAGGACAAGAGAGATTAAATGACTGACTCAAGATCACATATGGAAAACAGCAAAAGTTCTGGTTTAGTACTTTCTACAACTTCACTGTAAAAACTAGTTGACTCACTAAAAATATTCCACATAATGGCTTAATTATACTTTTCAAGATATAACCATAATTCAATGGTTTATTTATAAATAAACCTTAAGCTAAAATGTACACAATTAACAGCTTAGTGTATACACACACACACACACACACAAATACGCTTCATTTTTAAAACAAGGTATCATTCACGTTTTTAAAATAATCATTTTAATATAAAAGACTGATGTTTACCTTTATAACTGTTATACAAACATCAAAAAGTGTGATCATTTTAAGCCACCATTCTAAAACAAAGTTCAAAAGTTTTCTTGTCTGCTGCTAAAAGTAAAAAAACTCCCAATAACAACAGTCTGTAGTAAATTTTAAGATTTAAGTTTTGCCCTACAGAAATAAAAATACCCTGAGTTCTTATGGAGACCATTTATGCATTAAACCAGGGAAAAATTGCTGACACTTAAGCAACATGAAAATTGAAGTTTAAGGCCAGGCGCGGTGGCTCACACCTGTAATCCCAGCACTTTGGGAGGCCAAGACTGACAGATCACTTGACGTCAGGCATTCGAGACCAATGTAGCCAACATAGTGAAACCCCATCTCTACTAAAAATACAAAAATTAGCCGGGTATGGTGGTTAGGCCTGTAATCCCAGCTACTCAGGAGGCTAGGGGCACAAGAATCACTTGAACTCAGGAGGTAGAGGTTGCAGTGAGCTGAGATCGTGCCACTGCACTCCAGCCTGGGAGACAGAATAAGACTCTGTCTGAAAAAAATTAAAAAATAAAAATAAATAAAAGTAAAAAGCATGTAATGCGATAATGCAGCAGAAAGACTTGCAACAAACTCTTCAGATCACTTTAATTAATTATCTACCGATTCCTTCATGACATCTTAGTACTCTGGGATACTAAAAATAGAAAATGCTATGATTATGTTTAAATATTCTATATATAAACTAATAAGAAGGAAAAAAGCCAAACTAAAAGGGGCAACTACTATTTAAAGAATTAACCCCAGATAATGTCCTAATAGAAGTACTTTATCTCTCTATTACAAATGGCTACTACTTCATTCGTAATAGAGACAAAGTGCTTTTAATTTCTTAAAATTAAGAAGTTAATTTTAAGCCAGATGCAGTGGCTCACGCCTGTAATCTCAGCACTTTCGGAGGCCGAGACGGGCGGATCACAAGGTCAGCAGTTCAAGACCAGCCTGACCAACATGGTGAAATCCCATCTCTACTTAAAAAACAAAACAAAACAAAACAAAAATTAGCCAGGCATGGTGGCACGCACCTGTAATCCCAGCTACTGGGGAGGCTGAGGCAGGAGAATTGCCTGAACCCAGCCTGGGAGACAGAGGGAGACTCCGTCTCAAAAAAAAAAAAAAAAAATTAATTTTAATTTTTAAAAATTAAAAGCACTTTATCTTTATATAGTGCTGCCTCACAGAAAATCTAATGTAAGGCAAAATACCAAAAATATGTAGAGGCCACCAATACTGCAAGACCACAATAAGTACGACGATACATTGAGTATATGGTTAAAAATAAATGTAATGGACACTCTTCACTCATAAAGGAACCACTGAGTCAATGAAAGCCAATTACACACACAATTTTACCAAACCTGAGTATTTAATTTTCAAGCCCATAGCTGATGGGAGCTGGAGATCAAAATGTCATTTTGCAAGTAGGTAAAGAAACTGAAGCTCAGAAAGATGAGACAGAAAATCCAAATTTTCTAACCTAGGAAGGTTACATACTTATACACTCCTAACAGCAGGGAACGACAACCCTGACAACCTGCAGAGAAGGCAAAAGCCTTAAAAAGGAAACACAACCATTCAAATGCGCAGAATCCTACTACAAGATCCTACAGGATCTCAGAGCATCAATAATTCTGAATCAGAAAGAAATAGCTGAGGCGGGCAGATCACCTGAGGTCGTCAGGAGTTCGAGACCAGCCTGGCCAACATGGTGAAACGCCGTTTCTACGAAAAATATCAAAAATTAGCTGGGTGTAGAGGCAGGCGCCTGTAAACTCAGCTACTCAAGAGGCTGAGGAAGGCGGAGGGCCAAGATAGCAGCCTGGGCAACAAGAGCGAAACTCCGTCTCAAAAAAAAAAAAAAAAAAAAAAAAAAAAAAAAAAGAATAAATGTCTGTATCTTTCCTGGATTTTATGGCACGATTCAAAATGTATAAAGCATTCAATCCCCTCCCCTAATCATTGTTACGAATAGCAATTACCGGCTATCCTGTTATCAAATGGGAATACACAAATATAAAAACGTGTATGTGACCGACACACAAACACACACTTTTTTCCCTGGTTTTAACTACTGAAAGTTAATATGGAACCCCTTAATTTCTAAGACATCTAATTGTTCTTTGGACAACTATGCTACTACCAAACTACAAAAGCAAATACTTTTTGTGTTTACTACTGTAAAATTTTGGTTATACACAGAAAGTGCTATTGTGGGAAGAAATTAAAATCAATGCACAAAATGAGGCTTTTATAAAATTTCCAAACGACTGTGCGTATTTCTCGCCAGCAGATCTAGACTTTGCTCCTTAAGATTAAACATGAGCCAAATTAGCACACTTCCCCTTCAGGCATACAGAGCTCCGAAAAATCATCACCTTCCTCCCAAAGAGTAATTATCTCCTTCCAAAAGCCTGCGCGGCTCATAGCTCCTCCAAAACATGGGAGAACTTCTCAAGAGCTCAGGTAAGACCCTGGACTTGAGTTTTAGGAGAATGCTTAACAAAGTGGCCTGTGCCACTTAACTGCACCACAGCCACTGTGGTGTGAGAGGAAAAGGTCGAAAGAGGAGGAAAGCTAGTCTTCAATTTATTCCCTGTGATTCAGGCTCTTCACCCGTCACTCTCCAACCCTAGCCTGACAGGACGTCAGGCTGTGTCTCCCCCTTCCCCAACAGCCCCGCGACCTACCCCGCAGCAGTGCTGAGTCTTAGGATTTTGAAGCTTTAAAAATCAACCTGGCTTCTTAAGAGTTCAGGCCGCAGCCGCTGCCGCCATGTTACAGCTTGTGCGGCAAAATGCGTCAGTGAGGGAGGTGTGCGCCTGAGTAGGGAAGGCGGGGGCTAGCAGAGGAAGGGCTGTTCCCAGGCCCCGGGACTCGACTGCAAGCCTTCTCCTACTCCAACAGCGGCAAAGCTACTGCTGCGGCCCTCGGGGACCTCCTTTGGGCCCAAACAGCCCGATACCTCAGGGGAAAGACGGTTAACACGGCCTGGCCAGCAGCGCCGGCTCCGCCCCTCTTCCCAGGCCCTTCCCGCTTTCGTACCCCGGGACTACTGAAATGACGCCACCAAAACAACAAGAACCTCACGCCACTTACCTGCACCGGTAGAGTTTCCTCTTCTCTGGGTACGGGCCTTTTAAGCGCTTCAAATCTACCGCCGCCAGAAAAGGCGCTAAAGCCCGCTAACCGCCTCCCTCCCCGACAACTGAGTCCTGGCGTGGAGAGACCGCGTCGCACCGGAAGTGCGTGAGGAGTGGGTTGACGGCATCTGCCAGCGTTCACCTGCTTGCGTCACCACGCCCTCCCGGGACGTCTAGGATTTTGGTGCCTTTTAAATACCTAAGGTTATAAGTAGCGCAATGCTTTGTGGGCGGGTTGACTGAGAACGCTTGTAATAGTTAAAATGCCATATCCTTCGTGAAGTCAACTGTCTCATTTAATAAACATTTATTGATATTACGCCAGGTTATTAGAAAGGAAGGCCTACCTTCATGGAGCTTCCAGTTAAGCTTCCACTTAACGCTAGGATACAAGTTCCAAAAAACGCGGTGATGAACAAAGTGTTATTTGAGGAAAGAGTAAGAAACTTACAAAGAGCTTTCATGTTCTTTGTTGTTTTACAGATAAAGAAATTGAGGCTCAGGAAAGATAAGTGCCTCCTCCTCAAACACAGTGTTTCCTGAATACCAAGACAAATCTTTTGATGCCAAATCCAGTGCCTTCTAAGAAAATATAGCATATATTATTTATTTTCAGGGGCAAGGGTCCCCGGATTATGTTAGAAATAAATAACCATTGCTGTTTGGGCAGAGGAGGGGAGGTAGGTAGCGATTTTGGTATGAATGTGGGGTGTGTTTTAAAGGACCTGGCTAACTGGAGAACTTAAATAGTTCCTGTCATTTAAAAGCAACGTAAGTTATGATCATTTAAAATTTTCACTCACTTACATCAGGTAAATTAATTATCAACAACAGTTGGGCCGGTGGTGCATCTAAGAGGCTTGACCGGTTTTACATAGCAGTAAAACAGGGCATTTCTACCTCTCCACCCCGGCCACCTTTAAGTCATTGCCCTTTATAGCAGGAGAGCAGCAGCATATTCATTTTTAGACAGTTCAGAGATTAAATGGATTTACATTTTGCAGTGGGGCAGAGAGGGGGAGGAGACAATTCTGCATACCTTAAAACAGGGGTTCCCAACCCCTGGACCACAGACTGGTACTGGTCCTTGGCCTGTTAGAAAGACAGTCACACAGCAGAAGGCAAGGGGCAGACAAGCAAGCATCACCTCCTGAGCTCCACCCCCTGTGAAATCAGCAGCAGCATTAGATTCTCATAGGAGATAGAACCCTAATGTGAACTGAGCATGCGAGGGATCTAGGTTACCTGATCCTTATGAAAATATAATGCCTGATGAACTGAGGTGGAACAGTTTCATATCAAAACCACCCCACTCCCCACCCGTCTATAGAAAAATTGTTTTTTTCTTCCACAAAACTGGTCCTTCGTGCCAAGAAGGTTGAGGACCACTGATATACATTATAAATAGTCGGATTTCAGGAAACTCTTAAGTACTGAAGCAGTATTACTGATGTCAGTTCAAGGACCTGTGACTGGTGTTGAGCCATGATGAAGTTTTCACTGCTTTTTTCTTAAGTAAGAATGGTCTTTTAAATTTTGTTTTGAAATTAAGTTTGTTACTTATTTTAGCATTAAAATATCCTTTAATGAAATGATGGTTGTAGAATGTGGTAGTTGTTTTCTTTCATTAGATATCCTTACTTGGACAAATGAAAAACTGGCATACTATGTTAGGCCTTAGATAACGCTGAAATTTCATTTGTGAAATCCCAAATCATCCTAAATTGATTTGACATGGATTTATTATTCCAGGAAGGGAACTGTTGCAAATGCAAGGAAATGTTGTAATCTCTAACAATACTGTGGCTTGAAAAGGTTTATTTCTCTGTTACATAATAGGATTTAGCTGAGAGAACAGCTCTGTTCCATGTGGTTATTCAATAGTTAATACTGAGTCTCTGCTGGGCTGCGGTGGCTCACGCCTATAATCCAATATTTTGGGAGGCCCAGGCAGGTGGATCACCTGAGGTCAGGAGTTTGAGACCAGCCTGACCAACATGGAGAAACCCTGTCTCTACTAAAAATACAAAAAATTAGCCAGGTGTGGTGATGCATACTTGTAATCCCAGCTACTTGGGAGGCTGAGGCAGGAGAATCGCTTGAACCTAGGGGACAGAGGTTGTGGTGAGCTGGGATTGCACCACTGCACCCCAGTCTAGGCAACAAGAGCAAACTCTGTCTCAAAAAAAAAATATTGAGTCTCAACTTGATTGGATTGAAGGATGCAAAGTATTGTTCCTGGGTTCATCTGTGAGGGTGTTGCCAAAGGAGATTAACATTTGAGTCAGTGGACTGGGAAAGGCAGACCTGCCCTAAGTCTGGGTGGGTACCATCTAATCAGCTGCCAATGAGGCCAGAATAAAAGCAGGCAGAAGAACCTGGAAAGACTGGACTGGTTTAGTCTTCTAGTCTATATCTTTCTCCCATGCTGGATGCTTCCTGCCCTCGAACACTGGACTCCCAAGTTCTTCAGCTTTGGGACTCAGAGTGGCTTCCTTGCTCCTCAGCTTGCAGATGGCTTATTGTTGGAACTCACCTTGCGATTGTGTGAGTCAATATTTCTTTTTATTTTTATTTTTTATTTTTTATTTTTTTGAGACGGAGTTTTGCTCTAATTACCCAGGCTGGAGTGCAATGGCGCAATCTCGGCTCACCACAACCTCCGCCTCCTGGGTTCAAGCAATTCTCCTACCTCAGCCTCCCGAGTACCTGGGACTACAGGCTGCGCCACCATGCCCAGCTAAGTTTTGTATTTTTAGTAGAGACAGGGTTTCACCATGTTGACCAGGATGGTCTCGATCTGTTGACTTCGTGAGCCACCACGCCCGGCGAGTCAATATTTCTTAATAAACTCTCCTTTATATATACATCTATTAGTTCTCTCCCTCTAGAGAATCCTGACTAATACATTCAGGGATGTGAGTCCCTCCCATTATGTTATTACAACATACCCCAGGGCCTTATCACTAAAAGAATAGAGAGTTTTGCTTTGGGTTTCAGGTGACAGGAAGAGGAAAGAAGAGGCGATATTTTAAGCCTAAACCAGAGAATAGCACATGCCACTTTGGCTCTAATTCCATCAGTGAGAACAAAATCACAGGGCAAAACTCAGTTACAAGATTCTGGGGAATGTAATCTTGGCATGTGCCCAGAAAGAAGTCAAAAGGTACTTAGTAGAAAATTGCCAGTCTGGACCACATACCACATTAAAAGAGGGTTATTTGCATGATTAGTTTGTGTGACCGTTCTACACTGTGGGAAGATACAAGATTCACTATAATGTTGTAGTGTTTTGAAATATTTCTGGACTCCAGCACTCTTAGGTCACTTAACATCACTTTTAATAGCAAATAAAAATTGTAAACAAAAACTCCAGGCATGGAGGCTCACACCTATAATCCTAATACTTTGGGAGGCCGAGGTGGGTGGATCACCTGAAGTCAGGGGTCGAAGACCAATCTGGCCAACATGGTGAAACCCCATCTCTACTAAAATACAAAAATTAACCAGGCATGATGGTGGGTGCCTGTAATCCCAGCTACTCGGGAGGCTGAGACAGGAAAATCATTTGAACCCAAGAGACAGTGGTTGCAGTGAGCCGAGATCATGCCACTTGTACTCCAGCCTGGCGGCTGATGGAGATTCCACCTAAAAAAAAAATTGTTAACAAAAATATTTTTACAATCATCAAAACAGATTTCCCAGGGTGGCTTTAGTCTTTGACTTACTTTGCATGACTTCTTTTCTTTTCTCTCTCTTTTTCTTTCTCTCTTTCTTTCTTTTCCTTCCTTTCTTCCTTTCTTTCATTTGTTCTGACATGGTCTCACTCTTTTGCTCAGCCTGGAGTACAGTGGCTTGATCACTATCAGGCTCAGGTGATCTTCCCACCTCAGCCTCCCAGGCAGCTGGGACTACAGGTGCATGCTCCCACACCTGGCTAATTTGTTTTGCATTTCTTTGTAGAGATGAGGTTTCACCATGTTGTCCAGGCTGGTCTCCAACTCCTGGACTCAACTCAGCTGCCCACCCCAGCCTCCCAAAGTGCTGGGATGACAAGCATGAGCCACCACATCTGGCCAGCCTTTTTTTAAGGTAAGATTTTAAATTAAAATTTAGCTTACATACATAAATCATATATAAGCTTAATACATTTATTTACAAAGTGAACATCTAACCTCTACTATCTTGATGCTGGGTATATACCCCCAAAGTAAGGAAATCAGCATATCAAAGAGACATGTAGAGATCTCTTATACTTGTTGCAGCTCTGTTTACAACAACTAAGATTTGGAAGCAACCTAAGTGTCCATCAGCAGATTAATGGAGAAATAAATGTGGTATAGGCCAGGTGCAGTGGCTCACGCCTGTAATCCCAGCACATTTGGAGGCCGAGGCAGGTCGAACATGAAGTCAGGAGTTCAAGACCAGCCTGGCAAGATGGTGAAACCCCACCTCTACTAAAAAAAAAAAATTAAAAAATTAGCCGGATGTGGTGGAGGGCACCTGTAATCTCAGCTACTCAGGAGGCTGAGGCAGGAGAATCGCTTGAACCTGAGCAGCAGAGATTGCAGTGAGCTGAGATTGTGACATTGCACTTCAGCCCGGGCCACAGAGTGAGACTGTCTCAAAACAACAACAACAACAAAAAGAAACAAGAACATTGTACAAACCATAAAAATGAGCAAACAGGCCAGGTGTGGTGGCTCACACCTGTAATCCAAGCACTTTGGAGGCCAAGGCAGGCAAATCACCTGAGGTCAGGAGTTCAAGACCAGCCTGACCAACATGGTGAAACCCCGTCTTAAAAAAAAATGACCAAACATCCATTTATTCTTGCTGATATGAATAGCTGCTGTTTCTTTATCAATTACAGCTTTAACCTCACTTCATTCTTCCTGCCTTCTAGATCAAGATTATTAAAATAGAATTACCCTTGCTTACTCACAGCATCCAATCTAGAGAAACCACTCTAAAACTCGAGAAAATCACTTAACACATGCTAAATCCTTTTTTTTTTTTTTTGAGACAAGAGTCAGCTCTGTTGCCCAGGCTGGAGTGCAGTGGTACAATCTAGGCTAATTGCAGCCTCCGCCTCCTAGATTCAAGTGGTCCTTCTACCTCAGCCTCCCAAATAGCTGGGATTACAAGCATGTGCCACCATGCTTGGCTAATTTTTATATTTTTAGTAGAGAAAGAGTTTCACTATGTTGGCCAGGGTAGTCTTGAACTCTTGACCTCAAGTAATCCACCTGTCTCGGTCTTCCAAAGTGCTGGGAATACAGGTGTAAGCCACTGTGCCTGGCCAAGACTAAATACTATTATGATCCCCTTCTAACACCTTCTTATGGAGACACCTCTTAGGGTACAGTTTACTTCATTGCAACCAGTCAATAAACACAACTTTGTTTAATTATATGTGTGTTTCTGGTGGTTTTTGACTGGAAGGCAATGACATAAATCATGCTGTTTCATTTCTGTGTTTTTTCTCACATTTGTTTAAAAACCCTTTCTATGCTGTGCATTCAGATTACCTTCATCTCAGATCTATTATCAGTTGATCCAAGCAACCTGAATCAGTGCTGTACAAAATTATTGTCTGGGATTAGTGGTAGTCAAGGGTATTGGAGGACAGAAGAGGGTGAGGGAGACATGGGGAGTGACTGCTAATGGTTACAGGGTTTCTTTTTGGAGTTAAGAAAATGTTCTAAAATGTTAGCGATAGTTTTTCAACTCTGACTGTATTAAAACACCATTGAATAGTATATTTGAAATGGGTGAATTTTATGGAATGTAAATTAAATCTCAGTAAAGCTGTTTTAAAAAAAAGTGTGGGCTGCCAGCTGTCAGGAAGTGAGCATCCAGAAGCTAGATGTGTCCACTGGGAGTGACTTGGTGCTCCCCGATTGCACGTGCTGCATTGGCAGCATTTGTTTCAGGCATGGGGTTGGGGGCAGGCGGTTGTCTGAACATGGAGGCATGAACCACTGGACAGACTGACAGATGATGGTGGACTCCCACAGGCTCTGCCAATCATGCAGCCGCCACCATGGAGCCCAAGTTTGCTAGTGTTCTGGCCATAACATTCAAGGTTTTTTTCCTTTTTGCGGGGTTTATGGTTAATATTCCTGTGGGGTTAAATTTTTCCTGTAGATTACTTTTTCAAAGTCTGATATTAATGTCCCCTGAAGACCTTGACTTTCAGCAACCATTGTTGCAGGGGTCAGGCTTCACCTGGTGTTGGTAATTTATGTCTTCATAGTGTGGAAAGAGGGCTTGCCTCACTGGTGGGAAAACAAAACTGAGTAGAGCAGCTTTTCCTTTGGAGCTGCAAACGTGGGGGGTAGGCAAGTACATAAGGAGCTTTTTTTTGGGGGGGGTCTCTTGTTTATATTAAGTGTTCTTTACACCCCACCCCCTGAAGGGTGGATGGGGGGACAACTAAGTATTTACCACAGCTGAGTTTCTTTTTTTGTTTTGTTTTTTGTTTTCTAGAGATGGGATTTTACCATGTTGGCCAGGCTGCTCTTGAACTCCTGACTCATGATCCACCCATCTCGGCCTCCCAAAGTGCTGGGATTACAGGCATGAGCTACTGTGTCTTGCCCACAGCTGAGATTTTAGAAAAAAATGGGGGCTGGGGAGGGCAGACATTTTTCAATCATCTGTTATGTGCCAAGTGCTTTTTGTTAATGTCATATTTTTGACTGAGGATCATGTTTGACTGATGTAATTTTTTTTTTTTTTTAGACAATGTCTTGCTGTGTTGCCCAGGCTGGAGTGCAATCTTGGTTCACTGCAATCTCCGCCTCCTGGGTTCAAGTGATTTTCCTGTCTCAGCCTCCCGAGTAGCTGGGATTACAGGCATGTGTCACCACATCGGCTAATTGTTTTTCGGTATTTTTTAGTAGAGACAGGATTTCACCATGTTGGCCAGGCTGGTTCTGAACTCCTGAGCCTCGGCCTACCAACATGCTAGGATTACAGGCATGAGCCACCGTGCCTGTCCTGGCTGATGTAGATATTAATGCCAATATTAAAAGCTAAGATGAAGGTAGCACAGATTAATAGGAGTTGAATTTATTTCATATTAAAATGTATTGTGGTGTAATTTTTATTGCTTGGCTACAGCGACAATTTTCAGGGTGCACCCTCTTTGGTGCTACTCACAGAGATGTGGATGTGCTGTTGCTGCTTTCTAACTGCCTACTTTGTGGCCTCTTAGGATGATGAAGTTGATAAAGTAAACCAATATCATGGCTAAGTCTAGAAGACCTGGAAAACATAGGAATAAGTCCTGAACCTATTGTTCTTGTAATTGCACTACAGATATAAAGAAGCAAGTGGCTATTTCCACACACTGGGGGCTATAATTTGCAATCCAGAGATGATGGGAAAAAAATACCCTTTGGTGCATTGCAGAGATGCTACAAATCACCAAGCAAGCCATGGGATTGGATGTACCTATAACTGAGAAAAAAACTTGAGAGGAAGAGCAGTAAAACTCGCGAGGGTATCATTGGTATTAGATCTCAAAACCATGGCTTTTGGTTGAGAGAAACCATTTTTTTTTTTTTTAAGGAGGAGTCTTGCTCTGTTGCCCAGGCTAGAGTGCAATGGTGTGATCTCTGCTGTCTACAACCTCCGCCTCCTGGGTTCAAGCAATTCTGCTGCCTTGGCCTACAGAGTAGTTGGGATTACAGGCATGTGCCACCATGCCTGGCTAATTTTTCATATTTTTAGTAGACATGAGATTTCACCATATTGGCCAGGCTGGTCTTGAACTGCTGACCTCGTGATCTGCCTGCCTCAGTCTCCCAAAGTGCTGGGATTACAGGCGTGAGCCACTGCTCCCGGCCAAGGGAAACAATTTTTTTATGAGTAAATGTTCATCTCCGAACCAAAAAGTGAAGCAGACTAAATCCCGCAATATAAATATTGGCAACCTATGAAAGCTAGGAAAGTTTACAAGACTTGAAATGAAAGTTAAATTTTTTTTATGACCCAGAACCATGTCTATGTCTTAGCAGGCTAGTGAGAAAGGAACTCAAATGACCAATTAAGTTTCCAAGGAAGAATTCCAATCAGGCCAGGTGCCGTGGCTCACGCCTGTAATCCCAGCACTTTGGGAGGCCAAGGCAGGGGGATCACCTGAGGTCAGGAGTTTGAGACTAGCCTGGCCAACATGGTGAAACCCCCCATCTCTACTAAAATTACAAAAATTAGCTGGGCATGGTGGCATGTGCCTGTAGTCCCAGCTAGGCTGGGACAGGAAAATTGCTTGAACCCAGGAAGTGGAGGTAGCAGTGTGCCGAGATTGAGCCACTGCACTCCAGCCTGGGTAACAGACCAAGATTCCATATAGAACAAAAACGAAAACAGCAACAACAGAAAACTAGTTTTGACGGCTTAACCATTCCCTATGTCTTCATGGTTAATTGAAGGTTCCTGACACTAGACAAAAAATGTATTCTCTTTTGACTCTAATTTTTCCTTTATTCTACTTTAACAAATTTAAAATATTCTGCTGTTTATACGCCAGCAAATCTAGGAGTATTAAGACTAGTCAGTCATAAAGTAAACCTGATATATTAGATGTATGCCAGCCCCTATTCAATTTTATTTTGCTCTGTTTTCAGAAATGTCAGAATAAATATATATTGGTTACTGAAAATTCTAGAAGGAAATCTTCAAGTTTTAATTTTCTTCCAAGGGAGGGCATTCCTCAGCATCTTGCATACACTGTCAGAACTATTGAAATTTTAGGCCAGGTAAAGTGGCTCATGGCTGTAATCCTAAGCACTTCAGAAGGCTGAGGTGGGTAGATGGCTTGAGCCTAGAAGTTTGAGACCATCCTGGGCACCATGGGGAAACCCTGTCTCTACCCAAACTACAAAATCTTAGCCAAGCATGAAGACTTACACCTGTAGTCCCAGCTACTTGGGAGGCTGAGGCAGAAGAATCACTTATACCCAAGAGGCGGAGGTTCTAGTGAGCTGAGATTGTACCACTGTACTCTGTTCTGGGAGACAGAGTGAGACCCTGTCTCAAAAAAGAAAAGAAACGCAAACTGCGCTAAAATTGGTTTTATGACAAGAACCCTGACCACATAAACACAGAGCCTCCTCTGTAACCCACACAATAAGAAATTGGCACAGGGTATTCCAACAAGTATCAGTTTGTCTGGTACCTTTAGAGCCTTACTTTGTTGAAGTGATTCTCAGCTGAACATTATGTCTCTTGTAAATTTGGTAAGCATTCCATTTTGGTTATTTATTAGTGTTTTTTTTTTTTTTAAGTGTCAAATCTTGTGACTATTCAAGTACCATGGTAATTTTTTTTAAATATGGTCTGAAAACTGGTACCTATCCACGACATAAGTGCAGAAATTGAGAGTAAGAGTTTGCATACTTTCTTTTTTTTTTTCTTTTTGAGACAGTGTTTCGCTCTTGTTACCCAGCTGGAGTGCAATGGCGCGATCTTGGCTCTCTGCAACCTCCGCCTCCTGGGTTCAAGCAATTCTGCCTCAGCCTCCCGAGTCGCTGGGACTACAGGCGAATGCCACCACACCCAGCTAATTTTTGCCTTTTTAGTAGAGACGGGGTTTCACCATGTTGACCAGGATGGTCTCGATCTCTTGACTCCGTGATCCACTCGCCTCAGCCTCCCAAAGTGCTGGGATTATTGTCGTGAGCCACCGCGTCCGGCGAGTTTGCATAGTTTCAAAGCTACTTGACAGTTATTTCATATATGCTAAAAATGATAAAAATCCATACGTGCCTTTTCTATGTTTACATTTTTAAATTTCATTTTCCTATATATATTTTTGTGTGTATTATAAAAGTAGTAGTCCTCCAAGGACTAGGAGAAAAACCTCGCATAGTAGAGAATCACCTAAACGACCTGTATCTTCTTCAACATCTTAAGCCATGTACTGCGCTAGAGCGTCCCGGAATGAGGAACTACAATGCCCAGAATTCCCCCCAAAATACGTGAGCGACGTCTATTTCACCTACCTCGTCGCGGCGCCCCCTGGGATATGTAGTGCGTGACTTCCGCAGTGCATGCTACCCTCACCCGACATTTTTTCCTGGTTTGGGGGCAAGCTCTACCGTGGGAAATGTGATGTCTCCCGAGGAAAGGCAGTAAACCCTGGGATATGAGGGTTGGGCGAGACAACCGAGCCTGTTGCGTTCCATGTTGGGACAAGGAATAACCTTGACTTAATGAGCTTTCATAACCCCAGGATCCTCCAGAAAAGTTACGGCGCGCTGAGAGACAACCTTGCTGGTCAGTCGGGACTGGGTCGCGGCGGCAGTTTTTCTTTTCTCACCCAGCAGGTTTTTGAACTGGGGACATAGGGTTCGGTTGAGATACAGAGGCTCCCTTCCGGATACTGGGTTCTCTGAGGTTCCTATGATCTTGGGCAGGGCTGAGACCACGTTCATTCACTCATTTGTTCAGCTCTCCTGTATGCCCGGCGCAGAGGATACTCCCCGTAAGAGTCCCGAGGTCTCTCCTGTAGTTAAGTTCCTTCCTCAAGGTCATTCAGACGGGACAATGCTTGGGACTCGACATCTTTCTATGCTAACCATTGAGCTGCCTCCACTTGGAGCAGCTCAATGGATGGATAGTATCTTGAGGATACCTTTGATTGTGCAGGATTTTCTTGTGCGGGTGTGTGACCCAGGTCAGCCTGGGTCAGGATGCTGTACTGCTTGCTACAAAATAGCCTGTACTGTCGTGTCGTTTTTTCTTGTGAACAGAAAGTTTGGCATAGCCATAGAAAGGGGTCTGAAGCGGACTTTTAGTGATACAGTGTTGATTTGTTGGTGTAATGAGGCTTTAAGGTTGAAAGAACTGGGTTGTAGTCCCAGCTTCACTGGTACTAGAACAATTTTTAAAACCTTTTGAACCTATTTTTCCTTATCTGTAAAATGGAAATAATATCTACCTGGAAGGTTACTTGAGGGAATTTAATGAGATAATGTGTTTCAAACGTTCTTTGTAAATGAACATGTTGCAGAAGTATTAGATTATATGACTTTAGTCCTCGCTTTTCTTTTTCTTTTTCTTCTTCTTCTTTTTCTTTCTTTTTTTTTTTTGAGACAGAGTCTCGCTTTGTCGCCCAGGCTGGAGTGCAGTGGCGCGATCTTGGCTCACTGCAACCTCCGCCTCCTGGGTTCAAGTGATTCTTCTCTCTCAGCCTCCTGAGTAGCTGGGATTACAGGCGCGGGCCACTACGTCCGGCTAATTTTTTTTTTTTTTTGTATTTTAGTAGAGATGGGGTTTCACCATGTTGGTCAGGCTGATCTCAAACTTCTGACCTTGTGATCTGCCCGCCTTGGCCTTCCAAAGTGCTGGGATTACAGGCGTGAGCCACCGCGTCCAGCCTAGTCCTCACTTTTCTAACCATTGCTACTCAATTATAAATGTAAACATTTATAGCACATTTTAAAAACATGATTCTTTTTCATAATTATCCTTAGTTCTTACATTGCTTCAGCATGGCTTGAAACATTATTTAATTTCTTAGTATTTCTTGATTGGTGCTTTAATTGTCTCGTTTATTGGTTAAAACCAAGGTCTGTAATAATTAAATTGTATGACTTCTTTTATTTATTTATTTTTAATTTTTTTTTCCTCAGGAAGGAATTATTTGAGCTCTTCAAGGGCACAAGAAAAAGAAGCAAGAGCTGGGCGCGGTGGCTCAAACCTGTAATCCCCGCACTTTGGGAGGCCGAGGCGGGTGGATCACAAGGTCAAGAGATCGAGACCATCCTGGTCAACATGGTGAAACCCTGTCTCTACTAAAAATACAAAAAATTAACTGGGCACGGTGGCGCGTGCCTGTAATCCCAGTTACTCAGGAGGCTGAGGCAGGAGAATTGCCTGAACCCAGGAGGTGGAGGTTGCGGTGAGCCAAGATTGCGCCATTGCACTCCAGCCTGGGTAACAAGAGCGAAACTCCGTCTCAAAAAAAAAAAAAAAAGAAAAGAAAAAGAAGCAAGAAATTATCCTGAAAGCAAATGAACCAGAGATCATACATCTGAAAACTTAAAAAAAAAAAATAGCTCTGAATTAAAGCCTATACTTTTTAGAAACTTTAAAGGTAATTATTTTAAATAATTTTCCGGTTTTTCAAAAAGACAGCTTGAGTTTGTGGACTTTTTTTTCCCTTTTGTGGTAAATTTGAAAAATTTATGTGAATGTGAGACTTAAAACACTTTTAAAATGGGGTGCAGAAAGAAGCCCTTTTTTGGACATTTATTTTTGGATCAAATTCTGCTATCTGGTTTAAACTAAGAAAAAGTATTTAGTTAATGCAGATAAAACATATTACTTTAATTTGAATTTTGGAATTATTTTGATATTAATGATGTAAGCATAACAATGTCAAACTAATTCTTTTATAGAAGCCGTACATTGGAATGGGTTTACAGTCCTTGTAATGCAAGCAAAATACGCGAAGGAAAAACAGTTCTTTGTATCCCTGCTTATTGCACTTGAGACTTTGCAGATGGTTTTGTTTCCCTAGAAAATTTGTGATGTAAATGAAAAAACACATGTTTTCCTAGACTGATTGGTTACAAACATGTTTCGTCTAAGAGCTGTTTGTCCATTCTCCTGGAGAGTGTTTCATTCTCGACCCATCGGTTGTGAACCACTAATTATTCAGATGAATAAGTGTACAGATGAGGAGCAAATATTTGATTTTATTGAAAGAAACAAAGCCATACTTTCAGAACAGCAAGTGGGATGTGCATTTAATATGCTTTGGAAGCTTCAAAAGCAGAAGACCAGCTTGGTAAAAAATGTGGAGTATGTCAGAGACCATCCTCAATTTCTTACTCTTCATAATTTAGCTATGAATAAATACAAATTAATGAATGACGATACCCTGGTGAATGTGTTATACATCACACAACAGTAAGTAATTTACTCTTATATTTTATGGAAATGATTATATAGTTTATATTTTAATTTTCTAAAAGTCTCTTTAAAATGAAAAATAATTTTTTCCTGGTAGTTTTCCTGATAGTCTAATATTTTATAGATGTTTGGATGATATTCTTTGATACCTATTAGTTTTATTACAGTTGTAAAAATCAGAGTATAACCAATCATGAAAGCGGAAATGAATAACTTCGGATATTTGAAACTAGATTATTGTGGAATTTTGTAAAAATCTGGTTGGCTGCGCATGAGGATGTAGTAGGTAAATTAGATTTAAGATTAACTGGCCAGGCGTGGTGGCTCATGCTTGTAATCCCAGTACTTTGGAAGGTTGAGGTTGGTGGATCACCTGAGGTCAGGAGTTCAAGACCAGCCTGGCCAACATTGTAAAACCCCATTTCTACTAAAAGTATAAAAATTAGCTGGGCGTGTTGGTGAGCATCCAGTAATCCCAGCTACTCGGGAGGCTGAGGCAGGAGAATCTCTTGAATCCAGGAGATGGAGGTTGCAGTGAACCAAGATCATGCCACAGTACTCCAGCCTGAGCGACAGAGGGACACTCTGTCTTAAAAAAAAAAAAAAAAAAAAAAAAATCTGAGTCACGGCACCAAAAAAAAAAAAAAGATTAATGCCTAATAACAATCAGCAATTAGTAAATTATAAAATTGTAATAACCTATTTGCAATGTGGTTCTTGTAATTAAATGGATGGCAGATATGTTTTCTAGGGGCTATTAGTATAATAGGTTGTTTCTCAATAATATCTCTTTAAAAAAAGGAAAAGGAAATAAAATGATTTTGTAGATTCATTTATATTTGATAACAATGTTGTACAAATTATATGGATTCTTGATAGGTGTTACATAAAAAAGGGCTTCCTTGGTGTCAAAGGAAAAACTCAGAGATAAAGTTAAGTGTTAAGAAATACTACATTCCAGTTGTGGGATTTATAAAGAAAAAAATGAAGAGAAAAAAGGAAAAAACATAAAAAGAAATGTGTTGTTTGCAAGGAAATCAAGCCTTCAAAAGAACTGGGTTCCCTAAATGAAGGATTCAACAGTTGTACAAGGATGCAAAACACACAAAAGTTATAACTAATCTGTATATTAGTTTTATTGGTGAAAAACAGCAGTTTTCTCACATGATGACCCAACCATCGGGAGTTATTTAAATGGATCTAAACATTAGCATTACATAAATTAGAGATGGAAGTTGTTTTTGTTAGAGAATTAGCATTTGTAGGAGAGGGGCTTAAAGCTTATATTGGGGATTGATGTTAAACGAAAAAAGGATGATTCCATGTTGTGTTTTTTTTGTTTTACTTTTCTTTTTTTTTTTTTATATAGAGATGGGGTTTCACCTCGTTGGTCAGGGTGGTTTTGAACTCCAGACCTTAGGTGATTCACCCACCTCGACCTCCCAAAGTGCTAGGATTATAGGTGTGAGCCACCACGCCCAGCCTGATTCCATGTTTTTTGGTGGTCTTCCCTGGTTACAAAGTTTTTTTCTCTGAGGTACTTGAAGGGAATGCTTAAATCTTTATGAATAAGGTGATTGGTGACTATTGGCTGTTTAATTTTATTTATGTATTTTATTTATTTATCTGTGAGATGGTGTCTCACTCTGCCACCCAGGCTGAAGTACAGTGTAATCTCGGCCCACTGCAACCTCTACCTCTGGGGTTCAAGCGATTCTCCTGCCTTAGCCTCCTGAGTAGTTGGAATTACAGGCACATGCCATCACACCCAGCTAATTTTTGTATTTTTAGTAGAGATGGGGTTTTACCATCTTGCCCAGGCTGGTCTCGAACTCCTGAAGTGTTCACTCACTTCAGCCTCTCAAAGTGCTGCGATTACAGGTGTGAGCCACCACACCTAGCCACAAATATTTAAATCAAAACAAAGTAAGACATATTATAGGTACTTTTTGTTGAACATTATCATTGGTCAGTGGCATGCATATTGAAATGAGCAGATAAAAGGGTGAGAGGGATAAAGTATAAATGTTTATTAGACTTTACCTAGAAAACAGAATCGTGAAATAAAAGTGGACCAGAAATAAGGACTGCCCATATAAGAGGAAGATAACTGGAGGTTCACTTCTGCATTATAATTCTTACTGCATATGTTTTTGATGATTTAAAAATGAGTATATATGGAGGATTCTTTCTTTCTTTTTTATTAAGGTTTGTTGGTGAGGACTTCGACCCGTTAGTTGAAGCACTAGTTACAGAATCATGGAGAAGGCTAGAAAGGCAAGTACTCTGGGTACATCTTGAAGGTCAGGGTTATTCTTTTCAGGGTTAACACAGTGAAATCTTGAAGGAAAAGAACAGGGAGCTGATTGCCTATCAAGCTTCATTGTAAAAAATATATTTAAACTCAGTTTAGTTTGAAACTTTTTGATTGTGTAATGTATATTCTTTTCTTTCTCTTTCTCTTTCTGTCTCCCCCTTTTTTTTTTTTTTTTTTTTTTTTTTTTTAGAGCCTTGCCATGTTGTCCAGGCTGATCTTAAACTCTTGGGCTCAAGCAATTCTTCCTCCTTGGCCTCTCAAAGTACTGGGGTTATATGTATGAGCTACCATGCCTGGCCGTGTATTATTTAAGAGAGAAAAGAGAGTATTTCATATATTCCCTCTTTAAGAGTGGGGAATAGTATACTTTTCCACGTATGTAATTAGTTGAAATATAAATAAGATAGAGTCACAGCTATTTATGAACTAGGCTTTTTGAATCTTCTTTTCTAGAAGAATACTTCAGAAAGGAAAGATTCTTGATTTTAATTGGCTATCAATAAAAACCTACAAGTAGCATCTGTAGCTTCTTGTCTGTTACTCCATTTTTATGGAGAGGCAATGACCAGAGCTTATAGGTGACTTAGAAGCTTTTTAAAGAAAGCGAGCTTCAGGTCCACTATTGTGGATGGTATTAATTTAGATCTATTTCCTATACTATACACACTCTGCTTTTAGCATGTAGCCAAAGTATAATCATCCAGAAAAATAGGAAATCTTGTGAGTATAGAGGAATTTATTCTCTAAGTATATATCAGAAGCTCTTTATTTATAAAAGGGCTGATATAATAGCAGACTCATTTTGGGAAATCTTCATCTATTTCTGAAAACTTTGAATTTTTTAATCTAAGAATTCTGGATGATTGTAGTCTATTTATTGTTAGTGAGGTAAGGCAAATGTTAAGGAGGAAAGAGAAAAATCAGCGTGAGGAAGAGATAGGAGGATATTAAAAACTACAGAGCAACTCTCCCTCTAGGTCAAATAGAAACCAGACAGGAAAGGCTTGACTAAGATGAAGGAGAAACAACAGGCTATTTATTTGTAGACAGAGAGGAGAGACCATTCTGATTTTTAAAATATTTTTAACATATTGCCTCTTAAAGCTTAAACTATAATAAATACTTATAGACACATATTGCTAGATCATATGATAGCTCAATTTTTAGTTTTTGGGGGAACCTGCAAACTGTTCTCCACAGTGGTTGTATTAATTTACATTCCCAACAACGATGTGTAACGGTTCCCTTTTCTCCACATCCTCATCAGCATTTGTTATAACCTGTGTTTGGATATAAGCCATTTTAACTGTGATGAGATGATATCTCACTGTAGTGTAGACACATATTGGTAAACTCTGTAAGCTTCTATTACATGCGCTGGATTAAATTAACGGACAGAACAATTCTCTAGGTTTAGAAATTCTGTATCTACTAAGTTGTGATTTTAGTTAATCTAATTATCTAAATACATCTGTCTTCTTTTATACTTTCTTCCTATAACCATATTGAGGGTAAGCAGAGTAATCTTATTCCTTTTGTTCACAGTACGAATTATCTACTCACTGGATCTTTAGGATTAAATTTGGTCAGTGTTGATAATAGGTCACAACATTTTATTTCTCTTCAAAGCAACATTGCATTATGTGTATTATGCAGCTTGAGCAAATCACTGTAAAATAGGTGGTCTTTTGTGTTTTACAATTATTATACTAATTAAATTACTCATGTGTGATTGTATTTTATAGTGAATCAAGCATTTCTTGTAAATTTTTCTTTATTACAAATAAGTAGTACAGTGATCTTGCTAAAATATCTATGAACTTATGTTTTTTAAATATAATTTTTAATGATTTAAATGGGATGGATCATTCTAGATTAGTACTATATGATGGATTATGGCAAGGATAATTAACATGTATTTGAAATCTATATATATATTTTTTCTTTTGAGGTAGGGTCTGGCTCTGTTACAGTGGTGCAACCAGGACTCACTGCAGCCTCAAACTTCCAGGCTCAATCCATCCTCCTACCTCAGCCTCCCAAGTATCTGGAACCACAGGTGCATGCCACCAAGCCCAGCTAATTTTTATATTTTCAGTAGAGATGGGGTTTCACCATGTTGCCCAGGCTGATCTTGAACTCCTGGGCTCAAGGGATCCTCCCACCTTGGCCTCCCAAGAAATCCAAATTTAAAAAAAATACTTTTTATTATAGAAGATTTTCAACATTTGCAGAAGGAGAAAGAGTAGTACAATGAAATCCCATGTACCTGTCCTCCAGCTTCAACAATTATCAACATATAGCCAGTCTTGTTTTATCTGTATCACCTCCCATTCTCAGTGTACTTTAGTATATTTTAAATAATGATATTATTTCATCTTTAAATACCTCAGTATGTTTTTTTGAGAGAAGGACTTCTTAAAAATATAGAACCAGCTGGGCATGGTGGCACATGTTTGTAGTTTCAGCTACTGAGAAGGCTGAGGTGGCACAGCAAAGGATATTATCAGCAAAGTAAAGTGAGAGTACACAGAAGGGTAGAAAATACTGGCAAACTACACACCTGACAAGGGATTAATAACCAGCATATATGAAGAGCTCAAATGACTTGATAGGAAAAGGTATAATCGACTGAAAAATGGGCAAAAGATTTGAGTAGACATTTCTCAAAACAAGACATGGAAATGTCAAACAGGTTTACGAAAAGGTGCTCAACATCAGAGAAATGCAAATCAAAACTACAGTGAGATATCATCTCATCACAGTTAAAATGGCTTATATCCAAACACAGGTTATAACAAATGCTGATGAGGATGTGGAGAAAAGGGAACCGTTACACATCGTTGTTGGGAATGTAAATTAATACAACCACTGTGGAGAACAGTTTGCAGGTTCCCCCAAAAACTAAAAATTGAGCTATCATATGATCTAGCAATACCACTGCTGGATATATATCCAAAAGAAAGGAAATCTGTGTATTGAAGAGATATCTGCACTCTTATATTTGTTGTAGCACTGTATACAATAGCTAAGATTTGGAAGCAACCTAAGTGTCCATCAACAGATGAATGGATAAAGAAAATGTGGTATATATACACAATGGAGTATTATTCAACCATTAAAAAAATGAGATTCTGTCATTTGCAACAACATGGGTGGAGCTGGAGATTATTATGCTAAGTGAAATAAGTCAGGCATGAAAAGATAAACATCGCATGCTCTCACTTATTCATGGGAGCTGAAAATCAAAACAATTGAACTCATATATGTAGAGAGAAGAAAGATGGTTACCGTGGCTGGGAAGGGTAATGGGGGGTTGTGGGGGAAGTGGGGATATGGGTAATAAAAAAATAGAAAGAATAAATGAGACTTACTATTTGACAGCACAACAGGGTGGCTATAGTCAATAATAACTTAATTGTACATTTTAAAATAACTTAGAATATAATTCGATTTTTTGTAACTCAAAGGATAAATACTTGAGGAATCATTCTTCATGATTTGTTTATTTTGCATTGCATTCATGTATCGAAATCTCATGTACCCCATAAATATATATATACCTACTACGTACCCACAAAAAAATTTTTTTTAAGAGGCAGGGTTTCACCATATTGGTCAGAGTGGTCTCGAACTCCTGACCTCAGGTGATCCACCCCCTTGGCCTCCCAAAGTGCTGGGATTACAGGCGTGAGCTACCATGCCTAGCCTTTTTTTTAGTTTTAATAAAAAGGCTTAGGTGGGAGGATCACTTGAATCTAGATGTTCAAGTCTAGCCTGGGCAGCATAGCGAGACACTGTCTCTTAAAAACATAATAAAATTGATGAAATTAAATTAAAATTTTTAGTATTACCTAGTACCTTATCTGTGTTCAAATTTTCTTGATTGTCTTATAAAGGTCTTTTTATAGGCAGTTTGTTTAAATCAGTTTCTGAGTAAGGTTCACAATTACTGTGTCTCAAGTTTTTTCGTCTCTTTTTAAGTAAACTTCACAGAAAAAAACATATAAAATTACACCAATCATAAATATACAGCATGATAGATTTTAATATACTGATCACTTCTATGTAACAGCACCAAGATCAGGAAACAACGTCATTAATTCTTTTCATATTCTCTTTAGTCCTGTTACTCCAAGAGGATCTTGACCTCTAACACCATTAAAGTAATTTGTTTCTATAGAAATGTAGTATGTACCCTTATAGTTTAGTTTGTTCAGTATATTTTAAGGATTTATCCATTATGTTTATGATTCTGTAATTTTATTCTATTGTATGAATATGTGTGGTTTATTCATTGTACTCTTGATGGACATTTGGGTGTTTTGCAGGTTTTTGCTATTATATATGTGTTGTTATGAACTTTCTTATGCTTGTTTTTTAGTGAATTCAAGGTCATACAATCTATAACAGTCCCTTTTTCCTCTGTTTTGTCTTACCAATTACTCATGGAAAAATTGGATCATTTCTCCTATTAAAAATTCTGAGGCTTGGCCGGGCGCCGTGGCTCACGCCTGTAATCCCAGCACTTTGGGAGGCCGTGGCGGGTGGATCATGAGGTCAAGAGATCGAGACCATCCTGGTCAACATGGTGAAACCCCGTCTCTACTAAAAATACAAGCAATTAGCTGGGCATGGTGGCACGTGCCTGTAATCCCAGCTACTCAGGAGGCTGAGGCAGAAGAATTGCCTGAACCCAGGAGGCGGAGGTTGCGGTGAGCCGAGATTGCGCCATTGCACTCCAGCCTGGGTAACAAGAGCGAAACTCCGTCTCAAAAAAAAAAAATCTGAGGCTGGGTGCGGTGGCTCACACCTGTAATCCTAGCACTTTGGGAGGCCGAGGCTTGTGAATTGCCTGAGGTCAGCAGTTCCAGACCAGCCTGTCCAACATAGTGAAATCCTGTCTCTACTAAAAGTGCAAAAATCAGCTGGGTGTGGTGTAATCCCAGCTACTTGGGAGGCTGAGGCAGGAGAATTGCTTGGACCTGGTAGGTGGAGGTTGCAGTGAACCGAGATTGCACCATTGCACTCCAGCTGGGTGATGAGCGGACCTCTGCCTCAAGAAAAAAAAATTATGAAGTTTTTCATAGCACTGTTGTAGTAGCAGCTGTTATATTTGTTAACATGCAACCTTGAGTCAAAATTGTTCTGTCATCTCAAAAAATTAAGTATAATTCAAATAATTTTTAGTGATTTTCCCCCTTATGATATCTGACTTTTTAACTGTTACCATTTGTTACTTTTATAATAATAATAATCAACATTTTAGAAAAAAATAATTTTATGTGAGTAATATGTTATTGTTTTGATTGCTTTTAATTTTGTAACTATTATGTGTTTTAAGTGAAAGTAAATGCTAATGATCTCCTTTGTATGTTTCTTCGAATAGGTTTGATATTAAACTGCTATCAGAATTTTCCTCTTGCCTAGCAGAGCAGCATTTATATTTTAGTCCATTAATGGGAAAAATAGCTGATATTGTTCATAGGAACCTGGAAACCACACAGGACTTAAGGTAAATTTATTTAGGAAATCTTGTATTGTGGTAGAAGGATCCTAGGCTTTGGATGTGGATGCAATCAGATTTGCCACTCTTAGTTCATGTGACTTAAAGCTCTTGGAAGTTCATTATCCTTATCTGCAAAAGAGGTATAGTAATAGCTACTTTGCAGTGTTGCTGTGAGGATTAGACATTAGGTACATAAAGTGTAATACAATATTGGTGAGGTCTGTGGAGGATCTGACATTTTACCTTATTTGCAAACTAAGTTTGTCTGCCACATTTTAATGGGTGCTGGAGGAAGGCCTGAGACTCCTAGGTCAGAGACAGAGGACTTTGTTTTTTATAGTAATAGCAGTAGCAGAATACCAGCATTTTCTTATGTTGATTCCCTGAGCTCTTGTCCCACAATGGGTTGTGTTCCAGGAGAGGAACTCTGAGCTTAGGAAACCTGAATCTTTTATAATAATGCGTCTCCTCTACTCCAACAGGAGACATTATCTCTATTCTCCTAGGCTGTTTGCTACATAAACATCCTTGAAAAGATAGTTCTGAACAAAGGCAGTCAGAAACCCACAGAAAATGATCTCTAAGTATCTAGAACAGAAATTTCTCAGTAATGGATGGTAGATTTTATTATATCATGAAGTAAACCCAAAAAGTATTTAAGTATGAATTTACTGGCCAGGCATGGTGGCTCAAACCTGTAATCCCAGCACTTTGGGAAGCCAAAGCGAGTTAATCACGTGAGGTCAGGAGTTCAAGACCAGACTGGCCAACATAGTGAAAACCTTGTCTCTACAAAAAAATTAAAAATTAGCTGGGTGTGGTGATGGGTGCTTGTAATCTTAGCTACTCGGGAGGCTGAGGCACAAGAATTGCTTTCCAAAAAAATAGAAGAATAGAAAGAAAGATATTTGTTACTCAAAGGCAAACAGAACAAACAACAATAAAAAAGAATTGCTTGAACCTGGGAGACAGAGATTGCAGTGAGGTGAGATTGTGCCACTGCACTCCAGCCTGGGCAAGAGAGTGAGACTCCATCTCAAAAAAATAAATAAATAAAAAGTAAGTAAATTAAGTATGAGTTCACAAATTTTACATGCAATGATGTCTTTCTTATTCTTTCCGTCTGGGAATACTTTCTTTTCAGCTTCATAAAGGAGGCTTAATAATTACCTTTGCTGAATGTCAAGGAACTATTAATTTGAAAGTAACATTTGAGGAGTTTCTCTGGTTTTCACACCAGTGGTTTGTGGGTTTGTTTTATTTTTAATGTAAGATTACTTACTGTCAATGCTAACCTTCATAACCCAGTACTATGATTATCTTTGGTGTTGCAGATACAGTTTTTTCTACCATATTTACAAAGTGACTAGCACTTTGGTAAAATTAAATTATAGTAGTTTCCTGCTTTTCTTGTCCCTCTCCACCCTATCTCCCTGCCTTTTTTTTTTCTTTTGAGATAGAGTCTTCCTCTGCTGTCCCGGCTGGAGTGCAGTGACACAACCTCTGCCTCCTGGATTCAAGTGATTTTCATGCCCCAGCCTCCCAAGGCATGAATTACAGGTGCCCACCACCATGCCCCACTAATTTTTTGTATTTTCAGTAGAGTTGGGCTTTCACCATTTTGACTAGGCTGGTCTCAAATTCTTGACCTCAAGTGATATCTGCTTACTTCAGCCTCCCAAAGTGCTGGGATTACAGGCATGAACCACCATGCCTGGCACCCTGCCTTTAAAAAAAATACCTATGCGGCCGGGGGTGGTGGCTCACACCTGTAATCCTAGCACTTTGGGAGGCTGAGGCGGGTGGATCACTTGAGGTCAGGAGTTCGAGACCAGCCTGACCAACATGGTGAAACCCTGTCTCTACTAAAAATACAAAAATTAGCTGGGTGTGGTGGCAGGTGCCTGTAATCCTAGCTACTCTGAGGCTGAGGCAGGAGAATCACTTGAACCCAGGAAGCAGAGGTTGCAGTGAGCTGAAATCATGCCATTGCACTCCAGCCTGGGTGGCAAGAGCAAGACTCCATCTTTATAAATAAGTAAATAAAATATGCATGTGTGTATATGTATATATGCATGTGTATATATATATATATATATATATATATATATATGAGTATGTGTGTGTGTGTATATGTATTTTATATATATATATATATGCACTACCTCCTGGCTGCCTAAGATTCTCACCTGAGGGTGGTTTTATTTTTTCAATCACAAACACTTTTTAAGATACTTCTGGATAAACTCACTAATTATGCAGGAAGATTGCTTTTTTAAAAAGTAAGGTTTTATTAATATGTGATATTACAAATCTTAAATGTACAGTTGCATCAGTTGTGACAAATATATACGTACATCAAGATCAAGGTAGGGAATAGTTGCATCACATAAGAAAGTTCCCTCATGTTCCTTCTCAGTCAGTTCTACCCCCCTACTATGTCAGCAACTAGTGTTCTAATTTTTTTTTTTTTGAGACGGGGTCTTGCTCTGCTGTCCAGGCTGGAGTACAGTTATACAATCTTGGCTCACTGCAGTTGCCACCTCCTGGGTTCAAGCAATTCTCCTGCCTCAGCCTCCCAAGTAGCTGGGACTACAAGGGCCCGCCACTATGCCCCACTAATTGTTTGTATTTTTTAGTAGAGATGGGGTTTTGCCATGTTGACTAGGATAGTCTTGAACTCCAGACCTCAGGTGATCTACCCCCCTCAGCCTCCCAAAGTACTGGGATTACAGATGTGAGCCACTGTGCCTGGCCGTCTTTTGCTCATTTTAAAGAATTGTGGGACTGGGTGATGTGACTCATGCCTATAATCCCAGCACTCTGGGAGGCGGAGACAGGAGAATCACTGGCAGCCAGGAGTTCAAAACCAAGCTAGGCAACATAGTGAGACTCTGTCTCTATAAAAAATAAAACGTTAGCAGGAACTAACAAGGTGCATGCCACCACATCTGGTTAATTTTTATAGTTTTTAGTAGAGACAGGGTTTCACCATATTGGCCAGGATGGTCTCGGTCTCTTGACCTTGTGACCTGCCTGCCTTGGCCTCCCAAAGGGCTGGGTTTATAGGTGTGAGCCACTGCCCCCTGCCTAAAGGTGTATTCTTTTTTTTTTTTGAGATGGAGTTTCGCTGTTGTTATTCAGACTGGAGTGCAATGGCACGATCTCAGTTCACTGCAACCTCCGCCTCCTGGGTTCAAGCAATTCTCCTGCCTCAGCCTCCCGAGTGGCTGGGACTACAGGCGAGCACCACTGTGCCCAGCTAATTTTTGTATTTTTAGTAGAGACGGGGTTTCACCATGTTGACCAGGATGGTCTCGATCTCTTGACCTCGTGATCCACCCGCCTCGGCCTCCCAAAGTGCTGGGATTATAGGCGTGAGCCACCGCGCCTGGCCAAGGTGTATTCTTATGTTGTAGTTTTCTGATTTTTATATTATGTAAGAACAGTATTTTGAAAACAAGACCACAACTTAGTAATTTTGATGTCTTCTGGGTATCTAGGAAATCGATTTATGCTCCTCAAGTGTTTATTGAGTGAAGAAATGTTAAATGCCATCCCATATTCAGTACTGTCTTGCTGGTATATTTTAATATCAATCTAGCATAAAATATTTAAAAATATGAAATTATTCACTAGTGAGAAAAATTTTACCAAGCTTTTATTAGCAAATTATAGATACAGAGAGGAGTAATAAAAAAAGTCTACTTTTAAAAATGTGAAATGAAACTTTTAATATTATGTTCATGGGTTGTTGGTGCAAAGTGATTTCTGAGTTAAGTTTCACTAAAATATTTTCTACCAAAGTAGTTTTCTCAGCAAAACAAGGCATTTGATACTATCAATGAAAAGTATTACTCCCATGCCTTTTGTCTAAAAGGATTTGAATTCAAGTCACTAGTATTTAAAAGAAAAATTTTATGGCATAAAACTCATAATATATTTCTTACCACTTCCTTTCCATATCTCTTTCGTTTTAGAGTTGGTTATTTTTGGCTGGGTACAGTGGCTCATGCCTGTAATTCCACACTTTGGGAGGCTGAGGTGGGAGAATTGCTTAAGCCCAGGAGTTCAAGACCAACTTTGGTGGTCAAGACTGTTTCTACCAAAAAAAAAAAAAAAATTAGCTGGGCATGTTGACTTGGGCTTGTAGTCCCAGTTACTCAGGAAGCTGAGATGGAGGATACCTTGAGGCTTGAGCCTGGGAAATGGAGGTTACAGGAGCTGTGGTCGTGCCACTGCACTCCAGAGTGGATGACGGAGCAAGACCCTGTCTCAAAAAAAGAAAAAGAAAAAAAAAAAAAGAATTGATTATTCTTAAATAATGTAAAAATCTTTGCATCTTTTTTCTTTTTCAGTTCCTTGTCTGTCTTAATGGTCAACATATCTTCTTTAATATCACAACATTTTCAAGAACAATTGGTGAACAAAACAGAACTTCTTTTTGACACCATGGATTCTTCTGAGGTCGACTTTGCAAAAAGAATAGTACAGTTTCTTCGAAATGTTAGATATCGTTATCAACCACTATTAGAAAGGTGTAATAATGTATTTTTAAGTAATGTGGACCACCTCGATTTGGATTCCATCAGTAAAATACTTAGTCTACACAAATTTCTACAGTTTAATAGTTTTAAATTTATTATGGTGGCTAAAAAGAAGCTAACTGAAATGATTCCTCTGCTTAATCATCCTGCTAGCTTTGTAAAATTATTTGTAGCATTGGGACCCATTGCAGGACCTGAAGAAAAGAAACAGTAAGTTCAGTTTAAAATGCATTAATTTTTTTGTTGTGAATTTATGGAGGATTCAAACTTAGGTCTCCTTGCAGCTCTGGAAGGTACAGGTGTCACCCCCTTAGGTTGTGGAAGGGAAAATAATCTCTTACACTCTGCTCCTTGACTCTTTCTCTGATTATTCCGATTTACATCCCAAACTCTTAGTCTACTGCTGTGTTCTGAAAGGTAAACCTCTGATACTTGGCCAACATGAAAAAAAAAGAGGGGAAACACCATGTTTTTATTCTCCCTTCCTATGCTTTGTGACTGGGTTTACACATATAAGATTCCCCACCAAGTGTAAGTCTGTGGAATATTTAGAATTATAATAGTCATTGCAGTGGGCCATTTTTTGATTTGTTGTCTTTATCTCATTAATCATCAAAGCTTATTTATTTATTTATTTTTTGAGACGGAGTCTCAATCTGTCATCCAGGCTGGAGTGCAGTGTCGCAATCTCGGCTCACTGCAACCTCCGCCTCCTGGATTCTCCTTCCTCAGCCTCCTGAGTAGCTGGGTCTACACACCACAGCTGGCTAAGTTTTTGTATTTTTTTTTTTTTTGAGACGGAGTTTCACTCTTGTTACCCAGGCTGGAGTGCAATGGTGCGATCTCGGCTCACCACAACCTCCACCTCCTGGGTTCAGGCAATTCTCCTGCCTCAGCCTCCTGAGTAGCTGGGATTACAGGCACGCTGTAATCCCACCATGCCCAGCTAATTTTTTGTATCTTTAGTAGAGACGGGGTTTCACCATGTTGACCCAGGATGGTCTCGATCTCTTGACCTCGTGATCCACCTGCCTCGACCTTCCAAAGTGCTGGTATTACAGGCTTGACCCACCGCACCCGGCCAATTTTTTTGTATTTTGAGGAGAGATGGGGTTTCACCGTGTTAGCCAGAATGGTTTTGATCTCCTGACCTCATGATCCACCTGCCTAGGCCTCCCAAAGTGCTGGGATTACAGGCCTAAACCACCACACCTGGCAATCATCAAAGCATTTATTATGCACTCAGTATATGTCCCCATGTCAGGTTTGAGCAAATTTTATGTGGCGTCTCTCATTTAGGAATTTCCAGTTTTGCTAGATACTGATGTAGGTAGAAATCTTTGGGATATAATGATAAACAAGTATTAAATTAATATATAAGTATGGTTAATAGATAAGATTCTCTCTTCCTAGGCCATGTGATGGATTTATACTAGACATAAACTTCCCCCACCCAGCATAGTTGTATGAAATGTTTAGAGTGATAAGCTGGGCAGGGTGTAATCCCATCACTTTGAGAGGCCAAGGCAGGTGGATCCCTGGAGTGTAGGAATTTGAGACCAGCCTAGGAATGATGGTGAAATCTTGTCTGTATAAAAAAATACAAAAGTAGCCAGGTGTGGTGGTGTGCACCTGGAGTCCCAGTTACTCATGAGGATCACCTGAGCCCAAGGAGGTTGATGCTGCTGTGAGCTGAGATCGCTCCATTGAATTCCACCTGGGCACAGAGTAAAGACCGTCTCTCAAAAAAATAAAATAAAATAAAGAATTTTACATAATAGTCCTAACACGTAAGTATGATTAGTAGATTCACTTAAGCAGGGGATCTAAGAATTGCATAATTGGGGAATCTGTATCATTACTCTGTTAGGGAAAACTTTATGGAGAAAGTTTTATTTTTTAAGAATACTTTGAATTATATGAAAAAATTTAAGAGCACATCAATATCAAGATGGAAACAAGGTGATAAGGTGATTATTAAAAAGAACTATTGGGGCCGAGTGCAGTGGCTCATACCTCTAGCCCCAGCCCTTTGGGAGGCTGAGGCAGATCACTTGAGGTCAGGAGTTTGAGACCAGCCTGGCCAACACGGTGAAACTCCAACTCTATTAAAAATACAAAAAAAGAGGACTGGGTGTGGTGGCTCATGTCTGTAATCTCAACACTTTGGGAGGCTGAAGCAGGTGGATCACTTGAGGTCAGGAGTTCGAGACCAGCCTGGCCAACATGGTGAAACCCTGTTGTTACTAAAAATACAAAAAGAGGCTGGGTTGGGTGGTGGGTGCCTGTAATCTCAGCTACTCAGGAGGCTGAGGCAGGAGACTTGTTTGAACCTGGGAGGCGGAGGTTGCAGTGAGCCACGATCACACCATTGCATACCAGCCTGAGCAACAAAAGTGAAACTCCCATCTCAAAAAAAGAAAGAAAGAAAAAAGAAAAAAAAAAAAATGGCCAGGAGTGATGGCAGTTGCAATGGCAGGCATTTGTAATCCCAGCTACTCAGGAGGCTGAGGCAAGTGTATCACTTGAAGCTGGTAGGTTGTAGTGAGCTGAGATCATGCCCCTGCACTCCAGCCTGGGTGACAGAGTGAGACTTCATCTCAAAAAAAAAAAACTTTATTGGAACCTTTTTTTTTGTGACTAAATACTATTAAAATCTCAATGCTAAAGCAGTAAAAAAGTTGGATTTAACTGAATCTCTGCCTTCAAGAAATTTATATTGCAATTGAGAGGATAGATATAATTGAAATATGTAAATACCATAACAACATAGTTTATGAATAAATAAAGTTGGTGATATGGATAGTGCTGTGAGCAGACAGAAGTGAGAGAAAAATAGAGATCGAATTGATTGGGAAAAATATGGGTCAAAACAGGGTTTGAAACGTTTGAAAAAGTTGGTGGAAAGGATGGCATAGAGTTATCCAGTATGAATAAACAATTACTTTATCCTATCCTCAGATGTCATGTTTTGAGCTTGCTTTCTAAATGATTCTAAAAGACACACTTATATCTTGATACTTACATTACCGCACTACTTTGGATAGTTCAAATGATAACTAGTCATAGTCAAAATGGGCCATCTTTGTTAATTTTCAGTTTATACTGTTATATCAAGTGTTTAGTATATGAGATTTCTGATAATATGTAGATTTGTTGACTTCCAAGTTGGTTACTATTCAATTTTAAAACATTTGGGAAATTGTCAGAATATCAATTGTTCATTTCTTAGCTCTCTAGTATTGAATAATTTCACTGAATCATAGTATTTTATAACCATTATAACCTATTATTTGAAAATCATTGGAAGATCATTTATCTATATTTTTCAAACAGTTTAAGATTGGATTATAATGAGGCCTGAATTGCATTGAAGACATTATATTTTTCTTTATTCAGTAATATTTTATATTATCTCCAAGAAATGTAGAATACTGGAATTATATGCTGGATGAGGTTTTTGTTTATATTAATTTTTCCCATTTGTTACCCAATAATTGTTATTTTTTTAAAAATTGCAGGTTAATTTTCAGTTTTTTAACCAAAAACTTTTTTTTTCTTCTTTTTTTGCTTCTAGACTTAAATCTACTATGTTATTGATGGCAGAGGAGCTAACCGGCGAGCAAGCCCTGGCAGTGTTGGGAGCACTGGAAAATATGGAAAGCAGAAATTCACATCTGATTAAAAGGTTTCTTTTCTGAAATTTATGATAAGTTTGTTGTCATTCACAAGTACCTATTTTTTTCAGAGGAAAAATGGTTTTCTTCTTTAATCTACCTGTTGTTTTGAAGAAATGAGGAATTAATGCTTAAGGCACTGTTTATCTCTTTATGTTCCACTGTTTTTCTTTTCTTTTCTTTCTTTTTTTTTTTTGAGACAGAGTCTTACTCTGATCCCCAGGCTGGAGTGCAGTGGTACTATCTCTGCTCACAACTTCTGCCTCCCTGGGTCAAGCGATTTTCCTACCTCACTCTCCTGAGTAGTTGGGACTATAGGCGCCCACCACCACACCCAACTAATTTTTATATGTTTACTAGAGACAGAGTTTTGCTATGTTAGTCATGCTTGTCTTTTTCTTTTTTTTTTTTTTTTTAGATGAGTCTCACTCTGTCGCCCAGGCTGGAGTGCAGTGGCACAATCTCGGCTCACTGCAATCTCTGCCCCAGGTTCAAGTGATTCTCCTGTCTCAGCCTCCGAAGTAGCTGGGATTACAGGCGTCTGCTGCCACACCCAGCTAATTTTGGAATTTTTAGTAGAGGCAGGGTTTTACTGTGTTGGCCAGGCTGGTCTCAAGTTCCTGACCTAAAGGAATCCGCCCACCTCCACCTCTCAAAGTGTTAGAATTACAGGCATGAACCCTTTAGGCTGTTCTTAAACTCCTGACCTCAAGCGATCTGCTTGCTTTGGCCTCCCAAAGTTCTGAGCCACTGTGCCCGGCTTTCTTTTTTTTTTTTTTGAGGCAGGGTCTTGCTGCATTGCTGAGGCTGGAGTGCAGTGGTGGCATCACACCTCACTTCACCCTCCACCTCCCAGTCTCAATTGATCCTTCCATCTCAGCCTCCTGAGTAATTGGGACTACAGGCACTTATTGCCATGCCCAACTAATTTTTGTATTTTTTGTAGAGATGGTGTTTTGCCATGTTGCCAAGGCCGGTCTTCAAGTCCTGGGCTCAAGGAATGCATCTGCCTCAGCCTCCCAAAGTGCTAGTTTGTTTTTCAAAGTAGAAAGACAATTGTTTATAGCGTTTTAAAAATTTTATTTGGTACTATTGCACTCAAGTGGAGCATCATATCCTTGTGAAATAGAAAGCATAGGGAAAATACCCTCTTTTTTTTCTTTCTTTTCTTTCTTACTTTCTTATTTTTAAAATTTTTGTAGAGCTAGAGTCTTACTATTTTACCCAGTCTGGTTTTGAACTCCTGGGCTCAAGCAATTCTCCCAAAATTATGACCAAGGCCATAATTTTCAAAAGGAAAGTTTCTGCCGCACAGTTAATGTTTGTATGAACTTGAACTGTCTGACACCACAAAGTTACCTTGAAATCAACAAACAAACAAACAAAATAAATCATACTGCCATTTGTTGGCTTTTTGGTAACTTGAGATTTCAGAAGAAAAAATATATAGTTATTTTTTATAAATGCTTAATTGCACGTATATTTTAATATATGCTTAATTGCATATGCTTAATTTTTCATGACCTATTATATGTTCCTTTATTTTACTATTTCTTATTTCCCATTTTTTCCAACTTATTGTCTCTTAGTATTTTCCTTAGTTCTTCATTTGAGGGTCAGTGGATTTAAGGAAGAAAAATTAAATTAGTTTTGCTAATTATTAGTAACACTTGGTAAAGATTTTGTTATGGGGAGGTTGTGAAATTTGTTGCTCTGTGAGATTTGTTTAATTGAGGAAGAAAAACTATGCTTTTCTTGTGCAATTAACAATTGAATATTATTTCAATCATACTTCATGATCATTTTTACTTCATTCTGTTTTAGTTGTTTACATTTCTAGAGCCATCTTGAGACATTTCTTCAAGAGTAGAAAGTCTGGTCTCATTCATTGCTGTTTTTCCAGCACAGAGCAGTGTCTGCTGTGAAAGCACCACAGCAAATGTGTGATAAATGAATGTGTTGATTATAATATATGCTCTATCAATCCTTTTTTAGAGTTGCTTCAGTTCTGTATAAACATTTGGATAACTATAAACCATTAGAGTTGTTGAAGATAACTCAAGCATTGACTTTTCTGCATTTCCAAAGTAAGGAGTTTTTTGTGAAACTTGGAGAATTACTGCTTAGGTAAGATAAAAATAGAAATGTTTGTTTAGTATTTTATTTTCTAGCCACAATATTTGTTTTGTTTAACTATGTACAGAGGTGCTAGAAGTTATGGAGGCAAAATCGTGAAGCTTATTAGTAAAAATGTTATGATACTTTATCTCCCTCCATGCCCATTCTGCCAATGCCCATGGTGGGCATATTTTGAAATGGAAATGAGGCCAGTAGGGTGATGAGTTCCCTAGGAGAGGAATGGCAGTAAACTGATGAATAGCAAAGCCATTCTCCTTTCCTGCAGAATGGAGTAACCATGAAAAGATGGGGGCTGCTGATCAAAGTTAAACTCCATTTGGGAGCATTCATATTTAGGGCCCTTCAGTCTTGCATGCATGCCTATTTTAAGGCTTATTAAATCTTTAAGTTCAAAATTTTGAGAATAAGATATAATGGTGATGTTAGTGAAAAGGTGTCTTCTTTCTTTTCCTTTTTTTTTTTTTTGAGGAGTCTCACTCTGTCACCCAGGCTGAATTGCAGTGACACGATCTCGGCTCTCCATCTCCTGGGTTCAAGTGATTCTCCTGTCTCAGCCTCCCAAGTAGCTGGGACTACAGGTGTGTGCCACCAGGCCTGGCTAATTTTTGTAATTTTAGTAGAGATGGGGGTTTCACCATATTGGTCAGGCTGGTTTCCTGACCTCAGATGATCCACCCACTCAGCCTCCCAAACTGCTGGGATTACAGGTGAGAGCCACTGCTACTGGCAAAAAAGTGTTTTCATACAAAATTTTCTCTTTATAATTTAAAATCACCTTATTTTCCACAGATACAGGGTTTTCTTTTCTTTTTTTTTTTTTCAGACAGGGTCTCACTGTGTCCCCTGGACTGGAGTGCCGTGGTACAGTCATAGCTCACTGCAGCCAATCATAACTCACTGCAGCCAATCATAACTCGCTGTAGCCTGAAGTCCTGGGTTGATCCTCCCACCTCAGCCTCCCAAGTAGTATTGCTACCACACTTGGCTAATTTGATTTTATTTTTCATAGAGATGGGGTCTTACTTTGTTGCCCAAGCTGGAGTGCAGTTGCATGATCATATCTTACTGCATCCTCAAATTCATGGGCTCAAGCAATCCTACTGCTTCAGCCTCCTGAGTACATGGTTTTACAGGCTCGAACCAGCATGGCCAACTAGTTTGATTTCTTTTTTTTTGAGATGGAGTTTCGCTCTTGTTACCCAGGCTGGAGTGCAATGGCGTGATCTTGGCTCGCCGCAACCTCCACCTTCTGGGTTCAGGCAATTCTCCTGCCTCAGCCTCCCGAGTAGCTGGGATTACACCATGCCCAGCTAATTTTTTTTTGTATTTTTAGTAGAGACGGAGTTTCACCATGTTGACCAGGATGGTCTCGATCTCTTGACCTCGTGATCCACCCGCCTCAGCCTCCAAAAGTGCTGGGATTACAGGTGTGAGCCACCGGCCCTAGTTTGATTTCTTATTGTGATTTCTGAAAGACCAGGCATATAGTTGAAAATGATTTTTATTGTAATAAAGTGATGTGACTTATGGTTAAAAAAGGTTTTGAACTGGGGAATATGAAGAGACATGTTATCAGATGAGAACTTAGCATATTAGGATGTTATAAGGAAGTTTATCTTTTTCTTGAAGAAGTAAGTTTCTTCTTAAGATGATAAGATGCTTATTGTTTCTTCACCCTTTCTATATTTAGTATAGAATTTCACATAGACTGCCTCTGAATTTTGAATTTTATGTTCTAAATTAGATATTATGAACTAGCCCAGACATGATTTATGTCTGCACAGTGAGTTTTTTTGCATGCTTTTAAAAAATTTTCTGTATTTTGTTTTTTTATTTTTAAATTTTTTCCGTATTTTATTTTTGTTTTTCTATATGTTATTTTTATGTTTTTATTAGTTTTATTTTTTGAGATGGAATCTCGCTCTGTCACCCAGGCTGCACTGCAGTGGCACAATCTCGAGTCACTGCAACTTCAGCTTCCCAGGTTCAAGCAATTTTCCTGTCTCAGCCTCCTGAATAGCTGGATTACAGGCATGAGGCACCACGCCCAGCTGATTTTGTTTTGTTTAGTAGAGACGAGCTCTACCATGTTGGCCAGGTTGGTCTTGAACTCCTGACCTCAAGTGATCCACCTGCCTCAGACTCCCAAAGTGCTGGGATTACAAGCATGAGCCACTGCACCTGGCCTATGTTTTTATTTTTATTTTATTTGATTTTTTTGTTTGTTTTTTGTTTTATTTATTTTTTTTATTTGATTTTTTTTTTGAGATGGAGTCTTACTGTCACCAGGCTCGAGTGCAGTGGCACGATCTCAGCTCACTGCAACCTCTGACTCCCTGGTTCAAGTGATTCTCCTGCCTTGGCCTCCCAAGTAGCTGGGATTACAAGTATTCGTGACCATGCCCAGCTAATTTTTGTATTTTTAATAGAGACAGAGTTTCACCACTTTGGCCAGGATGGTCTCAATCTCCTGACCTCATGATCTGCCCTCAGCCTCCCAAAGTTCTGGGATTACAGGCGTGAACCACTGTGCCGGGCCTATGTTTTTGTTCTTTTAAAAAATATTTCAGTAGCTTTTGGCATATAAGTGGTTTTTTGTTATATGGATTAATTGTATAGTGGTGAATTCTGAGATTTCACGTGAGTAGTGTAATTTCTACCTAATTTTTTTTTTATCCCTAGCTCGCCTCCCAACCCAGCTTTTCTGAGTCTCTAAAGTCTATTATATCACTCTATATGCCTTTGTGTACTCATAGTTTAGCCCCCACTTATAAGTGAAAGTATACGATTTTTGATTTTCCTCTCCTCTATTACTTCACTTAGAATAATGGCCTCCATCTCCATCCAAGTTGCTTAAAAGGCATTATTTTCTTCCTTTTAATGGCTGAGTAGTATTCCATGGTGTATATTTACCACATTTTCTTTATGCACTTATTAGTCAATGAGCGTTTAGGTTGGTTAACATCTTTGCAATTGTGAATTGTGCTGCTGTAAACATACATTGCACATTATTTTTTTAAAATAAATTATTCAATACTGTCGAATACTTCTAGGTATGTTAATAGAAAAATAAGAGCAGGAGTGGGATCATCAGATTTTATTTTCCTGTAATGTTTTGTTTCTTTTATGAAAAGACTTGAAGCATGTATGATAATGTTAAAGTTTATTAAATTCCAAGTAAGGAGAACCTTTATCTCTGAAATTTAAAGTTGTATCAAAAATATTTGACTTATTGACTGGTATTTAAAAGTTGGGAGTTGTTATATAAAAATCATAACGTACCTCGTGTTTTAGAATTACCTTCTTCCATTTCAGTGCAAATAATCTCAAGTAGATATTAGAAGGAATGCAGTCTATTTGAAACTAATAATTCACATAAATGCTTATGTAAATATGTCCTGAAACAGCTCAGGGAACCAAGTTTTCATGTATTGGAATAATGTCTGTTGTTTTTTAACTTACTGAAATATCATATACATAAAATATGCATATGCCTTCCTCATTACCCTATCCTCACGCCCAAGATTAACTATCTCTATTTCTAACTGTATGGATTGGTTTTGCCTTTATACTTTATATAAATGGAATTATACAGTATGATTTCCTTTTTTTTTTCGAGACTAGGTTTCATTTGTTTACCCAGGCTGGAGTGCAGTGGCGTGATTTCAGCTCGTTGCAACCTCCAGCTCCTGGGCTTAGGTGACCCTCCTGTCTCAGCCTCCCGAGCAGCTGGGACTACAGGCATGTGCTACCACACCTGGCTAATTTTTGTATTTTTAGTAGAGATGGGGTTTTGCATGTTGCCCCAGCTGGTCCCAAACTCCTGCACTCAGGTAATACAATCCCAAAGTGCTGGGATTACAGGCATGAGCCACTGCACCTGGTCAGTGTGATTTCTTTTGTGTAGGGCTTCTTTTGCTCAATACTAAGTTTGTGAGATTTATCTATGCTTTTGTGTATAGTATTCTCTTGTAAGAATATAACAAAATTTATTATATTGTTGATGGACATTGATTTATTTTCAGTTTTTGGTTATTAACAGTACTATTTATGAACAAATTCATACATATTTTTTAGTGAACATACATATTCATTTCTGTGTGCCAGCAAATATAATTGTTAGTTCATAGGGTATGCATGTGCTCATCTTCGGTAGATGCTGCTGAACATTTTCTAAAGTGGTTAAACCAGTTCCTACTCCCACTAACAGAATGTGTACATTCCTGTTGCTCCATATTCTTGCCAACACTTGTTTTTGTTTTTTTCCCCTATAACCCAGGACAGTGCTCATACTTTCTAATTTTAGCTGTTCTGGTAGGTATGTTGTGGAATTATAAATAAATACACTTAAATATCTAAGCTTTGGAAATTGAGGAAGTATTACAAGGAAAAACAGCAAATGGAGGTTGGAGAAATTTTATCTGTTGGCGGTTTATTTGTAGAAAAGTATCTCAAGACTGGTAGCTCCACAGTGATACAGCTTTTTGAGCACTTTCATTTCTTTATGTAAAATAATGTATTAATTTTTTTGTAGTTATAAGACTAAAATATGCAGTACTAAGTGTCTACTTGTTTCAGACACTGGGCCAAATATTATATAAAAGTCATTTTGAAAATTTTGGAAAACAAAAAAGTATATTTGAGAGGCTGAGGCAGATCATTTGAGGCCAGGAGTTCAAGAGCAGCATGTTCAACATAGCAAGCCCCCGTCTACAAAAAACTAAAAAATTAGCAGAGCGTAGTAGTTCATGCCTATAGTTCTAGCTAGTCAGGAGGCTGACACAGGAGGATCACTTGAGCCCAGGACCTCAAGGTTACAGTGAACTATGATCATACCACAGCACTCCAGCCTGGGCTATAGAGTGAGACTCTATCTCTAAAAAAGAAAAGAGAAGAAAATATAAATAAGAAAATAAAAATTATTCATAAACTCATTCATCCACTGTCAACAATTTAGTTTATTTCCTTGTTGTATACTACACATATATATACACACACACACACACACACATTTTTTTTCATAGTTGACCATACAATTTTGTTTGTTTTTGGCCATTTTACCTTGTAAGCATTTTTCTACACTATTAAGTAATTTTTGTAAATCTTTTCTAATGGCTAGTTAATAACCATCATATGACTGTACCATAATTCACTTAATTGCTATTCCCCCTCATTATTTAGATTGTTTTCACATTTTAGCCATATAAAAATATGATAAGGCATGGTGGTGTGCCCCTGTATCTCAGCTCTACCCAGCTATATTTGGGAGGCCAAGACAGGAGGATCACCTGAGCCCAGGAGTTGGAGATCAGCCTGGGGAACATTGTAAGACTCCCTCTTTAAAAAAAAAGATGAAGATGAATAACAACACACATCTTTTTTCCTGGATTTAATTAATTATTGTTTTTTTTTTGAGATGGCGTCTCGCTGTCTTGCTGAGGCTGGAGTGAAGTGGTGCAATCTCAGCTCACTGCAACCTCCGCCTCCTGGGTTCAAGCAATTCTTCTGCCTCAGCCTCCCAAGTAGCTGGGACTATAGGCGTGCACCAACATGCCCAGCTAATTTTTGTATTTTTAGTAGAGATGGGGTTTCACCAATCTCTTCACCTTGTTACCCACCCACCTCGGCCTCCCAAAGTGCTAAGATTACAGGTGTAAACCACTGTACCGGCAAAAGACTTTCCTCTTTCCTGGATTTTATATTAGTTTTATTAGGTTAGTTTCCCAAACAGGGATTGACCATGTCAAATGTTACAATTAAAATACTTTTAAAGTTCTCAAGCTATACTGCTAAATAACTTTCCAGGGAGTTACACCAACTTTTTAAGTTTACTAATAATAAATGAGAATGCCTGTATCAGTGACTATTAATATGCTAACATTGACTATTAATATTATGATTATTTTAGTATGCTAATTTAAAAATTTTAAGTGGTTAGGCATAGTGGCTTATGCTTGTAATCCCAGCACTTTGGGAGGCTGAGCTGGGAGGATTGTTTGAGCCCAGGAGTTCAAGACCAACCTGGGCAATAAAACAAGACCTGTCTTAACAACAACAAAAAATTAAAAATTAGGTAAGTGGGGGTAGCATCTGCCTGTATTCCCAGTGTATAGGGAGGCTAAGCCCAGGAGGTCAAGGCTGCAATGAGCTATATTGCACGATTGCATTCTAGCCTGGGCAACAGAATGAGACCCTGTCTCAAACTAATAATTTTAAAAGTATTTGAAACTCAATTTTATTTGAATTTAGATTACATTATTCCTTCTACTACTTCTGTACCTAAAGATTATTATTCTTTTTTGAGACAGAGTCTTGCCCTGTCTCCCAGGCAGTAGTACAGTGGCTCAATCTTGGCTCACTGCAACCTCTACCTCCTGGGTTCAAGTGATTCTCATGCCTCAGCCTCCCTAGTAGCTAGGATTACAGGCATGTGTTACCACACCCAGCTAGTTTTCTGTATTTTTAGTAGAGATAGGGTTTCATCATGTTGGCCAGGCTGGTCTCGAAGTTCTGAGCTCAAGCTATCCCCCACCTTGACCTCTCAAAGTACTGGAATTAAAGGCGTGAGCCACCATACCCAGCACCTAGTTTTTTAATTTTTTTTTTTTAAACAATTGTCCTGGTGTCCTGGGACTCTTACCATGGTGATTTGGGAAAGAAGTAGAGAATGGGGTCAACTGTATATCCTGTTTATTTTGTTGGTGTTTGTTTGTTTTAAAAGTTGGACTACGTATTCTAAGTGAAAAACGGCCTGACAGGTCATATCAGAAATTGAACCTAAATTCTTTCTTCAGCAGCAGCACTGGAAGCACATGTTCTGACGTGGACTTTTTGTTTCCCTGGGACTGTGGTTTTATTTTTAAATAAAAAATTTTGACCTGTGCTTCATAACGTCTTAGGCTTTCCTGAATAATCCTTCACGGACCTGTCATCTTTGAATTTATCTAACTCTTCTTTTTTTGTTTTTGAGACGGAGTCTCACTCTGTCACCTAGGCTGGAGTGCAGTGGCACAGTCTTGGCTCACTGGAACCTTCACCTCCCTGGTTCAAGCGATTCCCCTGCCTCAGCCTCTCGAGTAGCTGGGGATTACAGGTGCACGCCACCACGCCCGGCTAATTTTTTTGTATTTTTAGTAGAGATGGGGTTTCACCATGTTGGCCAGATGGGTCTCAAACTCCTGACCTCAGGCAGTCCGCCTGCCTTGGACTCCCAAAGTGCTGAGATTACCGGTGCGAGCCACCGCGCCTGGCCTATCTAACTCTTCTTAAATTAGCTTGTGTTATGCCCACCTGTGATGGTTATGCATCTTGGCTTTCATACTAGTTCAGAACTTTTATAGCTCCTGGTATAACCTTTTATTACAATGTTGGGTGTGTTAGGCCTCCAGAAGCAGAATCTGTCTCCTGCCCCAAAGCAGGACTCTAATCTTCCTCCACCTTTCTGATTGTGGGACTTAAGACCCTCCCCTGAAAGATCCCACCCTACACAGTGTGAAGAAATGCTGACATCATGAAGCTCATATAAACCCAAGAAGAATGGGTTTGGACTGCTTCTGGATAGCTGAACACGTGAAGATTCCTGGAGGGTGGCATGCTCAGGGAGGGCATGGAAGCTTTGCACCCCTTCCCACATACCTCACCCTACTGTCCCTTCATCTGCATTCTTTATAGCATCCTTTATAATAAACCTGTAAACATAAGTAAGTGTTGCCCTGAGTTCTGTTAACCACTCCGGCAGATTAATCAAACTCAAAGAGGAGGTTGTGGGAACTCCAACTTGAAGCCAGTTGGTCACAAGTTCTGGAGGCCTACATTTGCAACTGGAGTATAGGGTTTCTGTGGCAGAGGTCAATCTTAGAGACTGAGTTCCCACTTGTGGGATCTGACACTGTCTCCAGGTAGATAGTGTCAGAACTGAATTGGACACCTAGCTAGTATCCGCTGCTTAGAAGAACCCCCACACATTTGGTCACAGAAGCCTTCCGTGTTGATGATTGTTGTGGTTTGAGAGTAGAGGAAAAACACAGTTTGAAAGAGATTTTTTTGAATCACCATCTTACCTATTAATTGCAGTACTAATTATGTATATTCATATTTTAATACATATATATTTTGGTTTTGTTGCTGATGTATTAATTTTGTTCTTTTCATTTTTATTTTGCAGTTATTTGAAAATTAGTTTCATACCAACTGAGATGTCCTTTCTGGTCTGTGCTATTTCCATGCTTCCTTCTCCTCACCTGGACGAAGTGGGGATATCCCGAATTGAAGCAGTTTTACCACAATGTGACCTAAATAAGCTGACTAGTTTTTCTGCATCTGTTTTAAGATGGATTCAGTATGACCAGCTGCATTTAGATAGTAATACTGGGAAACAACTGAAACTACTTCAAAAATTAGATCACTATAGTCATCAGAGACTACAGCACATCAACAGTTTTGATCTGTTATGGAAGGAACTGAAATCTCTCAAAGGAGACGTGTTTTCTGAGTCACTTATTGAAGAAATGATTGCTGCTTTTCAGCGTTTCAGGGATGAAATTAATTACATAAATGTTGCAGAGATTGCGTATTTTATTTCTAAAACTAATTACCTCAGTACTTTGCTACTTGATAGGTTAGCCTCAGTGGCTGTTCAGCAGATTGAAAAGGTGAAATTTGAATGTTAGACTTCAATTTTATAGAGTTGTCAACTTCTGCAAGCATAATTTTTATCATAGGCACTTTGAGAACCTGGATTGGAATTTGAAGTTTTTAGAAATTAACTTCTGGGTCAGATGTGGTAACTCATGCCTGTAATTCCAGAAGTTGGGGGGCTAAGGTGGGAAGATGGGTTGAGCCCAGTAGTTAAGGCTCAGTGAGCTATTATCACACCACTGCCACTGTACTCCATCCTGGGTGACAGAGTGATACCTTGTCTCTTAAAAAACCTTAAAGCCACTTTGTTCTTCCAACATTGCAGATTTGGAAAGATCAGCAGTCATCCTTTGGTTATTCACAATATTAAGATTAGGAATCAATTCTTTGAGGATACTCGTATTAGGATAGTGGAGTATGAATGATTTTTGGTTTTACTTTTCTTATTTTCTATAATCCTGTGGTATTACTTTTATCATTATCATTATTATTATTATTATTTTTTTGAGACAGAGTTTCGCTGTTGTTACCCAGACTGGAGTGCAGTGGCATGATCTTGGCTTACCGCAACCTCCGCCTTCTGGGTTCAAGCAATTCTTCTGCCTCAGCCTCCCGAGTAGCTGGGACTATAGGCATGCACCACCATGCCCAGCTAATTTTTGTATTTTTAGTAGAGATGGGGTTTCACCTTGTTGACCAGGATGGTCTCGATCTCTTGACCTAGTAATCCACCCGCCTGGGTCTCCCAAAGTGCTGGGATTATTTTAAAGGAATTATATTCAAAAGTGTGAGATAAGCTTGAACACAGAAAATGATAAGGTATCCATTGGCAACAGTATTCTTAAATTGTCATTGTTATCTTCTTGCAGATTTATTTCTAGGACTTGTAAAATGCCTCTTTATGGATTATGTGAGAAGCAGCTTACTTACAAAATCACTATCATAAATATATCAGGGAAAGGCCTTTATTTAAAAGACAGTGTTTCTCACAAATGAAAATAAAAAATTTGTCTTACTTGCTTAGTATAGTGCCTGACAGTCATTAAGTATTGGATGAATGAGTGAAAAATAAAATAAAAAAGCAAATGAAAGAAAAATAGATGCTAATGATTATAAATTAAGAAACTTCTTTACATTATGATTATTCTATAAAATGTACTGATTATCAGAAATTGCTGATACTGTTTCCTATTCAATTTAGTGACTAATGAATTCTGAAGCAGAATTAAGTAATTAATTTATTTATTTTAAATTTACATAAAGACAGGGTCTCACTATGTTGCCCTGACTAGTCTTTTTTTTTTTTTTTTTTTAAATATGGGGTTTCACCATGATGGCCAGGCTGGTTTTGAACTCCTGACCTCAGGTGATCCACCCACCTCGGCCTCCCAAAGTGCTAGGATTAGAGGGGTGAGCCACCACACCTGGCCCATGACTAGTCTTGAACTCCTGGCCTCAGTGATCCTTCCACCTCAGCCATCCAAAGTGTTGGGATGACAGGTGTGAGCCACCACTCCCAACCAGAACAGAATTTTACACCTAACAAAATAAATTTGTAGATTATCTGATTTACTTTTTTTCTTGCTAACACTTTTGGAGTTATTAATAATTGTTGATGGGGTTAAATAAATTATAGCAGGGTGGAAAAATTAATAAGCAAGTGATAAGTTTATTATTTAACTATAGTGATGGTAGGAAAAGATTTCTCCTAAAAAATAATTAGGTTAAAATTGTGTCTTATTCTCCTCAAGTTTAGACTGTTTTTTTGTCTTTTTATACAGATCCATCCTTTTACAATTTTTGCTATTATTCTTCCATTCAGCGTTTTGAATTATGATCCACCTCAAAGGGATGAATTTTTAGAAACTTGCATGCAACATCTTAAGTCTTACTTAGGTAGGTATATTGTTTGGTAATGCATTGAGTGAATAAGTCAGAGGATACCTATTGCTACTCAGCTAGGAGTGCCCCTCATTTAAAGGGTATCCATAAATAGCCATGAATTCTCTACCTGAAAAAACTTTTTTTTTTTTTTTGTGAGACAGAGTCTTGCTCTGTCTTCCAGGTTGGAGTGCAGTGGCTCGATCTCAGCTCACTGTAACCTCCATCTCCTGGGTTCAAGCAATTCTCCTGATTCAGTCTCCCAAGTAGCTGGGACTACACACCTGGATAATTTTTTGTATTTTTAGTACAGACAGGGTTTCATCATGTTGGCTAGGCTGGTCTTGAACTCTTGACCTCAAGTGATCCACCCACCAAGGCCTCCCAAAGTCCTGGGATTTCATTTGTGAGCTGCTGAGCCCAGCCATAAAAAAAACTTTTGTATCCATTTTAATTTTGAAAAAAGTCAAACTTGTATAGAGAATTGAACAAAGAACACATGTATACTCACTATGTAGATTCAACAATGTCAACATTTTGCCTTTTTGGCCTGATCAGTTTTTTTCTCTGACTCTTATTTGTTTCTGAGCCACTTCAAAGTTGCAGGCATTGTGACCCTTCACCCCTAATTACTTTAGCACACATCTCCTAAGAATAATGACATTATTCTATACCACTACAATACTGTTGGCACACCTAAGAAACTTAATCACACACACACGCACACACACACACACACACACACAAATAAATAAATAATAAAAAGAAAAAAAATAAAAAAGAAACTTAATCTTAATCTCCTAATATGTAATACAGGGTTCATGTTTCAGTCTCCCTGAGTACTCCCAAAATACCTTTTAGAGTAGTTGTTTTGGATCCAGGATTTACTTAATGTGTTTGGTTGTTGTCTCTTCAGTCTCTTATAGTCAGGAATTTCTTTTTCCTTTTTTCTTTTCTTGGCATTGACTTGGTTGTTTGTTTTTTTCTGAACTTTATGTTATCCAGGTTTTCAAATATACAGAAAAATTGAAAGATCAATATAACAAACACCTGTATAATATACTGTAGACCCACAATCGTGATTGAGTATTGATTACCTTTGCCACATTTGCTCTGTGTATGAGCACAAGCACGTATGCGTATGATGACCCTTCCAGTTGTCAGCTCTATGTACTTCAGGTTATAAGGGCATTCTTCTGTGTAACTGTAATATGGGTATCATTATCATTACCAAAGAAAATTAACAATTACCATCTACTACCTAGCCCATAAACAGATTTTCCCAATTGTCACTAAATTATCTCTTATAACTTTTTTTAAACAATCAACATTGAGTGGTTATGTCGTTTTCTCTATTTATTTTGCTTGATATTTATTTTTATAAAATGGCCATTTATTATGAATTGTGGCACATTCTGGATTTGTCTGATTGTTTAATTTCCTTCTCCATCTCCTGCATTTGTAGTAAACTAGAAGTTAGGTATAGATGCTTGGTTAGGTTCAGATTAACTATTTGCAGCAAAAATTTACTTGTATGTAGTGCTGTGTACCTTATATTTATATCACATCTGGAAGCACATAATATCTGATTGTGTCGATTTAGAAAGTAAAAAAAAAAAAGTTTCTTAAGAACCTTAATAGTTGTTTGTGAATTGTTTGAAGAGTTGCTTCTGTTGTGCTGATTATTTTGCATCACTTAAAAAGGTCTTTTAAAAAAATTATCTTAAATTTAGAGATGCAGTCTTGCTACATTGCCCAGGCTGGTATCAAACTCCTGGGCTCAAACAGTCCTCCCACCTTGGCCTCCCAAGTGCTGGGATTACAAGCATGAGCCACCACACCTGGCCAAAAAAGTCTTGGTAAATGTTTTAGTACCAAAAGTAGAATAGAAATAGTCCTTCCTGCTGTTGGCCTTAGCAGAAACAATATGTGAGGACAGCAGAGACAGGAAATTACTTTTTCCTTTTCATTTTTATTTTGGATCCTGAGTTGGGTTTGGAACAGTTTGACCTTCAAGGAGTAGAGCTTTATGAGACTTTTCTTTTCAGACTGATGCTATGTACTTGTCAGTATGATACAGAAGTTTTAGAAGAGAAATGCTCAGTAGTCGTTGCCTTCTCAGTCAACACTTTCCATGTACTTACTGTCAGGTATTCTTCTAGACACTGGAGATACAGGAGAGAGTAAAAATGGATAAACTGCCATCACTGAGTTTACTTTCTGGTAGGGGGAGACTGTTACAAGCAATAAACAAGCCTCTAAGGTTAGATGGTAATAAGTACCTTCAAGAACATTAGCGCAGGGTAAAGTGTGTAGGCTGGAGCATCATGGTAAGTGTGAGATGGAGTGCATTTTGGATAAGGGATTCAGGGACTTCCTCTCTGAGGACATATCATTTAACCATGGATTAAATGAAGTAAGGGAGTGATCCATGTCAATAGATAGGGAAGAGAGTCCCAGGATGAAAGAAAGGCAAGTGGAAAGGGCCCTCAGATGAGAACATGTTTGTTTTTTTCCAGGAACAGTAGATTCAGTGTGGCAGGAGTGGAGTGAGGGAGACTGAGTTGGCAGGAGATAAGGTTGGGGAGACAGCCAGAGACTGATTTCCTCATATCTTTTTGCTTTGCCTGGAGAGTAAGAATAATTACCCAGTAATCTACCAAGTGGCAGATACTGAGAGCTTCCATATCCAGCATAACATGTTAGGCTCTACATTAGGGATTTATATAGACCTTTAGACCGCTGGTGAAGCTGGTTTGAAACCAGTATAAATACATTAATTGTGTCTGCATCATGCTAATGGACTTTGCTACATTTTTGTGGGATCTATAGGCCAGATAGCATGTTTGATACTACTGTGTCACAGCCTACAACATGAGGCTGTGATATGTGTATGTATATGTGTATATGAATGTGTTGCATGTGTGGCATACATTTATACCCCTTTTTAGTAACACAACTATATGTAGAATATATAGAGATCCCCAGAGAGCAGCATAGTATAATGGCCCAGGCTCCAGAGCTGGACTTTCTGGGTTAAACCTACTCTTCATTTGCCAACTCTGTGATCTTGGGCAAGTCATTTAACTTCTTTGTGCTTCCTAACACTTATTTATAAAGCAGAGATAATTGTTTCTACTGATTATGGAAATAGGATATAAATGAGTTGATATATGTAAAGTGTTTTGAACGGTATGTAACATACTCTGAACACGCTTATATTATTGCCAATACTGGGATCACTTCTTTTTACATACACCACTGTCATTTTTGTTTTGGATTCTTTCTTTTTCCAAGGCTATTATTTTATTATTTTTTGAGACGCAGTCTTGCTCTGTCACCAGGCTGGAGTGCAGTGGCGCAATCTCGGCTCACTGCAACCTCTGCCTCCTTTTCCAAGGCTATTTTTAAAACAACTTACTAAAGTGTAATAACAAATGTTCATGTAACTTTAGTATAATAGTGTGAATTTATGCAAATTGAATCACCCAGGGAATTAGTTCCAAGATCAAGGCACACAATATTATCACAGTATCCTTCTTCTCTAGTCTCCTTTTCCTACTTGACCCCCACCCAAAGGTAAGTACTTAACTATTATCCTTACTTGTGACAGTATAGATTAGTTTTGTCAAGGCCATGTATCATTTTTTTTAAAACCTGGCTTTGCCTGAATAAATTGTAGGTTTATATATAAGTGAGGCAACTGTATCTTTAAAAAGAATCTTGATTTTCTTTTAGGTATGTTCGATCCTCTTATGTTAGTGTTTCTTGGTTTCTCTTTGGCCACACTTGAATATTTTCCAGAAGATCTGCTAAAGGCAATTTTTAACATCAAATTCTTAGCTAGATTGGATTCTCAACTTGAAGGTACATATCTACCTTTTAATTTATTTCATTATCTGTTGTACTTTATATCCAAGTCTCAGGTCTACTTATACTGAAGACTTTAAATGTTAATAACTTTTTTCTGTTTCTAATAGTATGCATGCTTATTGGAGAAATTTGGAAAATACAAATATAACATAGAAAATAAAAAGTGACCCATCTTACTAACAAGTAAAACTACCACTTTTAATGTCTTGGAGTATTTCTTTTCTGTCTTTTGCCTTCTCTTGTGTGAATGTTTATATATCTGTGTTTTTTTGTTTTGTTTTGAGACAAGGTCTCACTCTGTTGTCCAGGCTGGAGTGCAGTGGTGCAGTCATAGCTCACTGAAGCCTTGGACTCCAGGATCAAGTGATCCTCCCGCTTCAGCCTCCTGAGTAGCTGAGACTACAGGCATGTGTCACCATGCCCAGCTAATTTTTTTTTGTTGTTGTTAAGAGATGGGATCTTACCGTATTGCCCAGGCTGGTCTCAAACTCTTGAGCTCAAGTGATTCTCCCTCTTCAGCCTCCCAGATGCTGAAATTATAGGTGTGAGCCCCTACACCCAGCCTGTATTTAATTTTAATTTGTTAAATTTTTTATTTTTATTTTTTGAGACAGAGTCTTGCTATGTGGCCCAGGGTAGTCGCTACCCGCTGGCCTCAAGCAATCCTCCTGCCTCAGCCACCCAAAGTGTTGGGATTACAGGCATGAGCCATCTTTCTTTTCCTTTCTTCTTTTTTTTTTTTTTTTTTTTTGAGACAGAGTCTTGCTATGTTGCCCAGCCTGAAGTGCAGTGGCACAATCTTGACTTACTACAACCTCTGGCTTCCCAGATGTCTTGAACTCCTGACCTCAAGTGATCCATCCAGCTCGGCCTCCCAAAGTGCTGAGATTATAGGCAAGAGGCCCCACACCAGTCCCCATATGAATTTAAAACAAAATTTGGATTATTTATACATTCACTTTTTTTTTTTTTTTTTTTGAGATGGAGTCTCACTCTGTCACCCAGGCTGGAGTGCAATGGCACAGTCTTGGCTCACTGCAACTTTTACCCCCTGGGTTCAGGCAATTCTCCTGCCTCAGCCTCCTGAGTAGCTGGGACTACAGGCTTGTGCCACCACACCTGGCTAGTTTTTGTATTTTTAGTAGAGACAGGGTTTCACTATGTTGGCCAGGCTGGTCTCAAACTCCTGACCTCATGATCTGCCCACCTCGGCCTCCCAAAGTGCTGGAATTATAGGCGTGAGCCACCACGCCGGCTATATATCACTTTTGTATGCTGCCTTTTTCCATCTGACTATATTTTGAACAATTTTCCATGCTATTAAATATTTTTTGATGTCATGATTTCTTATTAGCTACGTAATATCCCATTACATGGATATAATAAAATTTGTCATCTTACAGATTGTTTCCAATACCTCATTATTGTAAGTAATGAATTGTTATACATGAATCATTGTTTCCTTAGGATAAAAACCTAGTGTGGACTATTAGGTGAATGAAAATTCTTGGGAGTATTTTTTAAATGTGTTTTTAACATTCATGATTAATGAGAACAATGCAGCAATTGGTCCTAATCATGCCACTGAATGTAATAATTTAAAAATATAAAGCATATGTGTGTAAATGAAGTGTTTTTATAGTATTAGAATAAAAGCATCTACCAGTAGTGGAGATAAATGAATGTGAAAAAAATGGGTTGTCTTTCCTAGGTCTCAGCTGTCAAAATTCATTAATATTTTATTAATTTCAGTTTTACCTTCATCTCTAAGTACAAGAGTCCAGTTTCGTTTTATGGAGTTAAATAGATCAGTCTGCTTGGAATGCCCTGAGTTTCAGATTCCATGGTTTCATGATCGCTTCTGCCAACAATATAATAAAGGTTTGAGTTTTCTTTTCGTTTAGATAGCAAAATTTAATTCTAAAGTAAATTATTAGGTAGTACATTGTTAATCTTGTTATATCTAAGCATGACACAAGACATCCTGAGAGTATCATGACATGTTTAATTTTTTTTTTTTTTTTTGAGACGGAGTTTTGCTGTTGTTACCCAGACTGGAGTGCAATGGCACGATCTCGGCTCACTGCAACCTCCGCCTTCTGGGTTCAAGCAATTCTCCTGCCTCACCCTCCCCAGTAGCTGGGATTACAGGCACGTGCCACGGTGCCCAGCTGATTGTTTTGTATTTTGAGTAGAGAAGGGGTTTCACCTCGTTGACCAGGATGGTCACGATCTCTTGACCTCCTGATCCACCAGCCTTGGTCTCCCAAAGTGCTGGGATTATAGGCATGAGCCACTGCACCCGGCTGACATATTTAATATTTTATGTGAGATATTGTAGGTGGGACATTATAAGAATTTCTTAATATTTGGGACATAATCCTCTTTTAGTTGAGAGCAAAGAACTTGTATTGAATTTAGTGTCATTCCTTAAGATATTACACTGAACCTATTATTAGAAATATTAATCTTTATTTTTCAGTTTGTAGAATTGGGATGATTTTCATTGAAAAACTAATAAGGCTGGGTGCTGTGGCTCATGCCTGTAATCTCAGCACTTTGGGAGGCAGAGGTGGGTGGATTACCTGAGGTCAGGAGTTCGAGACTAGCCTGGCCAACATGGTGAAACCCCGTCTCTACTAAAGAGATATAAAAATTAGCTGAGCATGGTAGCGGGTGCCTGTAATCTCAGCTACTTGGGAGGCTGAGGCAGGAGAATTACTTGAACCCAGGTGGCGGAGGTTGTGGTGAGCTGAGATCGTGCCATTGCACTCCAGAACGGGCAACAAGAGCGAGACTCGGTCTCAAAAAAAAAAAAAAAAGATTAAGTAGACTAATTATTTTTATTTTTATAAAGGTATTGGTGGCATGAATAGAACACAACAGCAAATTTATAAAATGTTAGCAGAGGTACTAGGAGGAATCAATTGTGTAAAAGCCTCGGTTCTTACGCCTTATTACCACACAGTAGGTAAGTTATTGGTAGGTTATTAGTTACTTTCAGAAAATCAAACTGATTTGAATAGAATCATCTTATCATTTGGAATTTTTGTTTTTGTTTTTCGGTTGCAATTTTTAAAGTTGTTTTGGCTGGGTGCGGTGGTTCACGCCTATAATCCCAGCATTTTGGGAGGCTGAGCTGGGCAGATCACAAGGTTAAGAGATAGAGACCATCTTGGCCAATATGTTGAAACCCTGTCTCTATTAAAAATACAAAAATTAGCTGGGCATGGGGCACGCACAGTAGTCCCAGCTACTCGGGAGGCTGAGGCAGGAGAATCACTGGAACCCAGGAGGCAGAGGTTGCAATGAGCCGAGATCATGCCTTTGCACTCCAGCCTGGTGACAAAGTGAGAGTTTGTCTCAAAAAAAAGTTGTTTTGAATTTTTTTCAAGTTGTTATTACTGAAAATTTCCAAACAACAGTAGAAAGAACAATAGAATAAATCCTCAAATTCCTGTGGCCCAGTGTTGATAACCAGGAGCATTTTGCTGTTCTTGAGGAAAAAAAAAATTTAAGGTTAGTCCTCTACCAATTCTAAGTAAAACCCAGTTTCAGATTCACTGAACATTTCCAGATCTTCAAAAGATTCTGTCCTTTCCATTCAGTGTGTGAAAATAAGAGAAATGACTTTTTATCTCTATTTCATTGTTTTAAGTTCATCTGAAAAGCTACTGTGCTTGATGCTAACCTGATTAATCTTGTTTCTCAACTGGTCTAGTTGTAGAAGGCATTATGATTAGATTGTGGATCATGTAAAGCTAGTGGACTGGCTTATGCTGATGGTAATATAAAATTTTCAAAGATATTGATACATTCAAGTGGTGATCTTAAATGAAAAAGATAAAATTTTTAGATAATTAACATAAACTTTCTACATTTAGGTTTAGAAAACCTCTGCATATATATAGGATGTTTAAAGGGATTATAAATTTGTTATAAACTAACAATGTAAATGGTAGCCAAAAATCAAATACTATTTAAACTGTATTGTTAATAATAACAAAAAAGTTGGTAATCCCATTGTATTCTGTTTTTCAGACATCTTAATAGTGTGTGTGTGTGTGTGTGTGTGTGTGTGTGTGTGTGTGTGTGTGTATTCGCATTTTATCCTTTTTAAGAGATAGTGGCAAGTAGGGTCTAGAAACAAAGGAGGACAAATAGTGAAGGATCTTGTCTAATCAAGTCTTAGAAAGAACTAGAGAGGACTAGGATTGGATGGATTTCTATCCTTGAGCAAGTTCTTCTGAACCTTATTAGCATTTTCATCAGTGTAATGGAGATAATATTAGCATTTTCATCAGTGTAACTGAGATATTGCATGTAAAGCATTTAACACTACCCTTGGAACATAGTGAGTGCTCAATAAATTTATTTTTATTTTTATTTTTTTATAGAGACAGGGTCTCACTCTATTGCCCAGGCTGGTCTCAAACTCTTGGGCTTGAGCGATCCTCCTGCTCAGCCTCCCAAAGTGTTGGGATTACAGGTGTGAGCCACTGTGGGCAGCCCACTAAATCTTATTTGGGAATAAAAAAAGGATGCTTACTCTGAAAAATAGAAGTCTTATGGGGACCATAACATTTTAAAATGTTTGAAGGATTAAGTGGAAGAACTAGATATCTCTATCTCAGGGATGAAAAAATGGTAAAAATGAAAGGAAGCAGATTTTAACTTGGTATAAGGAGAATTCTTGGCTGCTTTCTGAAGAAGTAATGTTGAGGCAGAGGCTGAATATTCAGATGATACATGTGTATGATTTCTGCACAGGGCAGGAAGGTGAACTAGATAATCACTTTCATCTTGTGCTATAAAACACATACTTTCCTTTATTTGATTTTATATTAATCAGGATTGAATTGGGTATAACAAAAATCCATGAATATGTGCATGATTATGGCTCATGCACATAATCTTGGCTCTTTGGAAGGCTGAGGTGGAAGGATGGCTTGAGCTCAGGAGTTTGAGACTAGCCTGGGCAATACAGTGAGACCCTGTCTCCAAATAAATAAATAAATAAATAAAATTAGTGGGCATGGTGACAATATAGTGAGACCCTGTCTCTAAATAAATAAATAAATAAAAATTAGCTGGCATGGTGCTATGCCCGTGTAGTCTCATTGGGAGGCTGAGGTGGGAGAATGTCTTGAGCCCAGGAGTTTGAGGCCACAGTGAGTTACAATCATGCTACTGCACTCTAGCCTGAGTGACAGAGCAAGACTTTGTCTCTAAAACAAAAACAAAGGCAATAAACATTGAAGCTGGGCATGATAGCATGAGTCTGTAATTCTAGCTACTTGGAGAGACAGAGGTAAGATGATCACTTGAGCCCAGAAGTTTGAGTCCGGCCTGGGCAATATATTAAGAGCACATCTCTTTTTAAATATTTCTTTTTTTCTTTAGAACCATATGAACATAACCCCATCTCTTAAAAAAAAAAAAATTACATGAGACATGCATAGCATAGAAAAACCAGAAAGGGAAGATAACGAAAAAGAAAAATCACCCATTGATATAGCCACTGTTTGCTTTTGATGTCTGTTTTCCTCACTTTTTAAAAAAAAGACAAAAATGTTTTTCTTCTGTAGTGTTTGTGTCTTAGTCCTTTCCTGCTGCTACAACGAAATACCTGAGACTGGTTAATTTATAAACAACAGAAATTCATTTTTCAAAGTTCTGGAGGCTAGGAAGTCTAAGCTCGAGGTACCAACAGGTTTGGTACCTGATCTCTGCTTTCAAGATGGCACTTTGAATTCTGTGTCCTCCCATGGCAGAAGAGATAGGAAGGCAAAAATGGTGCTCTTATATAGGGTCACTAATCTCATTAAAGAGGGCTTTGCCCTCATGACTTAATCACCTCCTAAAGGTTCTTCCTTTTTTTTTTTTTTTTTTTTGAGAAAGCGTCTTGTTCTATCACCTAGGTTGGAGTACAGTACAGGAGTGCAGTCCAGGAGTGCAATGGCATGATCATAGTTCCTTGCAACCTATGCCTCCAGAGCTCAAGTGATTCTCCTACCTCAGCCTCCTAAATAGCTGGGTCTACAGGTGCACACCACCACACCATGCTAATTTTTGTATTTTCTGTAGAGATGGGGTTTCACCATGTTGCACGTGCTGATCTTAAATTCCTGAGTCCAAGCAGTCTTCCCGCCTCTGCCTCCCAAAGTGCTAGGATAATAGGCATTAGCTACCACGTCTGGCCTAAGGTCCCACTATTATTATTAGTACATTGATGATTAAGTTTCAACATATAAACTTTGGGGACATATTCAGATCATAGCATTTTATAAATTATATGTTGTGAATATTTTTCTATGCCAACAGATATGCTTATACATCTTTTTTAGTTACTGCATATTTCATTGAGTATGCTATGATTTAATCAATCTATAAGATTTTTTTGCTGTTATGTCCATCTGTCAATGCTGCAATTTCATATAACAACAATAATAGATATATCTTGATATATTGCTTATTATGTGTTAGACACCTTTTTAAGTGCTTTATAAGTACTTGTGTGTGTGTGTGTGTGTGTGTGTGTATAGTAAACTTATATCCCTATGAGGTATATAAACTATTTACACATGAGGAGACTGAAACCCACAAACATTATTGATTGCCCAAGGTTGCATACCTGGCAAATGACAGAGCCAGGATTTGACCTTGGCATTCTGGCTCTAGAATTCATTCTCTTAATGAGAAAGCTATATATTTCATGTTTCATAATTAATTTAAAGATGGTTCAGTACCTGAGTTTTTCACCTGATTTCCATCTCATTCTTTTCAAATCATAGACACTATACCATTTCAGGATGTATATCGAAAAGATGAGAATGACTTTAAAAACGTAACAATATCTTTATCATCCTATAACAATTAATAATAATTTTTAAATATCTTCTAAGAAATGTGGAGAGGTATGGGAATTTTAAGTACAGAGGGCAAATTTTAGATAAAATTTAACATTTTATGGAAATGTTAGATTTGGCATACTATAATGAACTCAGTGATCAAGGATTGAAGGCAGTGGAAGTATGAGAAATTTAACCTAAGTAGAAAGATATGGGACATTTTAAATAAATTTAACATTTTATGAAAATGTTAGATTTGGCATACTATAATGAACTCGATGAAGCATCAAAGGTAGTAGAATCTGTTCATCATACGTCTCGTTCACTTCACCCTTATACCTTTGCTTTTCCTGTTTTAAGTGTCTTTTATGTTTATTTTACAATTTATTTGTTCAAATTGGGATCTTAACATTCTACTTGGTTGGTTTGCAGTTTCTGGTTCAACTTTTTCTTTTCTACTTCTCCTTTTTTAACTTAAAATTTATTTAAGAATAAGTTTTTTTTTTCACATTTTGAACTTTTCTTGTCTTTTTTTTTTTTTGAGACGGAGTCTTACTCTGTCACCAGGCTGGAGTGCAGTGGCGCAATCTCGGCTCGCTGCAACCTCCGCCTGGGTTCAAGCGATTCTTCTGCCTCAGCCTCCTGAGTAGCTGGGACCACAGGTGCATGCCACCATGCCCGGCTAATTTTTGTATTTTTAGTAGAGATGGGGTTTCACCATGGCCAGGATGGTCTCGATCTCTTGACCTCATGATTTGCCCGCCTCGGCCTCCCAAAGTGCTGGGATTACAGGCGTGAGCCACCGCGCCTGGCCCACATTTTGAACTTTTCTAATTGCAACCCTGTGATAATATTTAATATGTCATCTAACAGTTTTTAATGTTTTTTACTGGAAACCTGGGTTTGCTGTAAACCATTAGTGATATCTAGAGACTTGATTAGATTTTAGTGTGTTTTTTTAGGTTTTTCTTGTTGGCCAGAAACTTCATAAGTGGCTTGTACTTCTTATTGCATTCTATCAGGAGGCATACAATGCTGGTTGTCTTTTTCTTTTCTTTCTTTCTTTTCTTTTTTTTTTCGAGACAGAGTCTGGCTGTGTTGCCCAGGCTGAGGTGCTGTGGCACAAGCATGGCTCACTGCAGCCTCGACCTCCTAGGTTCAAGGGATCCTCCCACCTCAGCCTCCTCAGCCTGAGTAGCTGCCGCTACACCTGGCTTATTTTTAAAGTTTTTTTGCAGAAATTGGGTTTTGCCATATTGCCCAGGCTGGTTTGGAACTCCTGCACTCAAGCAATCTGCCTGCCTTGACCTCCCAAAGTGCTGGGATTACAAGTGTGAGCCACTGTACCTGGCCTGTTTATCTTTTATATATTAGGACTCATTAGTGGGTTTGTATGTTGTCAGCTGATTCATTCAACAGAAAGTTCCCCTGTCAGCTTTTCACCTGCTGATTTTAGCAGTTATTAATGATCACTCATTGCCTAAATCCATCATTCAGAGGGGTGGTAAAGTAGCGGTATTCTACATCTATCATGCCTTCTACATTTATTAGCCGGAATTTGTCTCAAAAGAACTTTCCCATATCAACTGTTTTATATGCAATTCATGTAGGAGAGATAGGACAAATGCTTGAATCTTTTTCTTTATTAATTTTCAGATGAGTTGGTTTAGCTTCCTCTAAATGTAACCAAGAGACTTAAGGATATTAAAACTCTTTTTTTTATTTTGAGACAGAGTTTTATTCCGTTGCCAGGCTGGAGTGCAGTGGCGCGATCTTGGCTCACTGTGACCTCCGACTCCCTGGTTCAAGCTATTCCCCTGCCTCAGACTCCCAAGTAGCTGGAACTACAGGCACGCACCACCATGCCTAGCTAATTTTTGTAGTTTTAGTAGAGATGGGGTTTCACCATGTTGACCAGGATGGTCTTGATCTCCTGACCTTGTGATCCGCCTGCCTTGACCTCCCAAAGTGTTGGGATTACAGGCATGAGCCCCCGCGCCCAGTGAGATTAAAACTCTTTAATGTGATTTGGCCTAGCCCAGTACTAAATGTAGCCCAGTACTTAATATTATTTGTAATTCTTCTGGTTGATTTTTTTTATTGATTGATTTCCAAAGAGAGGTGCCATTGGACTAGATCTTATAAAGTAACTTGGATAATTTGAGAGGTTCATCATTCTTTTGTGTGTATGTGTATAAATATATGCATATACATTTCAGTATATCTTAAACTTTTATCTGTAAGACTTTACCTAATTCATACTGCTAGTTTCTATGCTTCCTTAAGATTTTGAGTGTGCCTTGGATAAAAGAAAAAAACCTCTTCCTTATGGAAGCCATAATATAACATTGGGACAACGACCAGAAATGCCCTGGGAATCAAATACCGAAATAGTTGGATCAAGGCTGCCACCAGGAGCTGAAAGGTAATTTGCTTCTTAGATTTTATTAACATCTAAATGTTAAATTTGTCATACTATACTGAAGTCAATGATCAAGGATTGAAGGTAGTAGAATCTGTTCTTCCTACGTCATGCATTCCACCTTTGTAACTTTGCTTTTCCTGTCCCTTTGCTTTAATGTTCTCCCTTCTTCTGTCCAACGCCTAGCAATCTCCCTACAGTACTAGAGGAATTGTCCTTAACTAGAAGTAAAATAGTATCTTCTTTTGTGCTCCCCTACCTCGCTACTTTTCCCATAGTACTTAGCCACTTCCTACACTGCATTATAGTAACTTACTATACATCATGTGTTGTCTTTTAGACTATAAGCTGTGTCACTTCATCTTTGTACCCCTCACAGTGGCTTACATATGATAGGCATGTGTAAATATATATTGGACAAAAAAAATGGATGAAAGCAGACAGATATTTACAATAATTTTGTGTAACTTAATAGGTTTCTCATCAGTTACTAATTTCTTAGCAGAAATGTAACTTGGTATACTCATTTATATTCATTGGCTTTTGTTAGTTTATAAAGATACAATCTTGCTCCTGAAAAGCTTGTAATTATTCAGTTTCTTATATTGATTTTGGAAGTAAATATTTTTTGTCTTATGTAGGATTGCTTTGGAATTTTTGGATTCAAAAGCATTTTGTAGAAATATTCCTCACATAAAAGGAAAATCTGCTATGAAAAAACGACATTTGGAAATTTTGGGCTATCGTGTAATTCAGGTATGAAATACTCATGTAATTCAGCCTCTAAAAAGCCCAGAGACACTAGCTGTACATGTGCTTTCTTTTAATGTGTAAGTTCCAGAATTATCTTAAAAAAAATTTTTTTTTTAATGTACACCTCAAACAGGCCAGGTGCAGTAGCTCATGCCTGTGGCTACTTGGGTGGTTGAGGTGGGAGGATTGTTTAATCCCAGGAGACTGAGGCTGCAGTAAGCCATGATCATCCCACTGCACTCAATTGTGGGTGACAGAGCAAGACTCTGTCTCATAAAAATAAATAAAGTTGTCATTTATTTTATTGTCTTTAGACTATTTATATCTTATGATTTCTTTACCTTGTAAAGGAGAGAGACACTATAGAAATGGGTAGAATTATCAGAGGAAACAACTAGTGTATGAATATAGAAGACTATGTAGGAAAAATGTCTATCATTGGTATTGTAGGATAAGGAGGATGAAAGGAGCAGAAAAAAAGTCTTCCAGGCAAGGTCAGAAGGATCCACTTGGTTTCCAATAAAGGTTCACAGACTATCCTTATGTAAATTAATATCACAGGATTCCTACAGCTTTGATCAGTAGTACTTACATGTCTTCCTCAGTGTTTTTTGTTATTGCTTTAAAACTTTCATTCAAATTACATTACTTATTTTACAGATTTCTCAGTTTGAATGGAACTCTATGGCACTGTCAACAAAGGATGCTAGGATGGACTACCTGAGAGAACGTATATTTGGAGAAGTCAAATCATGATTGTAGTTATTTAAAATGAATGTTATTATGTGTCACATTTGGACTTATTTTAATTAAGTGGCCTGACTCAATATAAAATAAGAGGTACAAATATCCTAAGGTGAGAATATGCCTGGCATGTTTGAGAATAACAAAGGATCCAGTGTGGCTGGAGCAGAACAAGTGGGGAGTGGGGTGGGAGTATATAAGAGAAAAGTAAAGAGATAATAGAGTCAAACAGAACCTCTTGGCTACTTGGAGTGAGATGAGAAGCCACTGGAGGGATTCAGGCAAGCTATGATATGAACTCATATTTTAACTGCATTACTTTGGCTACCTTGTTGAGATAAGAAAAGATGAGGCAAATGTGTAAGCAAGAAAACCCTCTATGAGATCATTGCAATAATCCAGGCAAGAAATGAATGGTGGCTTGGAGAGAGTGGTAAGAAGTAGTCAGATTTTTGGATGTATTTGGAAGATAAAGGCAACAGAATTTGCTCACTGAGTGGATATGAGGTATGAGAGAAATAGGAGTCAAGGATGATTCTAAGCTTTTGTCCTAAGCAACTAAAAGGATGTCATTAGCATTAACTGAGATGGGGAGAGTCTACAGGATGAGCAAGATGGGGCAGGTGGTGGGGTTGATCACGAGTTTGTTTTAGGTATGTTGAGTTTGTGATGTCTTTTAAACATCTAAGTGGATATACCAAATAGAGAATTCAGTAAATGAGCTTGGAGGTCAGGGAAGAAGAGATCCAGGCCCCAGATACAATGTATAAGTTGTCAGCAGTATTCAGTGCCCTGAGATGAAATCACTTAAAATGAGATTAAGTAGATGAAATCACCTAAAATGAGATAAGAGTGTGAATGGAGGAGAGGGCTGAGGACTGAGTTCTCAGGTGCTCCAACGTTAAAAGATTAATAGGAAGAAGAGGAATCAGGAAAGGAGACTGAGCAGCGATGGCCAATGAGATAGGAGGAAAGAAGGTAGTAATCCTTCCTAGGAGCCAAGTGAATAAAGCATTTCAAGGAGGTGCGTAGTTGTATCAGATGCTGCTGATAGGTCAGGTAAGAAGAGAAATGGGAAATGGCTATTAAATTTAGCAACATGGAAATCATTAATACTTTGAAAAGAGTCATTTCGAAGTGGCACGTATGAAAGCCTGACTAGTTCAAGAGAAAATGGGAGGATATACGTTTTCTCCTAAATGGAAGCAAAGAAATGGGGTCGTAGTTGAGTGGACCAATCTTCACCTGGTCTGAGCCTGCACATGTTGAGGGAATAATGGTATTTTCCCCGTCTTACAATACATTTATTCAATAAAATGGTTACTGAGAGCCTACTATGTGATATAATCCCCAACCCTTCCTCTAAGAGTGATGGTTTTGTGCTCAGCAGGCCACAGCCTAACTACCCTCACTCAGGCCACCTGGTGATGGTGGCAGTAATTGGCCATCTGAAACGTGGCTATCTTCTGACTCCATGACCCTCTCAGTTCATGACCCTCTCAGACTTAGTTGAAGTACATGTTTAAAATATCCAATGACTTTGCATGATTTGAACTCCAATACTTAATGATTTTGTGGAATATTAACTTCACAAAACATTTTGTGAAAAACAATCAGAATAGTAAGTGAAATGTTTCATTGTTTCTTCCTCTTTCTGAATTTCCTCATATTAGTGGAAATGCTAAATTCAGAGTGTTTAATTTCCATGATTGTGTTCTATTTCTCAAGCAAATGATAAAAAGAACTAAACCCTTGGTTAGGTTAAAATATTTTACTATGCAATTTTAGAATAAAATGATTAGGCTGATGAGGGTTATAAAGGGTTTCCTTTGGATATAAGTGAAAATTTAGTCATTATATACTTGAGGAACATGGAACTCCTGATTGAAAATAACCCTGGTATACTTTCATTAGTTGTTACATCTGATCTAACTTTTCACCTATCACATCTCTTACTCTCTCTAGGCAGCAGTCCCCAACCTTTTTGGCATCAGGGACCATTTTTGTGGAAGACAGTTTTTCCACGGACAGAGGGGGGGATGGTATGGTTTCAAGATAAAACCTCAAATCATCAGGCATCAGTGAGATTCTCATAAGGAGCACACAACTTAGATCGTTCATGTGTACAGTTCACAATAGGAGGGTTCGTGCCCCTATGAGAATCTAATGTAGCTGCTGATCTGACAGGAGGTGGAGCACAGGTGGTAATGCTAGCTTGCCTGCCCACTGCTTGCCTCCTGCTGTGTGGTCCAGTTGGGGAACCCTGCTCCAGGCTATCTGATGCGAATGGTTTTCTTTATATAGATACTGTTATATTTTTGATTGATGATTTTTCTATCTAAATAACTTAGCTTGTTATCAACAAAAGCATTTTTTAATTGAGATACAATTCCCATATTATAAAATTCACCCTTTAAAAGTACATAATTCAGTGGTTTTTAGTATATTTGTGCAACCATCACCCATATCTGTTTCCAGAACATCATCATCCTCAAAAGAAACCCTGCAAGAAGCATTATTTTTACATGTATGTAGACTGGCATTCTCTCCCCAAAAGTAGCCTCAATCCTGATTTTATGGTAAGAGATTCTTACAATTTTATCCCAGATGTGTACTTCTGGACACCATAATCCCTGTGGCCCCCTCTTCCTGCACCCTTTTAGTCTAAGTGTCCCTTTTGCTTCCTAACAGTTTGTTGAAAAACCTGTAGGGTTTTCCACTTTGGGAATTTCTTGATTCTGCATTCATGCTGTAATTATGAAAAGTATTTTTCAATATAGAAGAGTAATCAGGATTCTACTTTAAATATCTAAAATAAAACTTTTTTCTGTTAAATATATTTCTGTATTTATGATTGAGAAAAAACGGTGTATGGATACTTAGATCTGTTCTTTATGCAACTCCTTGACAAATAATAATGAATGTTCCAAATCAGTCCCAAGTCAGGTTTTTCAGAAAATAACGTGTAAGGATAGAAGTCAAATATATGTCTATGAAAGCTATGTGAGACCCATAAGCTGGTGTGTGGCTGAAAGTGATGATTAATTTATGACTTGCAGAGTTGAATGTGATAGTTATGAGCAGACTGAGGAGTCACCTTACTATATGCACTAAGAAGAAACAGTGAATGGAGGACATCACATCCCAGAAAATGAATGTGATCACCCTTCCTTGCAGTCAGAAATTTAGCAAATAGCCCCTTCACAGAGAGTAGCCAAAATTTAAATCAGTGAATACACATCCTCCTCCACATCTCCCACTGACCCCATCTTCTGCCCCAGCATTAAAGAATCAATCCATTTCCTAAGGGTGCTCTCTTACCCTCTTGCCACAGATGCTGTAGTTATTGGCTTGAAGACTAATTTACTGGTTTTAATAAAAATTTGATTTGGAAACCACGAATAACGTGCCAGTGTCGCAAAAAAAAAAAAAAAAAAAAAAAAAAAGAGAAAAATGGCCATTTGAATTTGACTATTTTTACTTAGAAGAGATTTTTTCCCCATCCATTTATTACACGTCTGAAGTAGCATTTCTGAAGTCATCTTACGGCATGTAATTTTTAGCAAAATGCACAGGATTCCTGTCATTTTGAAGCATGAGGAGAGGTTTTTGATATCTTAAACATTTTTTTAATGTAGATGCACATATTCTCCACTTCCAATTGTAATAGAAAATCAGTGTAAAGATACCCTAACAATGCAAATGAAATGATTAACAAATAACTCAAATTTAGGAGCCTTCTTTACAATCCATTGAGTGAAACATTCACAAAATAATTTGTTCAACTGAATATTTAATTTCTTATTAGAAAATGGTTTTAAGTTCTGAACATTACATTGAAGAGTCAGTGACTGAGGTTTTGTTACCTACTGCTCCTCTCTAAGACAGTTTCCTGAATAATTTCTACATGAGTGTCTGTACAAGCTTTTAAAAAACAATAAATTAAAGCCCCATTCACCACACAAACCACCTCCCCCTTATGTTTTGTCACCTTGTTCATAGTTTAGACAGTTTGAAGAGATTTAAACGTGTTGCTAGGCAACTAGCTCCTGAAGCATAGCGTATTTCCTTCAACATCCCAGCCCATTCTTTTTATCATCTTCATACCTGATGGAGGGAAAAAAAGTAATCAATAAGCAGCTTTAGTTCTATAGGTTTCCCTGTGTTTGGTATACAAATGTGGATCTTTGAAAAAACTCTAGTGGCTCTTATTCAGAGGAAGATGCACCTACCTGGTAGAACGGCACTTGAATATCTCCCAAATAAATAGGCAGTCTGAATGAGCATGTACCTGAACTACTACTGCCACAGTTTTTAATCTGGATGCCTAGGCAGTTCAGCCTTCTCTCTCTTTTTTTAAAAATAATATTTAATATTTTTAGTAGAGACAGGGTTTCACCATGTTGGCCAAGATGGTCTCAATCTCTTGACCTTGTGATCCACCTGCCTTGGCCTCCCAAAGTGCTGGGATTACAGGCATGAGCCACTCTGTCCACCCAGTTCAGCCTTCTCTGGGAATCAAAGACTGCACAGAGAAGAGGAATAAACAGCTAAGCAGTTAAACATTCACCTTTGAACTGATGGAAGATGGCTGGTTTCTTTGAGTCAAGGTAAGCAGACTCTTGCTTAAGAGAAAAACTGGGGGAGAGTAGACTATCGGTAGCCTTAGTTATGCCTTCAGTTGTTCCTGTATGCTAGTGTCTAGCATGGCACCTGATACACAACAGTCGCTTTATGAAAATTTGTTCCCCTTCCTTCCCCTTTATTGTTCTGTTTGAGGACAGCTCTTAGACTTTGCACTTGACTTTGGTAAGGACTGGTCTTCATCTCTGAATATTGAAGGTTATAAAGATATAGACAACTTGAATTCCCTTGTACCATGTGTGCCAAACATGTCTGCTCTGCCTGGGGCCAGGAATGTTTTCTCTGTGTGGGAAGCTTCTAAATGCTGCCTTCTCTCTGAAACCTTTCTCACCTTCCTTAAGCACAGTTTGTTGCTTTCTCTTCATTTCTCATATCATCCTTTATATGGTATTATAGCAATTATCACTCCATTTTAATTTTCCCCCCATGTCAATGTCCTCAAGTCCCAAAGGCATCTGAGGACAAATAATATATTTATCCACCTTAATATCTCTCCACAAGTTGTGAAGACTTGGCACAAGACTTACCCCAAATCAGCCTGGCATGGTGGCTCATGCTTGTAATCCCAGCACTTTGGGAAGCCAAGGCGGGCAGATCACCTAAGGTCAGAAGTTCAAGACCTTGGCCTGGCCAATATGGCAAAACCCCATCTCTAATAAAAATATAAAAATTAGCTGGGTTTGGTGGTATGTGCCTGTAATCCCAGCTACTCCAGAGGCTGAGGCAGGAGAATTGCTTGAAACCAGGAGGCAGAGGTTGTAGTGAGCCAAGATTGCACCACTGCACTCCAGCCTGTGTGACAGAGCAAGACTCCATTTAAAAAAAAAAAAAAAAGATTTACCCAAATCATTCTATGATGAATGAAGGAGATTTAAAATAATTATTAGAATTAGCTTGTACCTACGTACAGTATTCACTGACTTAATTTCATCAGTGTTCCAGATTCTCAACAATTACACCATGCACTCATGGTATAATTTTTTTTTTTTATGTAGAGGAAAGCATACAAAAAAATTTTGCTACTAATAAAGGGAAGAACCTCAATCATATAAAATTCAGGGCAACAAATTAAGAGATAAATAGTTTTAAATGATCTAAACAAAGTGACCACATTTAAACAATACAAAGTTAAGGTTTAATGAGGCTTAAAAATGTTTGTTTCCTGGTAGTTATATTTTTACTTTCAGCTTGGTAAATCCTAAATAATGGAATGATTTTAAGAAAAAAATACAAGAATGGATTTTTTTTTAAAACATATAGTAAGAGGGTCTGCGTTTAGAATGTGGTATACTGAGTTTTCACCTCTGCATGTGTGGGTAGAGAGGTTCACTAGGAAATGGAGGGCAAATAGCCACATTTCTCTACATCAGCAGCCTTCAACTTTACCACACATCTAAGTCTCCTGGAGGGTTTGTAAAACACAGATCAATGGTCCTATCACCCTCAGAATTTCTAATTCAAAAATTTGAGGTGAGGCCTGAGAATCTGCCTTTCTGATAAGGACCCAGGTGATGCTAACGCTGCTTTGGGAAGTACTGTATTAGATCACTGGTTCTCTAACTTAATTGCACAATAGAACCATCTGGAGATGTTAAAGATACCGATGCCTGGGTCCTACTTCGGAGATTGAGTTAATTGGAATGAAGGGTGGCCTGGGCATCAGGATTTTTTAAAGCTCCCCAGGTGATTATAATATGCAGCAAAGTTTCAGAATCATGCTCCAGATAATACCCCAAATTAGAAAATGCCAGTCTCTAAACAGCCAAGCAGATAGTGATGAATGTCCCCATCTTCTCTTTACCCAATCCAGTGGTTCTGAAACGTGTCTACACATACAGAAACATCCAGGGATTTTTAAAACTTCCAAAGCTCAGACTGTACTTCAGACCAATTAAATCACAGTCAATATGAGTGGGACAGAGATGTTAGTATTTTTTTCCTTTTAATTTTTTCCCAGCTACATGGGGTTTGCAGATGTTGGTATTTTTTGAAGCACCCTCGTGATTCCAATGTGTGGGCAACTTTGGGAAACACTGCCCTAATCACAAAATAAACCACAATCAGAGAGGATCCCTCTTTCAGGTTCCCTTGAATAATGTCAGGGCTACTTTAATAGTAGGAGATTTTGTACTTTCTTAATGCTGACTGCAGCTTTTACCTGCAGGGGCAGCATGACTTTTGACAACCCTTAGGAACCAGAAGGGCTTTGGTGAGGTTCCACTGACTGACAGCACAATTCCTTAATATCAGTGTTTCTCAACCCTGGCTGCTGATTAGAATCATCTGGGGACAGGCTTGGTGGCTCATGCCTGTAATTCCAACACTTTGGGAGGCCGAGGTGGGTGGATTACCTGAGGTCAGGAGTTTGAGACCAGCCTGGCCAATGTGGTGAAACCCCATCTCTACTAAAAACAGAAAAATTAGCTGGGTGTGGTGGTGCACACCTGTAGTCCCTGCTACTCAGGAGGCTGAGGCAACAGAATTGCTTGACCCCAGGAGGCAGAGGTTGCAGTGAGCCAAGATCGCACCACTGGGCTCCAGCTTGGAAGACTGAGTGAGACTCTGTCTCACAAAAAAAATCACCTGGGAATGTTTTAGGAACTAGAGATGCTCAACTCTACCTCCAGAAATTCGAATATAATTGATCTGTGTTAAGGCCCAGACACTGGTATATTTTAAAAGCATCCCAGATGATTGCAACATATAGCTATGGTTGAGAATCACTGCCCATTTATACTTGGTACCTGGCCCTGTTTCTAAAAAAAAACCCTAACCTTCCCAGCCCTCATTAGTTCATCCTTTTTTCCTAGTGCTTCCAGCTTTTCCCCATCACACTGTCTTGTTAATTCTAGCCTCTTTACTCCGTGGAAAACTCTTCTCTTCCTCCCTATTTTTTTGGGGGAAGGGAGATAATAGTTAATTTCCTTATATAGCCACTTTTTTTCTTGCCCTCTACACAGCTAGTTAATATTACAACATGGGGAAATGATGTCGAATGCACAAATCATTGTTTGGTTAAGGTACCAGCTTTTCAGCCTTTTTGGTTCACCAGCTGGGAATAAAGCATCTGCTGGTTGAGTTATAGAACAAATAATACCCACTTTCCAGTCTCAGGCTTAGTGGAATGCCTTCACCGATTAAGTATAAATGGCACTCTTCCAAGCTGTACTTACAAACTTAAATGTGCAAACAGTTCACCTGGGAATCTTGTTAAAATACAGATTCTCATACAGTGGGATGTGGGATTCTATGGTTTTTTTTTTTTTGAGACAGAGTCTCGCTCTGTTGCGGAGGCTGGAGTGCAGTGGCAGAATCTCAGCTCAAATAAGATAAAAACAAACTTTTTAAAATAGCTTCACTAAAGTAGTTCAATTGAGTAACAATTCCAAGTGTCATACTTGGGAGAACTACCTGGCAACTACTTGGGAGGTAAAATGGATTGCTACTTTGACTTTTTTCATTTTAAAAAAGCATTTGTTAGCTGAATCCTCAAACAAGTGGAAGGCTGTTTAGATTCAAAACAGAACCAAAGTAGTAGTGGAAAACTCAAGAGGTTAAATGCTTCTTTAGGCCGGGCATGGTGGCTCAGGCCTGTAATCCCAGCTACTCAGGAGGCTGAGGTGGGAGAATCACTCGAACCCAGGAGGCGGAGATTGCAGTGAGCCAAGATTGTGTCACTGCACTCCAGCCTGGGCAACTGAAACTCCATCTCACAATAAATAAATCAATAACATTTAAAAGTAAAAATAAATAAATGTTTCTTTAGAACTCTGTTTTCTTAGGAAATAAACTACTCTGGAGCAAAGAGGCCTTCTTCGCTCTACTGGTTGCCTACAGCATTGCACTCTTAGAGCTGGAATGAAGCTTAGAGTATCAAAGTTCCAACTCTCATTTTACTGTAAGAAACAGGCCCAGATAATTTCTTTCCCAGGCTCACAACTAATTAGAAATAGTTACTTACTCAAGTAAGTGGCATGTACAAAAGTTCAATTAGGTTTGAAACGTTTAGTCTGCTACCAAGAAGTAGCTTGCATGTTGGGAAAATCTGGCTTATTATTACTACAAAATCATTTTTCAGTCATCTGATTTAATATGTGCTTCTGAAAATTGAAGTCTTGGAACTTACTTCCATATGTCATTGACTTCAGTGGGTGCAAATTCTTTAGACTCCAGTTGAATCATAGCAAAACCACCAATCGCATACAGAGATCCAGCCAGGCTGACCAAACTGATGGAGCTTCTTTCTTGGGGAAATTCAGTCATTACATCCCATCTAGGTATCATTAAAAATATAGTCAGTGTAAAACTTAAAGAAATGCCAGATAGGTACTTACTGAACAAGTATAAGAAATCGTAATTTAAAAATTCAAGTAATGGCCTGGCACGGTGGCTCATGCCTGTAATCCCAGCACTTTGGGAGGCCAAGGTGGGCAAATCATATGAGGTCAGGAGTTTGAGACCAGCCTGACCAACATGGTGAAATGTCGTCTCTATCAAAAATACAAAAAATTAGCCAGGCATGGTGGCACACACCTGTCATCTCAGCTATTTGGGAGGCTGAAGTAGGAGAATCACTTGAACCTGGGAGGTGGAGGTTGCAGTAAGCTGAGATTGTGCCACTGCACTCCAGCCTGGGCAACAGAGGGAGACTCCATAATTATAAATAAATAAATAAAAAATTCAAGTAGTGGCCAGATGTGGTGGCTCATGCCTGTAACCTCAGCACTTTGGGAGACTGAAGCAGGAGGATTGCTTGATCCCAAGGAGTTTGAGACCAGCCTGGGCAACAAAATGAGACTGTCTCTACAAAAAAAAAAAAAAAAGCGAGGCCTGGTGGTGTGTCCCTATAGTCCCAGCTACTTGAGAGGATCTCTTAGCCCTTGAGGTCAAGGCTGTGGTGAGCTATGATTGCACCGCTGCACTCCAACCTGGGTGATAGAGCAAAACCCTGTCTTTAAGAAAAAAAATTCAAGTAGCATAGGCATCCAGAAGTAGAAAACTAAGTTTGCTACTAGAAAATATTTGAAAGATATAACTTCATTAAACAGAAAGCCTTCAATACATCAACTCTAAGCCCAGGCATGGTGGCTCATACCTCTAACCCCACTTGGTGAGGCCAAGGTGGGTGAATCACCTGAGGTCAGGAGTTCGAGACCAGCTGGACCAAAATGGTGAAACCCTATCTCTACTAAAAATACAAAAAATGAGCAGGGCATGGTGGCGCATGCCTGTAATCCCAGCTACTGGGAGACTGAGGCAGGAGAATCGTTTGAATCCAGGAGGCAGAGGTTGCAGTGAACCAAGATAGTGCTGTTGCACAACAGCCTGGGCAACAAGAGCAAAACTCTATCTCAAAAAAAAAAAAAAAAAAAAAAAGAAAAGAAAAGAAAATGCACATTATAGAAAATCCACACTCCAGCCTGTGTGACACAGTGGGACCCTGTCTAAAAACAAACAGAAAGTTTGACAAAATCTGGAAAGTACAGAACAACATACAAGAAAGCAATATCTCCATAATCATACCTTATGACATAATCACAAGCAACAGTTTGGAACAATTTGATATAATATTGTCATCTTTTTATAAAGCATGTACATATAAACTTCCATACATATAAATGAAACTAAGAAGATATTTACAATTTTGTGTGCTGCTTGTTAAACTTACACCATGAGTGTTTACCCACATTACAGTCTTCAAAAACATTGTTTTTAATGATAATTTAAATCGTGTTCCACGAAAGTTCCTTGTAATTTTCATATACTAAAGTCTGTTTTGTAGTCAGGCATACATGTTCCTAAAAATAGTAATAATAGTTCTGGCCAGGCATGGTGGCTCACGCCTGTAATCCCGGCACATTGGGAGGCCGAGGTGGGCAGAGCACAAGGTCAGGAGTTCGAGACCAGCCTGGCCAACATAGTGAAACCCCATCTCTACTAAAAATACAAAAAATTAGCCGGGCATGGTGGCGTGCACCTGTAGTCCCAGCTACTTGGGAGGCTGAGGCAAGAGAATCACTTGAACCCAGGAGGCAGAGGTTGTGGTGAGCTGAGATCTCACCACTGCACTCCAGCTTGGGCAACAGAGTGAGACTCCGTCTTAAAAAAAAAATAGTAATAATAGTTCTCTTTTGTCTTCACTGCTAAACTAGGAATATAAAAAACGTGTACTCATTCAGATGTGTGAGCTCAAATTTTAAAAAGACCAACTTTATATGAAGAATAGCTGTCAAATAGCTTTTCACATTGTCAATAAAAAGCTCAAAAGTAAAAATGTTCATAAAAGTATAAACAGCATAAAGAAATGAAAACTTCTGAAACATTCATACTTTACAGGTATCAATCTTTAACAAGTTAAGTGAAGATCTTTTTGTACTTAAACTACATATTTCAAATCAATTCGACAGAGACATGTATACCTATGTACACATAGACAGTTTTTCAGGGCCAGGTGTGCTGGCTCACACCTATAAATAATCCTAGCACTTTGGGAGGCCAAGGTGGGAGGATCATTTGAGGCCAGGAGTTTAAGACCAGCCTGGACAACATAGTGAGACCCTGTCTGTACCAAACAAAAACAAACAAAATAGCTGGGCATGATGGTATGCACCTATAGTTCTAGCTACTCAGGAGCCTGAGGCAAGAGGATCACTTGAGCCCAGGAGTTTGGGGCATCAGTCCAGCCTTGGCAACGGAGCCAGACCTTGTCTCTTAAAAATAAAAAAAAAAAAAGTTATTCACAAGTATTACCTTTGCATATCTAAGTTCACAAAGTTAATAACAAGGACAAATAGGGCATGACAACACAAACTTGAGGGTCATATTTTCCAAATTACAAACATAATGCATCAGAATGTTAGATGAGATTTACATCCAGTAACAGCAAAAGAAACCCAGATGAAAATACCTCCTCTGTAATATGTGGCTCTCTACCCTCCCCTCCCCACATACTAATTTGAAAGATTACTTTTTATCCACAGTTAACAATTAAAATGTATAGTTGTTCATATGCTATACTAAGATGTAGCGACTCACTTATTGGTTGTAAGGTCAAAAGCTTCAACTGAAGCTGAAAGACCATCTTCAGTGACACCTCCTGCAATCACAATTTTGCCTTTATGGACTGCTACTCCAAACATGGAACGAGGAGTTTTCATTGGAGCCACGTCTTTCCAATCTCCTTTTTTGGGGTTGAAGATAAACACTCTGTTTGTACATTTTCTGTAAACAAAAAAACAAATGTTCCTTTTAGAACCTTCTGTCTCTGAAAGCACCTTTGGCTTTGCTTGTAAGAAATAGGTTGTAAGGCATAATAATTTGGCTTTGCTTATCATAAGAAATATATAGTAAGGCATAAGATCAGAAAAACTCCAAAGAATTTTTTTTAATTAAAAAAATATTTTATTTTATTTTATTTTAAAGAGACAGGGTTTTGCCATTTTGGCTAGGCTGGTCTCAAACTCTTGGCCTCAAGTGATCCACCTGCCTCGGCTTCCCAAAGCGCTGGGATTACAGGCATGAGCCACCATGCCCAGCCCCAAATAATTCTTTTTTTTTTTTATGGTGCAAAGATATACATATATTTAGAATTAGCCAGCTGGACTCAGTTTAGATGATCCCAATTTTGTTGGCAACATCCAAAGCATCGTAATCAGGAGCCAGTCGAACATATGCCTTCTTCCCTCCATCAGGCCGAATCAGAGTGTTGACCTTGGCCACATCAATGTCATAGAGTTTCTTCACAGCCTGTTTGATCTGGTGCTTGTTGGCTTTAACATCCACAATGAACACAACTGTGTTGTTGCCTTCTATCTTCTTCATGGCAGACTCAGTGGTCAGTGGAAACTTGATGATCGCATAGTGGTCAAGTTTGTTTCTCCTGGGGGCGCTCTTCCGAGGATATTTGGGCTGCCTCCGGAGTCGCAGTGTCTTGGGCCACCAGAAGGTGGGTGACGTGCGGATCTTCTTTTTTTTGTGGCTGTGGACACCTTTCAATGCTGCCTTCTCGGCCTTTAAAGCCTTCACTTTGGCTTTGGCTTTAGGAGGGGCAGGAATGTCCTTCTTCGCTTTCGACGCCATCTTGTGAAAAGGGTCCAAGAATTCTTAATTTGAACATATGACACTAAGCAAAGGATAAGCCCAAATGTGGAGATAAAAACTATTTTATAAGGCCAGGCACGGTGGCTCATGCCTGTAATCTTAGCACTTTGGGAGGCCGAGGTGGGTGGATCACCTGAGGTTAGGAGTTCAAGACCAGCCTGGCCATCACGGTGAAACCCCATCTTTATATATATATATATAGTAGGGGTTGAAATATATATATATATATTATAACTTAATTTGGCTACTGGAAGGTAGGGTACCTTTACTTCTGGATAACTGCTTAGAAGCCCAGGCAAAGCTGATTTTAATCCTATCTACTAAATTCAATTTAAGCTTTCATTTTACTCTATTTGAGTAAAAAAAAAAGTGTAAACCTTTTATTGTACCTCAATAACAAATGGTAAGTTTATTTATTATCTGAATATCCTAGGAATTAATCAACTAACTTAAAAAAATAATTAGGTGCAAATGTATCTACTTTAAATTTTATATGATACATCATTTTATATTAGCACAAATATACCAGTGCATTTTAAGAAATCTGGGACTGTAGATTAGACAATGAATCATCTGAGCTGATGAATAATGAGAAGAGCTTTATATGCTAAATGCTACCAGAAAGACCTGGACTCATCTGAATTATTCTTAGTATGTTATGGGGTCTCACTCTGTCACTCAGGCTGGAGTTCAGTGGTATGATCTTGACTCACTGCAACCTCCGCATCTAGGGCTCAAGAGATTCTCCCATCTCAGCCTCCCAGGTAGCTGGGACCCCACAGGCTCATGCTACTGCACCCAGCTAATTTTTTATATGCTTGGTAGAGACAGGGTTTCACCATGTTGGCCAGGCTGGTCTTGAACTCCTGAGCTCAAGTGATCCTCCTGCCTTGGACTCCCAAACTGCTGGGATTATAGGTGTGAGCCACTGCACCCGGCCCTTAGTATTTTTTATGGTTCCTTAAGTTATCTATAATTTGATGGGAGTTCAGAATTCCAAATAATAATTGATTAACTGGATATATTTGGTGATGAAAAACACCTCAACATTTTTTGTGAGGAAAGTTTTTTTCTTAACTATGTAAAAGACCAGTTATCTGGAGCATAAGCAGTTCCTCTAATATTTGACTATGGGTATGAACATTATCCAAAATCACGTTCTTCAAATTCATGGGACCTGGTGCAATTCAGCACTTACTTTTAGATAATGACTCATTTCAAAGTTCTTGACTTTGACATTTGTCAAGCAGTGTTTTGTTGGTTAATCATATTCTCAAGATTAATATATTCCTACTGACAAGAACTGTATGCTTCTTACTGACATATCAATTTCCTAGTTACTAATGCTACTTGAAGGAAACAATTTAAATCATTTGGCAGGTTCCTGTGTTTCCAAAGTCAGAACGCTCTTTAGTAGTGATTATCCATTCCATTTACTCAGGAAAAATGCCCAAAATAGATCTTGCACCAGGTGAGCTTGTAATACACCTTCCTTTAAATTTGATAGGAATAGGTGGGATTAAAGAGGATATCAACATTTTAGAATATATTATTTTGAATACAGGTAGATGTTTAAAAACCATTGCTTCTCCCACCTGCCACTGGGCAAATCCTCCAGATCAAAAAAACCATTTCTTTTTAAAATCACCTTTTCTGTGTTATATTTACCATATTAATTGACTAATACCCATTAATCATTAACTCCAGAATAGAGTTCTTGGTATCTAACACATTTCCATAGTTTACTCTCCTTTCCTGCTTTGTCCTTACAATTCTTAATTTGGCTCCCTTTTCAGGGTTGGACATCTCTATTAATTCAACTGCCTGAGCAAATGATGACAAGCCAAATTAGGCAGAGTTTTCAGGGGCAGAATATTAGTTCTCACCATCTAAACTGAAAATGCTCATTTTACTAGACTGGCTATACTGGTTTGACTGTCTCTGGAGGATTTGGAGCTCACTCACTTTTCCTCTGAGTTATAAGATCTCTTTCCCAATTACCGATTCCTTGAGAATTGACTAGAAATCCAGTTAGATTTAGATGTGAAACCTCATCTTGGTTTTCTCACAGAGACTGGGTGCCACTGGGAGCCTGTTTTTGAACAGTTATTAGGCATTTTGAATATTACCTCTGTCAGGGAGTAAATATGTGGAACACTGCTGAAGAAATAACTGCCTTCATTTTTTTTTTTTTTTTTTTTTGAGATGGAGTCTTACTCTGTTGCCCAGGCTGGAGTGCAGTGGTGTGATCTTGAATCACTGCAAGCTCCACATCATGGGTTCAAGCAATTCTCCTGCCTCAGCCTCCTGAGTAGCTGGGATTACAGTCGGCTACTCTTTGTATTTTTAGTAGAGTCGGGGTTTCACCATGTTGGCCAGGCTGGTCTTGAACTCCTGACCTGTGATCCACCCACCTCGGCCTCTCAAAGTGCTGGGATTACAGGTGTGAGCCACCTCGCCTGGCCCATTTTTTGTTTTTATTTTGTCTTTTTTACTGCCCTCTTTTTTCTTTTTAATTTTTTTAATTTTAATTTTATTTTATTGCATTTTAGGTTTTGGGATACATGTGAAGAACATGCAAGATAGTTGCATAGGTACACAGGTGGCAGTGTGATTTGCTGCCTTCCTCCCCTTCACCTATATCTGGCATTTCTCCCCATGCTATCTCTCCTCAACTCCCCACCCCCGACTGTCTCTCCCCTATTCCCCCTAACAGACTCCAGTGTGTAGTGCTCCCCTCCCTGTGTCCATGTGTTCTCATTGTTCAACACCCGCCTATGAATAAGAACATGCGGTATTTCATTTTCTGTTCTGTGTCAGTTTGCTGAGAATGATGGCGAACTCATCGTTTTTGATGGCTGCATAATATTCCATGGTATATATGTGCCACATTTTCCTGTCCAGTCTCTCGTCGATGGGCATTTGGGTTGGTTCCAGGTCTTTGCTATTGTAAACATTGCTGCAATGAACATTCGTGTGCATGTGTCCTTATAGCAGAATGATTTATAATCCTTTGGATATATATCCAGTAATGGGATTACTGGGTCAAATGGAATTTCTATTTCTAGGTCCTTCAGGAATCAACACACTGTCTTCCATAATGGTTGACTAATTTACACTCCCACCAGCAGTGTAAAAGTGTTCCTATTTCTCCACATCTTCTCCAGCATCTGTTGTCTCCAGATTTTTTAGTGATCGCCATTCTAGCTGGCATGAGATAGTATCTCAATGTAGTTTTGATTTGCATCTCTCTGATGACCAGTGATGATGAGCATTTTTTCATATGTTTGTTGGCCTCATGTATGTCTTCTTTTGTAAAGTGTCTGTTCATATCCTTTGCCCACTTTTGAATGGGCTTGTTTGTTTTTTTCTTGTAAATCTGTTTGAGTTCTTTGTAAATTCTGGATATCAGCCCTTTGTCAGATGGGTAAACTGCAAAAATGTTCTCCCATTCTGTTGGTTGCCGATTCACTCTAATGACTGTTTCTTTTGCCATGCAGAAGCTGTGGAGTTTGATTAGGTCCCATTTGTCTATTTTGGCTTTTGTTGCCAATGCTTTTGGTGTAATTTTTATTTTTTTAAGAGACAGGGTCTCGCTGTGTTGCCCAGGCTGGAGTACAGTGGCTATTCACAGACACGATCCCACTACTGATCAACACGGGAGTTTTGACCTGCTCCATTTCTGACCTGGGCTGGTTCACCCCTCCTTAGGCAACCTGGTGGTCCCCTGCTTCTGGGATACTGCCCTCTTTTCAATCACCATATTTTTCTTTCAAACTGACCTAGCTAAAGTCCCTTTGTGAATGTAAAGTACAAATCCATGATTTTTTTAATGCACAATTATCTTAGAAGATACATTTCAAATACTACATTAAAGAGTACATTTACATTTTTATCTACTTATAGCTAAATGAATAAGAAAGCCCATTGGTTTTAATGAAGTAAAATACAATTGTAAATCAGTGAAATAGAGGACTTGTTTATGCTCCTAGAGGCTACCTGTACTATAAGGATGCTTATGATTGGGGTACGAGGCTCATTCCTAGCAGTATGCTGAGTATCTACATGTTTACTTCAGCAACTTGAAATTTTATTTTAAGATTTTCCCTCCACAATATGATAGGTGAGAATCATGTCCCATTTTAGTATGCAGATCCAAATAAAAAGAGGAAGAAACCTTTCTAATAAAAAGTCATTTGGGCTGGGTGTGGTGGCTCACACCTGTAACCCCAGCACTTTGGGAGGCCGAGGTGGGTGGATCACTTGAGGCCAGGAGTTCGAGACCAGCTTGGCCAACATGGTGAAACCCCATCTCTATTAAAAAAAAAAAGTCATTTGGACATAAATCATGAGAGTTCAGGTACTTACTTGTCATCTGTCTTTCCTCCTAGACAATATATCATCCCTTTATGTGAAATCACATTATGGCCATAGACTTTGATAGGAAGTTTTTTTACTTCGTTCCATTTTGTAGCCCTAAAATTAAAGGAGACAGAATTTATATACTTTCAGTAAATTCCAGGTTTTGAAAATATGAATGTGTTGTAGGCATGCATATACTTGAATGCTTAGGGAATGGGAATATCATGCCAACTTACACAGGATCATAGCATAATACTGAATCCAGCGAAGCCTCTGTTTGAAGATCTTTGCCTGCAACTACATAGATTTTATCATCTACCTCTCCCAGACCGAAGAGACACCTGGCTGAAGGCAGAGGTGGAAGTCCAACCCATTCAGATGCTATGCTATCGAGCTGAAAAAAATATATGAGGGATTGTAGAGCTTGTTAGATAAAAGTTACAAGTATACCAAAAAAAGTTACACTTTATATGTTATTTAGAGGTCATTGAGATAGCCAAATATTTCACAAGTAAATAAAACTACAATCTCAAAGTATCATATTGTAGTTCATTATTACCAAGAAGAATAAGTAAATTTACTTGGCCTACCAGATAAAGACCAAAATCTTCAAGACTTCAAGAAAAGAAAGAATAAATTAGAATCCCCAGAAGTTAGAACCATGAGGTTTCTTGTCAGATTTTCTCCCATGTTGCCTTGTTCAGCTTTGAAATAGGAGATCCTCATACTTTTAAGACACTGGGGAAAGAAAGGCTGTCAGAGCAGGGAGGGTCACAGAATGTGAATGACCCCTGCATACTATATTTAACATGCTCCACACGCCAGCGGCTGGGACAGCTGGACCTGTCGCTCAGTCCACAGACAACTGGGATGTTAGGCAATATCCTTTTTTCTTTATTTAAAAACATTTTAGGTTATCTGTGTTTTTGCCTTATTATTTCTGATACAGGCAGGTGTTAAAGTGAATTTCCTAGTGTGTTGTTGGGAGTCATTTGAAATACCCTTCTCTATTGTTTTTTTATTTATTTATATTAATAAGTAACTGCTTGTTTTTGCTTACCACCACTTCTGGAAGCTTAAGATTTTTCCAAGGAGGAAAATCTCCTTGTGCCCATACTCTGGGGTAGGTGATTCTGGCATGGTGGCATCTGTTTCATCACTTATTTTTGGTAATTTAAAGGTTTTACACTTTGCATTTTAGCATACTAAGGCATAAGAAAACTGTTTTCTACAAGAGTACAGTTGCAGATTTGTTGTTCTCTGTGGTGCCACTTCTAGATTGCAAAAACAAAATGAATAAAACCCAGTTTCATTGGATACTAAGGATAGATGTGCATAAAATGGCCGTTGTATAGACAGGGATGTCTGTGGAAGCCTATCTATATGTGGTCTGGTAATCTCAGTTAAACAAAGCGCTAATTAAGACTAAGTGACAAGAGAGGTTTAATCTCGACATGTGCATTGTTAGCTCTGCATTCACTAATTTCAACAGCTAGATTTTGATCCCTTATGTTTCCACTTTTGAAAGAAATTATTTGATGATGAAGGTAGTGTGTAATATAGTAGAAATACTAATGAATATTTATGGAGTTTGACTGTTGTCATAGGCTTTGAATGAAATGCTTTTCACAGGTAACCTTATTTAGTTCTCCAGTATAGGCATGTCTATCATCCCCATTTTACAGATGAGGAAACTGAGGCATAGAAAGATGAAATTAGTTGCCCAAATACACAGAGCTTTTAGGTGATATTCAAATACAAGCCATCTAAATCCATAGTTTGTTTTAAAAAATGGAACAGCAACCATCATAATCCCATATCTGAGGACTTAACTTTCATACTGTACAGTACTGTCTACCTTCCCATATTACCCCTTAGAAGCCACTTTCTACAGCAGATGGAACAGTAGACTGCCTGCCAGTCTCTTTTATAGATGAGCTATCAAGCTATTTAACTTCTCTGAGTTCCACTTTCCTCATTGTTAAAATTAGAGTTTGGACCTAAATTACTTTAAGACCTGTTCAAAACTTGATGAATCTATTAATTCATCAAATTCATGAGTGGGGAAAAAAACCTCTCTTACCAAGACAAAAAATTGTTATAATCTGGGGCTGGGTGCAGCGGCTCATGCCTGTAATCTCAGCATTTTGGGAGGCTGAGGCCAGGAGTTCGAGACCAGCCTGACCAACATAGTGAAACCCCATCTCTATTCAAAATACAAAAAATTAGCCAGGTATGGAGGTGCATGCCTATAGTCCCAGCCACTGGGAGGCTGAAGCACGAACTGCTTGAACCCGGGAGGCAGAGGTTGCAGTGAGCCGAAATTGCACCACTGCAACCCAGACTGGGCAACAGAGTGAGCTCCATATCAAAAAAAAAAAAATTCTTATAATCTATTTATAGCATACAATGAAAGGTCAAATTACTCCTAAATTAATGCATTTTAAATAGATATGACCAAGCAGAAAAATATAAAACCTGAAATTCTCATACAAATATTATCTGATGAATCACTTCACCTCTTTTATGGTGAAGTGTTATCCTAGCATCCTGTTTATTAGTGCTTTTTAAAAGCAGCAAGGCATTTGTAGTGAGAGGGAGTTGACCTTCCAGCTTTGTATAACTATTATTGGGGTTATAAAGAGTATTAAATAGGTTTCTTAAACCAAAAATGAGAAGCTGGGTCAGTAAAAGTAAGGGTTTTATTAGTCTGGAAGAGAAGGATAAAGATTAAACTGAACACTTGAAACTAAAAAGAACTGTGTTATAAATATATTCAATAAATTAAATATGAAATGAAATTTAAAACTCTAGTAGTTTTGGAGAATTATTCTATGGCAGTAACTATTCCATAGATCTGTCATTTGTAGGTAGCTACCTATCTGTCTGTGTTTTGATGTCATTCTTACTTTTTGGATGTATTTATAGCCTTTTTCATTGACTTTGCCCTTTTTGAAGTTTATTTGACTTTAAAATTAGGGCTTGGGAAATTTTCTGACCCACATTCAAATACTTATAACATTCTTCACTAGAACTTTGAAAATTAAGAAACTTGATTAATATGTATTACAACTACATTTTTCAAGATTATAAAAGGCTGATGAAAGATATAACAGTATTTTGTGAATGCAAAGTATGTCATACACTTCAAGAGCATACTGTGACTGTGGTATGACATTTAATACTCGCTTATCTTTGGCCTTTTTAACTGAAGTGCCCATAAGCCCCAGACCACGATTAGCTATGACCTACACAAACTCTTTTGAGCCAGTTGTAAGCTACAAAGTTTCAGTATTGGCATTATTGAAGACAAAGGTTAAGCCAACTCCTTCATAAGTTGATATAGTATAATACATTGATAATATAAGACAAACTCCCTTCAAACAAACTACTAAGAATCTATTAGTTTAGGAGAATTAATTTACTTGGAAAATTCTATGGTTTCACAAAACAGATTGTTAAGTTCTAATAATGTCTAACTCTGATCCAAATAAATGTGATATAATAAAAACTTCTAACTATAATTAATTCAAATTAGTGACTTTTGTGTAGACAGTTTTTCCTAAAAGATAATCCAAAGTATGTAGAATATGTACAGAAGTTTTCTTCGTTTTCAACAAAATTATATTTTAGGTAGTAACCATAAATAAGAGATGAAATACTACCTCCAAGAACTTCAAATGAGTTCAAGAAAACTTAGAAGAAGGTAGGAAATCTGACCAATTTAGAGCTGCAATGAAAAAGAAAAAAAGCTAAAAAAGAAAATCTTGACCAATTATTACTTCTTTGTAATATGTAAAAATCTTTGATTTAGGGAAACTATTTAGGAAAAGACATTAACCTATTTTTAATAGTTAAGAGTGTACAAGATTAAATTTAGTTTTTACAGAGGAGACGGTGGCTCATGCCGGTAATCCCAGCACTTTTGGAAGCCAAATTGGGAGGACTGCTTGAGCCCAGGAGTTCAAGATCAGCTGGGGCAACATAGTGAGACCTTGTCTCTGCCAAGAAAAAATAAATATAGTTTTTACTAAAATACTAGGCTTTGAGGGATTCCAGTCACCATCATCTATAAACAAGGCATTTTTTGTAAAATAGAATAAAGAACATCTTAAGTCATTAAACATTAATTAGAACCTCATTCCCCAAACTTTTATTACACATTAACAAAGCAGTCAAATATTTTTCTGTCAACTCTCTAAACAGCAAAAGTGCAAGGGCATCATTTAGAGGACATCAATTAGAGTAAAATGCAAGCAGCCTGAATAATTCACAAATTAGCTAACTGGTTGGTGAGTCACAGCCTTCCCTTTAAGCAACTGTGTATATAAAAAGTCCTTCTTACCTGGAAGAAGTATGACTGTAGAGGTTGATCCTTATTTTCTTCATCCACATATAGTCCTCCTACCACATATATCTGATTTTGCTGAGTAACAATGCTGGAATGATTTCTGGGAATCTGCTCAGCGAGTGCAGTAAGGTAGCATTCATTTTCTGTGGGATCATAAGCCACTGCTGCTGTGTCATTAACCATCAGGATGAGGTCTTTTACAAACATTCCATGCCTGGGAATGTCATTCAGGTAACCAGGAAGTAAATCTTCATCACCAACATCACCATTCACCTCACCAGCCCCAGACTTCTCCACATTTTTGCTAGGTTCTGGGAGTTTGCCTGCAAAAGCATCTTTTAGAACTCTGATTTTTTTCTGGAGTTCTGGGTTGCTTTTAATTATATCATCTTTCTCAACATGATCCTTAAAATATTTTTCTGTCATAAGGCGAAAACGGATACAATCAAACACTTCACTAAGGTTTTTAACCCTGTTTTCCTTGTCAGTTCGCACCCATTTCATCACTGCCTCAAATACTGCTTCTTCTTTTTCTACATTTAGGCTGTCATTTGAAATGACTGAGATCAGTTCCTGTGGAGACAGCTGCATAAAGTCCTCTTCCTTACAAATCTGTACAAAGCGATCAGACACAAATTCACGGGCAGAAATGGCGAGTCTCGGGCAGTCAAGAAGAAGTCCTAATCTTAGGATGGCTAGACAGTTACCAGGAGCAAGTCTTTTCTGAAGATAAGAAACGCAGACAGTAAACACTGAGGGGATCTGAAAGCGGCTGGCCAATGCAAAAATATCTTGCACATTTCCATCATTGAGATCAATACTGGCAGAGTACAGGTATTTGATTATTAAATCAAGTACAGCAGGATCCACATTATCTAGTACTACCTCCTTTTTTTTCGCCTCATCAATTTCAGATAAAAAGTACTCACGGAAGTAAGGACTACAAGCTGACAAAATCAATCTGTGGCAGGGAAGACTTTTGTCACCTGCTTTTAGGGTGCAATCGATGAATTTTTTCTCATCCAGGAGATCTTTTAGACCATCCTGAAGAAGGGTAGATTGGTAAAGCCGCAGTTCCTCTGCAAGTTCCCGCTGGGAATCCATTCTGTGAGTAACCTGGGTAAGGAAAGGGACACTGAAGGCCTTAGCTCCTTGTAGCACACGGGTCTAGTGGTCTAGCTGTAAAAAGGCAGATCAGTGTGCTTTGCCCGGCTTGAAGACCTTGCAATTTAATCCCACCAGCTAAATATAGATACCAACTCTAACAACGGGAATTTAGGAAAGCTGGCTTGGAAAAAAGAGTTGTTGTGGCAGCTGTTACAGATTGAAAGTAACAACTGGAACTTTTAATCACTAAGGAAACAGCTAAGAAGCAAGACATTTAAGTGAAGTTGAAAGCTTAAAAATACATAATGCATTAGGTGATATACTAATAAAGGCTACTACACGAAAATGTTTATTGAATTAACAGAAAAATGAATCATAAAAATGAATCACTCCTCTAAATACATTCTAGTGTCAAGCTACTTGGCTCTGTGAATTAATGATGTAAAGGTCAAGAATTTGAGATGTGTTCATCTGAATACTCATAAGCAAGATCCCATTTCCAATAATTGTTACATATAAATTTTTACTTTCTACTCAAAACAGGATATAGATATTTCTTTTAGAAGCAGTAAACTTAAAGATGTTTACTTATGTACTATAATTTTACAAAATCTTTAATGTTGCCATGATAACTGAAATAAGGAATGCAGAGGAATTGCTAATTTTCTAAAACATGTAAAATTATTTTTATTCTGTGGAAAAACTAATATTGAATTAAACTATAAAATTATTTATTCATATCCTGCCATGTTGTACAAAAGATCTAATGTGGCAAACAATAATAAGGTAAAATAAAAGCAAAAGGTTAAAAGGAAACACAGGGCCAGAAAAAAATAATTAAAAGTCAATGCTAGGGAATGAAAAAGTCCACACACATACAAATAAGATCACTAAAGATAATCTGTAATTTTAAGTGCCAAAAATTATTCATTAAAAGTTAAAAAATAGAACAGATATAATCCCATGAGAACAATGTTATCACTAGAACACAGCAAAACCAAGATGAAGTCCTACAGCAGTCAGAGAGAACAGCCCTCACCTTTTTAAAGAGTATATAACTGGGGACATAAGTTGTTGATTGTAATAGAATACCATATTAATTATGGATGTAGAAGTCATAATTTGAAAGAAAACTGGTCCTTTGTTTATAGATGGTACTATACTTCATTAAATACTTTATTACAGATTATTAGAGTCATACTGTAACATTATCTAAACTCAAGTAGGGCTGTAGAGATACTATAATTTCAAGGCTGGTATTCTTACACATGCCCAAAAAGACATAAACTCCATGAAGACAGGGACTATGGGAATGTCTTTTCTTTTCAAATGCTATAGCTTAGGGGTTTTGTGAGTGCTTCATAAATATTTGTTGAATGAATGAAAGCCCCAGGTCAGGGAATTATGTATTTTTAAACTTCAAGGTCTCTATCCATAAGTAAAGGCTTTTTCTTTTATTTTACATCACAGTGAAGTCAATAGTACTGTCAGCTGCTAAAACAACAGCTGAAAGAAGAGCTCATTGACTCTTTTTCCATTTATAGATGTCACTAAAGATTTTAACACACTAGAAAAAACTAACAGCTGTTTCCTTGTTTAAACAATAAATGACTCATTTCTCTACACATAACATCTAACATTTGAAAAGATTAATGAGTCAGATGCAAACACCATATGACATCCGAGATTATTCCTTACTAGTCGGCAATTATTTTTTACTAGTCGGCAATTTTATAAAGTCTCTTTTGCTTGAAAAACAATATTTAAATAATAGTTATGGCAGCATTTTATCTGTGACCAGTACAAACTTTTCATACACTCTTTCCCTCCGTCATAAAGTAGCTTATTATAATTTCAACCCTTAAAATGTAGAAATCTTTTTCCATTTAAATGAAAAATAAACTTAGGTTAGCACTTGGTTGTAGTGTATGTCTACAGTTGTACACAGAATTGCATCTTATTTTAGATGTTTTTACATACTTTTCCCTCTGGAAGAAGAGGGCTCCATTGGCTAATTTCAGTATGTGAAAAAGGTTCCTTACAATGCGTTTTACATGGAAATAGTGGTCAAAACCACTGAATGATGCTAGAGAGGTCAACAAGAAAACCTCAAAGAAGTTTCAATAAACACAAAGAGAAAGTTAATAAACAGAATGATTTTCTTAAAAAGTAAATGTATTCTTGACAAACCTACATTGAATTCTTTACAAAATAGTATCCAAAATATTTTACAGAGTGGTTAATGTACTCTAGAGTTAGTTATAATTTTTAGTTTTTACAAAAATGATCCCTAAAAATGACAAGTGTAAGAATTACAGTTTGTATTAGAGTTGGTGCACATTTGGAGTTATGTGATTATTTATTTATTTATTGAGATAGAGTCTCACTCTGTTGCCCGAGCTGGAGTGCAATGGTGTGATCCACGGCTGACTATAGCTTCTACCTCCCAAGTCCAACTGATTCTCGTGCCTCAGCCTCCCAGGTAGCTGGGACTACAGGTACCCACCACCATGCCCAACTAATTTTTATATTTTTAGTAGAGATGGGGGTCTCATCATGTTGGCCAGTCTAGTCTTGAACCTATGACCTCAAGTGATCCACTTGCCTTGGCCTCCCAAATTGTTGAGATTACAGGCATGAGCCACCATGCCTGGCCAGGAACCATGGGTAATATATTTAAACCATATTATATTTTAAACCATTATTAAATTTTATAATTAAGAAAGGAGAATTTTGATTATTCCATAAGAATGGTCTTTCTCTTTTAAATAATACTTTCAAAACGTTAAATGGTGCTGCATAAATTCTTTATTAAACCCAACATGATACAGTCACTTAATAACTTTCTGAAAACTTAGTTTTCAGAAAACTAAGACTTTACAGGCATTAAGTACAAAATAAACATTTATAGACAAGATACATTTTGATTATAATTTTAAATATAATTTTTAGAAAACTGTAAGTTTTCTAAATGAGTTTTTCCTCAATCATTAAAAAACTCTTAAAAGCTTTAAATATAAAAGTTGTAAATATGAAAACTATTCCATGACTTATGGCAGGTGACCAGTATCTTTAAACTTGAGATATCTTTAAATAGAAATCCATCTCAACTCAAGATCAACTCATTACTTCCCAAAGTCCCTGCAGGGTGAATCCATCCTTCAATTTCTCTATTGCAAGCCCCAGTTCTTCTGAAAATACAGGTTCACGATCTTGTTGCTTTTTGGGAGACAAGAAGATAAGATGGGAATCGAGAAGGTGGGCAAAGAGGAGGAAAAAAAAACAAAAAAAGAGGTTTCACATAAGTTTGTGAATGCTAAATTTTGGAATATAGAAACTTTTTTCATATATTATAGGTAAAATAAATGTCCTTACCTTATTGCCATCAGCAAAATAAGCCTATAAGACAAAGAAAATTCTATTTCACATACTGGACATACAATATTCCAACAGAGCAGTGGGCTAAGATACTTAATTTGCAGAATGATTTTATAAATGTATTTCATATTCTGTTACTGTGTATCTAATTTTTTTTTCACCTATCTCTGCAATGTTGGTAGCAGAATTCACTCTGTTAAAGTCTATAAGACTTTTACCTTAAGATCTAAAAAAATGTGGTTTGTAATATATGATTAGTACTGTTAATTTGCTATTAACAAAATAATGATAAAAAAGCATTATTTAGTTGTCATATGAAAAGAAGAGAAAAAAATAACTTAGAAGTTATAAAATTTCTTCCCTACATTTGGTTTAGAAGATACTGGCAAAACAAAACAAGTACTTTAATGTGTCAGCAAATGCATAGAGTTTGAGGTAGTAGTAGTTTATAATTATTTTATACTAATTTCATACCTTTGTTTCAAAGCATTTGTTACCAGACAGGTTTTTTAGTCAGATTCATAGCCATAGAATGGAGAAAGCACTATAATTTGGTTATAAGTTAAATGATATCAATTTGGAAACAGGAAAGCTATTGTTCAAATACATGTCCTTTTTAAAACATGAATTAAGAGAAGACATTTCATAAAAATTCATTATGGAAAGCACAGATTTTAAATTTAATTAACTATAATATTTACCATGTTCTATTCATGGTATGAAAAAACTTTACATATCTAAAATCCTAAAACTCTCTGAATAACTGTGTTTTCAAAATATTTCTTTTGTTTTTTTTCTTTTTTTATAGAGATAGATTTTTGCTATGTTGTCCAGGCTGGTCTTGAACTCCTGCCTTCAAGCGATCTACCTGCCTAGACCTCCCAAAGTGCTGGGCTTACAGGCGTGAGCCATCATGCCTGGCCTCAAAGTATTTCTGATTTTGATAATTTAAAAGTTATTGTCACAAAAGAAATCCCTCACAAAAAATATCATCTTCGAACTCATGTTTAAGATGCCATCAAAAGTCTCAAGTTATATGGTGTTTCACACATTTACACCATTATTTTATTAAACAAGACTGAGATAAAAACCTTAAGAAATTTAATGCTCTCCTTTATGATGCTCACCACAAAAGCATCCGTGTGGTCATCAGAGTCTATTTCTACATCATCTTGAATCTGTTCGACTGTTAGAGCTTCAAGCGGCTGTGGCTGAAAATCAGCAGATGTTAAAATGCATCAGAGACTATTAAATGTGCCATGAGAACTGCAAATACTTTAAAAATAACAATTACAAGCTACTAAAGTCTTATAAAAATCATGGTATAATTTATTTTATTAAAAAACTAATGAGTAATAAAACTAGTCAGTTAAACCTAAGCTTTCATATCTGAAGTCAATATCATGAAAAGAACTAGAGAGATTTATACATACTTAATACTCAGATATCTTTAAAGAAAAAACTCTGACTTGACTTTTCTTTCACATTGTTTAGAAAAGCTAAGTTTTGTCTAATAGCAAAACGTTCAATTTTCCTCAAAATAATCATTATATATAATTCGTGAAAAGTAAAAGAATATTTTTATGGAATGTTCTAAAGGTAAAGAATAAAATATAAAGCTAATATTTATTAATTTGTTCATTTTTCAAATATTTGAATATCCCCTTAGTTATATTAGATACTATGCCAGTACTACCAATGTTATAAAATCCTACCCTTACCCACAAAGGGTTTATAATTTATTGAGTAGAGATAAAGATTAAGCTCAATGACAAATAACTAAATATTATATTGAACCATATGAAACTGCCATTTTTTATAAGTCAAAAATGATAAAATATCAATATATGCTTCAACCTACAAAAAGCAGCTATAACAAAGCTGAGGATAGTCTCAGTGTTTCAACCATGTTCAGAGTTGCATATGTGCAAGTAAATTAACTAGGCCTCAGTCTCCTTAACTGTGGGATAAGGATAATGATAATACTTCTCACAGTATTGTTGGAAAGATTAAATGTGATGGTGAATATAAAGTTCCTACAGCAGTGAATGACAAACAGCAGATGTTTAACAAAGTCATCCAACAACTATGAATACTCACTAAGAGCCTATTAGGTGCTAGTTTCAACAGCTGGAGATATAGTCATTAAATAGACAAAAACCCCTGACTTCGTGGAGATAAGTTATAACGGAGGAGACTGATTAATTCTGAAAGGAAGGGAGGAAGGAGAGAGAAAGCAAGGAAGCAGAATAAGGTGATGGGAGTTGCTGTTTTAGAAGAATAGTCAGGGAAAAGCCTGAAGAGATGGCATTTGATTAGGGACTTATATGAAGTCAAACAGTGAGATATTATGGCTAGCTGCTATTATGTACTGGTGTCAAAGAAAAGGAGAAGAGAACAAATGGGTAGGGGAACTAACATATCAAGTGTCTCCTATGTGCCAGGCATTTGACTGATATGATCAATTAACTTTCTAAGAAAGATTATGTCTGTTTTTCTCTCTTTTTTTTAAGAGACAGGTCTTGTTCTGTTGCCCAGGATGCAGTGCAATGGTACAATAATAACTCACTGCAGCCTCAAACTCCTGACCTCAATCTCAGCCTCCTGAGTAGTTAAGACTACAGGTGGGCACCACCACACCTGGCTAATTTTTAAAAATTTAATTTAAAAAATTTAGTAGAGACAGGGTGTCACTATGTTGTCTTACTATGCTGAGGTTGGTCTCAAACTCCTGGCCTCAAGTAATTCTCCTACTTCAGCCACTCCAAAGTGCTGGAATTACAAGCATAAGCCATTGTGGCCTGCCCTATCTCAATTTTATGAGAAAACTGAAGCTCAGATTTCCCTACGATCACAAACAAATGGTGAAACTGGGATTGAAAGTCAGGTTCCAAGGACCATGCTTGTTCTACAACATTATTCTACAAGGAAGAGTAATAACTAGAAACAGGGAAGAGATAGGTATAACTGAAAGTTTAAATTAAGATAATGGGAAAAATAAAGGAATACTTCAAAGTTTTGAGTACAGCTGACTTTGACAGTGCCAAAAATATATAAGTAAACAAATCAATAAATCAGTAGGTTGCTGCTTTTGAGAAAAAGATGAGGAGGCCAGTTTTAGGTATGTCAAGTTTGAGATGCTCATCTAAGTCCTAGTGTATCTTATTGACTTGCATAATTATTTAAATTACTAAGATAAATCTGAAATGAGAAATTCCACTCATATCATTTGGCATGCTCATCTATATGAAAATATTCAAGGGTATTTGGAAGCATACGCTGAAAGAAAATGTCAAGGTCAGAAGGAAAGTTCTAGAGTCATCCACAAAAGTACAAGTTGAAGAAGCTGAATGAGCAGATGATATTACCAAAGAATATACAGAGAAGGCAGAGTGAAAGGAAGAATGCTGAAAGAGCATGTTGGGAAGAAAAAGAAAGGATGGTTCAGATGATGAAATACATACAATGTATGTAATATAATGTCAGCAACTCAGATGGAAGTTTTAGCCAGAAGAAAGATATGGAATTTGATAGGGAGAGAAAAAATTAAGTACAAGGAGCACTACCAGGCAGTAAGGGCCTTACTAAAGTAACATGCTGTAGTCCAAGAGCAGAAGGAGAGATATATGTAACATGGCTCAGCATGCTGAGCCCCAGCAGGGACAGTGATTATAAAGGAAATCGCAAGAGCACCAGCAATAGAGGGTCCCAGTAAAAGAAGAGTTAGCAAGGGAGTCTACAACTGAGTGATCAGTGGTGGGACCAGGACAGAGAAGACAACAAGAGTAGTGGAACAGATGGCAAGAGCACCTCTGACAGAATAGACAGTGACTGTCCCAGTGACAGAGCAGACAGTAGGGGCACCAACAATAGAGGGGACAGCAAGTACATCAGAGCTAGTGCCCCTAGCAAGGGTACTGGTGATAAAGTGGACAGTAAGGACACCTCTAATGGAGTGGGTAGTGAGGACACCATTGATAGACTGGATGATGAGGGTCCCAGCTGGAGAGACAAGTGAAGCCAAAAGAAAGCTGATGTACCTGGAGAGCACGGAATATTAGCAGCAACCAGGAAAGAAATCAGAGGAAGACAAAGAGCAGACAAGTGGGCAGGATATGCAAAATATTTCATGACTGGGCCGGGCGCGGTGGCTCATGCCTATAATCCCAGCACTTTGGGAGGCAAAGGCGGGTGGATCATGAGGTCAAGAGATCGAGACCTTCCTGATCAACAAGGTGAAACACCGTCTCTACTAAAAATACAAAAATTAGCTGGGCGTGGTGGTGTGCGCCTGTAGTCCCAGCTACTTGGGAGGCTGAGGCAGGAGAACTGCTTGAACCCATAAGGCGGAGGTTGCGGTGAGCCGATATCCTGCCATTGCACTCCAGTCTGGGTAAAAACAGCGAAACTCTGTCTCAAAAAAAAAAAAAAACTTTCATGACTGATATGGCAGAGGTATAGATCAACAGTAATGGATGCAGGCTGTGTTGATGTAGCCAACTCTTGGAGTTGCTATATTGTGGAGTACTAAAGAAGAAGATGGTATTCATGAGACCTATAAGGGTTGTCTATGGTAATAAAGGGCTGAAAATAAAAATAAAGCTGACAGAGTGAGAGACTCAAGTTTGTCTGTATCAGAGGAGCACTGCACATGGAAATTTACCAAGGTGGCTGCCCATCTACAAAGATAAGTATGGAGGGCAGGAATGAATGAATGATGAAGCAGCCAGTTAGAAGACAGGTGGTAGGTACGAATTAGTATTAATCCAGGAGCTGTGCCCACTTGAGCAGAATCTGTATATTCACCATTTTAAACACAGTTCAAAATTAAAAGGTACACACTTATTTATATCTGATTTTCACAGATTGCATAAAACCAATTAAGCAAACTTTATTTCACATACTCAACAAATTACCTTTTCTTCCATCTCATAATCAACTCCAAATATGGGACTGGCAGAATAAATTTTGTGAAGTGAATTGATTTCCTTAACTGATTCTTGTAGTTTTTCCACAGGATCTATTTTAAAGCCAAGAACATATCCACCACTCTACAAGAGAAAATAATTAAAAAAAAAGAAAAACAAGAATTGCATTTATATGATAAATTTGATAGTCCTTATTTTAGAGCACAATATGTAAGTTCATTTTTTAAAACTTTTTATTATGAAAAATTTCAAGCATATACAAAAACAGAAGAGTACAAACAAGGGAGCCTCCATGGAGCCATCATACAGCTTCAAGCAGCAGCAACATGTGGCCAACTCTGTTTCATCTGTAACCTTGCCCTCACCTGAACCCCCTCGACCCCAACGCAGGCTTATTTTGAAGTATATCCAAATATAATTTCATCTGAAATATCAAATGTAACCTTTGAAGATTTAAAAATTATACTGTAGACTGTGAAGGCCAAGAGAACTAAATTTTTCTTGAGCTAGACCTTAAAAAGGAACAGAGTACATAAAAAGAAGAAAGGAAATGGGCCATCTGTGGCTATCTCCTTGAAGAATTAGGAAAGAAACTGGGCCATGATAGAGTGTTTGAGGAGTGTTAAAAAACTAAGTAGCATACTGTACTCTGGGTTGAGAGCATTGTTTTTATGTTCAAATTCTGGTTCTACCGCTAATTCACTAGCTGTAGGACACTCAGAAACTTTCCTTAATCTTTTTAAGCCTCAATTTTCTAACCATAAAATGGTTATCAAGTTGTCATATTAAATAAGATAAATGTATATATGACATTTGATATAGTTCTTGGAACAGAGTAAACACTCAATAAATGGCAGCTGTAGGTGGGGAAAGGAATGAGCAGACATTCATGTTTAAATTTAGAATTTAAATGATAAGTAATTTTATAAATCACTTTTTAAAAAATAAAATTTTTCTTAGCCAGTCAAACCTACTACCATCAAACCAGCGTGTTTTATTCAAATGCATTTCTGCAAAAACCTGGCATAACGGAGCATAGAAGGTTATGACTAGTTAGCATATGTATGTGTGAGAATATAAAATCTCAAACTGTGTGTGTGTGTGTACACAAATATATGGTTGTGTTTTTCTGAGACAACCTTGGTAAATAAGTCATACTTGAGATCAAAACTTAGCTCCACCACTTACTAGTTGTGAGAATATGGGCAGAGTCCTAACTTCTCTAAGCCTCAGTTTTCTTGACTGTAAAATGGGGGAAAAATCGTAGCTGTACTGTAGGATTGTGTAAAGACTGGGATAATGCATGCAAAGCTCTCAGCACAGTGACTTGATTCTGTCATTAATAATAAAAGTGATGATCACAAGTGATTATGTCTGTCCAACAAAAAATATAAGCATGATTCTTCCTCTGGGGACAGTTTCTATAAGACTTCAAACACTTCATATAAACTTCATATTAAAGTGAATATTCTCAGATGTAAACTAATTTATAAATAAAACTAAAAATCTAGACTGTCACATAGTTTTAAAAATCAAAGATTAATAAAAATATACAAGATCTTACCTGCTGAGAGCTTTCTATGACAAGAGCTAAACCAAATTTTGAATCTCTAATCTTTATTGAACACTAGAGGTAAAATGAAAAAGAAAAACATGCATGTTTTTATTAACTGAATAGTGACTCTTTAACACAGTTTTTAAACTTTACACAGTATTTACTTTTCATAGTCTAAAGAACAGAATTCTCCCTCCTTTCATTAAACTCCCACAGAGATCAAGTAAAAGAAACAAGACTCACACTAAAAATAGGTGGCAAAGTTTTAAGAGGCAATACAAGAAAGACAGCTCTGAAATATGTACAAAATTATCAGACTCAAATATTTCTCACTTCCAGGGAGTGAACTTTTTAAAAAATTAATTAGGTCTCACTCAGCCACCCAGGCCAGAGTACAATGGTGTGATCACAGCTTACCACAGCCTCAAAATCCTGGGCAAATAGATCCTCCTCCTGCCTCAGCCTCCTGATTAGCTAGAACTACAGGCATGTGCCACCATGCCCAGCTAATTTTTTCTTTTTGGAGAGATGGTGTCATACTACATTGCCCAGGCTGATCTTGAACTCTTGGCTTCAAGCAATCCTCCTGCCTTGGCCTCGCAAAGTGCTGGGGTTACAGGCATAAGCCATAGTGTCCAGCCTCAAATTTTAAACAAAAGGCTAACAATCTTTTAGTTTTGGTAAGCCAGTGTCTTTTGTAGCTCCTAAGGCTAGATTAGTTTTTTAAAGTCACATGTGCGTTCTGTTTCTTACATCATAGCTGGCTAAATTCTTAAAACAATCTCTATTCTATTTATGTTTTAAAAATAAGTTTGGGCCAGGTGCAGTGGCTCACGCCTGTAATCCCAGCACTTTGGGAGGTCCAGGTGGGTGGATCACCTGAGGTCAGGAGATCGAGACCGTCCTGGCTAACACAGTGAAACCCCGTCTCTGCTCAAAATACAAAAAATTAGCTGGGTGTGGTGGCAGGTGCCTCTAGTCCCAGCTACTTGGGAAGCTGAGGCAGGAGAATTGCTTGAATTTGGGAGGCAGAGGGTGCAGTGAGCTGGACAATAGAGCATGACTCTGTCTCAAAAAAAAAAGTTTGAATATTTATCACTAGGCATCAAGGAAGGTTGGGATAGATCAAGTGTAATGAACATCAGGTGGTAAATGTGATATGAGGACTAAGCTTGGTCAATGGAAGATGGGCGTTGACCAGAGGCCTGGGAGAAGGGGAGAGTAGAAGCAGCATGGCACGTAGGGCCTGTAGAAGTGACATAAAATGTACCTGATGGCAGGGTGGGGGAGAACCACGGAGGACCTAACGCTACAACCAGCAGACCAAAAACCCAGAAAAGGGTAATCTGGAAGGTGATGTTGGAATATCATGCTTCTAGACAGATGGGCAACATTGAAAAAAAGAAAAGGCTTTGATTATAATTGTTATGAAAACGTGGCCTTTCATCTGGACTACTTTATACCCAAGAATACGTATAATTCCAGTTAAGAATCGGCCGGGCGCGGTGGCCCATGCCTATAATCCCAGCACTTCGGGAGGCCAAGGCAGATGGATCATGAGGTCAAGAGATCGAGACCATCCTGGTTAACAAGGTGAAACCCTGTCTCTACTAAAAATACAAAAATTAGCTGGGCATGGTGGTGCGTGCCTGTAGTCCCAGCTACTCGGGAGGCTGAGGCAGAAGAATTGCTTGAACCCAGAAGGCGGAGGTTGCGGTGAGCCGAGATGGTGCCATTGCACTCCAGTCTGGGTAACAACAGCGAAACTCTGTCTCAAATAAATAAATAAATAAAAATTAAAAAAAGAATCATAGAACATTGGCCAGGGGCGGTGGCCCACGCTTATAATCCCAGTACTTTGGGAGGCTGAGGTGGGCAAATCGCTTAAGTCCAGGAGTTTGAGACTAGCCTGGGAAACATGGTGAAACCCTGTTGCTACCAAAATTACAAAAGAATTAGCTGGGCATGCATACTTGTGGTTCTAGCTGTTCAGGAGGCTGAGTGAGAGAGGATTACCTCAGCCTGGGAGGTGGTGGTTGCAGTGAGCCAAGACTGTGCCACTATACTCTAGCCTGGGTGACAGTGTGAGACCCCTGTCTCAAAAAAAAAAAAAAAAAAGGAAAGAAAGAAAAGGAATCACAGAACACTGGCACTTTGGCTTTCAATAGGTAATCTAACCAGGTGTCTGTGGGCGACACAGGTTGGTCAGACAGAAACTGGCAAGAAGCTGATATATATGTATCTATAGGATTGGGGTCAGGGTAATGGCTGAGGTGCAGAGCTGAAGTTAGAAAATGACTGCGGCCCTGATGATATCAGATTGCAAGTTGTTTGGGCCAGCTTGAATTCATTCCAGAGGCCATATCTGGCAACTCTATTCTTAAATAACAAAAAGAACAGAAAGCACAAGGTTGTTTAATACTCAGTAATTATTCAGCATAATAGAAGTTAGGTTAGGCAAGCTGTAACACGCTAATGCAATATAAAAAAGCAATAGTAATACAAACACCAATTTGTCAAATACCTATGTAGATTTTGTCACATCATTCCAGCCTTGATTATAAATTTTTATATTTATTTTGATGGTCAGAAATAATTTTCTTCCTATGTTGTGATTCTATGAATTTCTGTTTAATATGTTGTTTTTCACCACCAGACTGAAAGCCCCTTGATGGCAGGAACTGTACACTGGTTCATGATTTTCATGACTGTATCTCTAGCACCTGGCACAGAGTAGGTGCTCAAAATTTAGCATATAAATGCATGAATTATCAGAAATTTAAAACTCAGAAATCAAATAATTTAGCCAAAGATAGGGTTGGGAATCTTTTGCAAAGAATTATTCATCTCATGGGCCAGGAATTCTTTTCTTAAAAATGGTCTTTTCTAGGTATCAAATACATTGTCTACTCAATAAATATTAATAAAACTCCCTAGTCTTAAGACTATACATCCTACAATAAGGGCAGTTATCACAGGATAACCTCATGTCATTTTCATTAACTATTTTTATGTTCCATTTAATTTGTACTAGAATTCTGAAAGTAGTTTTTTTTATATAAAACAAAATTACTTAGTGTATTGGAATTTCCAGTTTGTTTCACTGAGTCACTTATTTATCATAGCAGCAGCAGAATAAAAAGAACTATCTTTACCTACTCCCCAAACAAATTGGTCTCAGATATAGTCAGTTCTTATTTTGAATTTTAATTGTTTTGGTTTTTTTTTGTTAAAAAAAAAAAAATAGAGAAAGGGTCTAGCAATGTTGCCCATGCTGGTCTTGAACTCCAGACCTCAAGCAATCCTCCCATCTCAGCCTCTTAAAGTACTGAGATTACAGGAATGAGCCACCATGTCCAGCCTGATTTTAAGTTTTAATTGAACTTAAGCTGAAAGTGTTATCACTAAAAATCATCTTGATTCCTTTCATTAAACCTGTGGTATGAATCCAACTTGTATTACATTCTGTATCTAAATACAATGAAAGCAGTTCATTCACAGAATTAAGAAGTAATAAATTCCTTCTGGCTTTTAAAAGCTTTGGAGCAGAAAGTGACAAGACAGTCAAGAAAAACTGTGGATCAGTGTGCTAAAACTATACCAAGGAACCACCATATACTTGCCTCACCAAAAGGTTACAGAAAACTTTAATATTTAAAGGCCTCTGGATAGAATCTGAGAGACACCTTACTCTGTATAACTATTCAAATTTTTAGAATCCAGTTTATTTCTCTTCTAATAGCAAGCTGGTAATAGTGCTGCTTCTCTGGAAAGTAAGTACAATTAGATCTTTTCTATGTTGAAATATTTCATAGTAAATTATCAACATCTTTACAATATGCTCTCAGCTAATAACTGCTAAGGAGGCAAGAACTCATCTAATCCTAAAAGTCCCATTAACTATTGAACAAAAAATATTTATTCTACATGAAAATAAGGTCATCAAAATGTATGTACTTACAATTTGCAGATATGGTATACTGACATTAAAACTATCATTCATATTTGCATGCCACACAATTCTCACATTGGTAATAAAAAATGTTCCTAAATTGCCCTGTAAAAGACAGTAATGAGGGATACAGAAATGATCATTTTTTGGATATCTATTCTTTATTTTCTAATCACCAGAATAATTCTTATTACAGCAGCAAATAATACCAAAATTGAGTATTAATGACTTCATCATTCATTGATAGCAGTACAATTAGATAACTAACAGCCTGGACTCTGGAGTCAGGCTGCCTAATCATTAAACCATTAGTACCTACCAACTGTCTGACCATGAGGAAATTTCTTCTTGATGTATTTTGTCAAATGTAAAAATGGAGACCTGATTAAATATCCCATGTAAATAAATCCCTTAACACAGTGCCTGGCACACAGTAAGCAATCTACAAATGTTAGACCTTACTAAAATTAGTATTCAAAACCTTGGATAGGTCAAAGCAAAGAAGTTGTGGCAAGAAAGAGAAACAAAACATATGTAATATCCCCCATCAATCCACATTAGATTGCATTGTTTATAAGGGTAGGAGTTCCATAGTTAGATCTTTAGCACCTAGCATAGCACCAGGAATTTTTGATTCATTAATTAAAGAGACAGTCCAGGACTAGAATACCATTTTATTGAATTGAAAATAGGAATTTTAATGTCAACCTAACTTGTGCTTATTGAAAAATAATATACTTTCCTGTAATGCTAATTTTAACAATTAGAATTGACTATATAAATCCAATGACGCATGGAAAAATGATTACCAAAACACTGTCCCAAAAGGTTCACTAGTTCTTTGCACAATACCTGATCACTGGATAAATTCCATACTCCATTGATTTTATCATATACATGTTCTTGTGGTAACAGTCTTAGTTGCTTGTTCTGAATTAGTGCACTTCTCAATTTAAAATCACGATACATTTTAGAAGTTTCATATGCTCTGTGAAAAAGAACAGACAAAAGACAACCCACACTGAAGATGTGGTTTTCTGGGGTTATGTTTACTTATTTACTAAAACATGTAGTTGTTAGTATTTATGTACATCACTCAAACAAAGGTGGACACAAACTCCTGGGCTCAAGTGATCCTCTTGGCTCAGCTTCCAGAGTAGCTGGGACTATAGGCATGTGTCACTGCACCCAGCTATATTTTTCTTTTTAAAAAAATTTGGCAATTACAGTTTTTTGTAGAATTTGTCAGTATACTATTTCCATATTTTATCACAATAACCTATTTTTAAATACATACGGAAATTGTTTTTTCTATTAAAATGCTACCTTTTCTTCATTTCCTTGTTTTTCAAAGGACATAAACAGGCAACCGATTATTAATACTTTTTCTTGGCTGGGCACAGTGGTTCACACCTGTAATCCCAGCACTTTGGGAAGCCAAGGTGGGCAGATCATTTGAAGCAGGAGTTTGAGAGCAGCCTGGCCAACATGGTGAAACCCTGTTTCTACTAAAAATACAAAAATTAGCCGGGCATGGTGGTGTACACTTGCAGTCCTATCTACTTGGGAGGCTGAGGCAGAAGAACTGCTTGAAACCACTGCAGATGTTGCAGTGAGCTGAGATTGTGCCACCACACTCCAGCCTGGACCATAGAGAGAGACTCTGTCTCAAAGACAAAAACAAGAACAAAACAATTACTTTTTCTCACTGCAACCTGAAAATATGCTCACATCTACCTCTACACAGAAAACTAGAATGAATCTGTACTGAATCCAAAAGGGACCCCAAGGGGAGAAGGGGGAAGGAGGAAGAGAAGAACTGGGAGGGAGGGAGAAGGAGAGAGAGGGGAAGGAAAAAGGATAGAGGAAGGGAGAGAAAGAGAATTATAATTTTTATTTTTTTGAGATGGAGTCTCGCACTGTAGCCCAGGCTGGAATACAGCGGCACAATCTGGGCTCGCTGTAACCTCCGCCTCCTGGGTTGCAGTTCAAGCAATTCTCCTGCCTCGGCCTCCCGAGTAGCTGGAATTATAGGTTCATTCCACCATGCCCAGCTAATTTTTGTATTTTTAGTAGAGAGGGGGTTTTACCATGTTGGCCAGGCTGGTCTTGAACTTCTGACCTCGTGATCTGCCTGCCTCAGCCTCCCGAAGTGCTGGGATTACAGGCATAAGCCACCATGCCTGGCCTAAATCCCTGTAATTTTTTTCAATGTCTATTGATAATAAACACAGAAAGAAACCCCAATTAACTTTTAATTAATTTTAATCTTTCACATAAAACAGGCTAAGTTACCTATTTAACAAAAGTAAAGTTTCTTAACCTTAATAACATCAGAATTCACTTATATAAATTATAGTCATTGAATTTCTAATTTGTACTTTAATCTTCTAATATATAAGTTGTGAAAGAGCAGAATTTGAGCATTCTGCTTGCAACTCTTAATTTTCTTTAGTGCTGTTATCATCAATACTTAACTAGTGGAAGAAATGGAAATTATTTATGCTATAAATTATTTTTTGGGGGGAAGCACATATTTTTTTTCTTTTTTTAAATAACTTTTTTTTTTTTTTAAGGGATGGAGTTTCACCATGTTGGTCAGGCTAGTCTCAAACTCCTTACCTCAGGTGATCTACCCACCTTGGCCTCCCAAAGTGCTGGGATTACAGGCATGAGCCACCATGCCCAGCCTAATGTTTTTAATATATTTAAGAAAAGCAGCTTCTGTTCCTTTCATATTCCATTTAGAACTTTTCACAGTACTTCTCTAAATGAAATAAAGAGCTAAGGTTTAGGTATATGCCTAAGAGAATTGAAAACATACGTTCACACAAAACTTATACACAAATGTTCATAGTAACATTATTCATAATCACTAAAAAATAAAATACTCAAAAGTCCATCAACTCATGAATGGATAAACAAAATGTGGTATGTCCATACAACGGAATATTCTTTAGCTACAAAAAGGAATGTACTACTACTTATACATGCTACAACATGGATGGACTTTGAAAACACTGTGTAAGTGAAAGAGGTCAGGCATAAAAGGCCACATGTTATATGATTCTACTCTATTCCATAGAGACAGAAAGTAAATTAGAGGTTATCAGGGACTGCTGAGGTGAGGGAATGGAGAATGAATGCTATGGGTAAGGGGTTTGTTTTGGGAATGATGAAAATATTCTGGAATTGGATCTTCGCAACATTTGAATAATATTGTGAATATACTAAAACTATCAAACTGTATACTTTAAAATTGTAAATTTTACACGTAAAATTTTATGTAAATTATATTTCAATTAAAAAATTAAACCATTATATAGATCAAAACATCAATAATATTAAAAATCAAATAAACTAGGAAACTAAAAATAATATTGGCAATATATATGACAGCTAAGGGTATAATTAAGAAACTTATAAGAAGCCAAAAAATACATAATAGATTAAAAATGTCAACTTCACTGGCAAATACAAATTTAAAAATTATATACACACATTTAAAAAAATCATACTACTTAGGGCTGGTTTAAAAAAGAAAAAAAAACGCTGAGGTAGTAAAAAGAGAAGAATTTAGCAAACAAGAAGAAGAAAAAATAAATAATTAAAAAAAAAAAAAAAACAGGCTGGATGAAGTGGCTCACATTTGTAATCACAGTACCCTGGGAGGCTGAGGCAGGAGACTCACTTGAGCCCAGGAGCTGGAAACCAGCCTATGAAACAAAGTGAGAATCCCGTCTCTACAATTATTTTTTTGAGACAGAGTCTTACTCTGTCACCCAGGCAGGAGTGCAGTGGAGTGATCTCAATTCACTGCAACCTCCATCTGCCTGATTCAAGCGATTTTCCTGCCTCAGCCTTCTGAGTAGCTGGGATGACAGGCCTGTGCCACCACGCCCAGCTAATTTTTTTGTATTTTTAGTAGAGGCAGGGTTTCACCACGTTGCCCAGGCTGGTCTTGAACTCCTGACCTCAAATGATCCACTCACATCAGCTTCCCAAAGTGTTGGGATTATAGGCATGAGCCACTATGTACAGCTCTACAAAAACACTTTTAAAAAATTAGCAGGACATGGCATCACATGCCTGTAGTTCTAGTTACTGAGGAAGCTAAGGCAGGAAGATCATTTGAGTTCAGGAGTTTGAGGCTTCAGTGAGTTATGACTGCACCACTATACTCCAGCCTGGGTGACAAAGCAGGACCCTATCTCTATTAAAAAAAAAAAAATAGGCCGGGTGCGGTGGCTCACGCCTATATCCCAGCACTTTGGGAGGCCGAGGCGGGTAGATCACAAGGTCAAGAGATCGAGACCATCCTGGTCAACATGCTGAAACCCTGTCTCTACTAAAAATACAAAAAAAAATTAGCTGGGCACGGTGGCGTGTGCCTTTAATCCCAGCTACTCAGAAGGCTGAGGCAGGAGAATTGCCTGAACCCAGGAGGCGGAGGTTGCGGTGAGCCGAGATCGTGCCATTGCACTCCAGCCTGGGTGACAAGAGTGAAACTCCGTCTCAAAATAAATAAATAAATAAAAGCCACAAACCTAAAAAAAAAAAATCAACAGAACTCTTCAGGGAAGACACTCAAACATGCCTTCTACCTGCTAGAAAAATAATCTTTTAAATTAATTTTGTGACTTGTTTAGGTATATTGAATTATTTTACTTTACCTACCTTGGTAGCTAATCTAATCTGGTCATCAGAAATTTTTAATGAATCTTTAGTTTTATGTGTTTTATAAATACTTTCAAAGTGTTTATTAAATGATAATGAAACATGTTCTTCTCAATATCTTCCTGATATTTACAACAGAGCTTGGAAGAAAACAGTACCACACTTCTAAGCTTTATTCTCTAAAACAGGGGTCCCCAATCCCTGGGCCACAGACAGCCTAGTTAGGAACTAGGCTGCCCTGCAGGAGGTAAACGGTGGGCAGGTGAGTGAGCAAACAAAGCTGAGCTATGCCTCCTGTCAGATCAGCAGCGGCATTAGATTCTCATAGAATGTGAAACCTGTTGTGAACAGCACATGCAAGGGATCTAGATTGTGTGCTCCTTATGAAAATCTAATGCCTGATGATCTGTCATTGTCTCCTATCACCCACAGATGGGACAATCTAGTTGCAGGAAAACAAGCTCAGGGCTCCCACTGATTCTAACTTTTGGTGAGTATATAAGAATAGAAATAAAATGCACAATAAATGTAATGCACTTGAAATGTCCCAAAACCATACTCTCACCCAATCCATGGAAAAAGCATCTTCCATAAAACTGGTCCCTGGTGCCAGAAAGGTTGGGGACTATTGCAGTTTAAAACCAAAGAATAAGCTAAAAATATTCAATAATCCATAAAGTACTACTATACCTGTGTACTGCCATCACAGAAGTAAAAAGTCTAGGGCTTCCAGGAACCAAGTTTGTAAATATAAATTCAAAACGAGTACTGTTACATTTTGTTAGTATATAAAGAGCTTCAGTTTGGCCTCGTAATTTCTGTAAGGACAAATTTATTTAAAAGTTCAGATTTTAGGAGCAATTTCTCCTTTATAGTGAAAACAAACATCAACCTCAAATATCTAGTTTCTTTACGATATATATATATTTCAATAAGAATTTTTAGACTTACAGAGTTAGCAGTCCTTGTTGTAATATTCAGTATGCAATTGTAACCGACAGCTAAAATCCAAAAGCAAAGAATGTAAAGAACATGATATGGTACACTGAGAAAAATACTTTTCTAAAAAAAAAAATATATATATATATATATATATATATATATATACAGAACTTTTAACAGTTTAGAAATTATATATAGAAATACACTTTTAAAAGTTTAAAAGAAATAACTATAAATTTAAATAATTAAAAAAAAACTAGAGGGTTAATTCTGTCTCTTTGAATAAACAAAAATTAACATGGGAAAAAGGAAGTCTTCATCCCTAAAGCCTCTGCAACATTATTTACTGAAAGTTTTAGCACTACTACATCAAAAGAACAAGTCTAGCTGGGTAATCTAAAATACTTTAAAAAAATAAGTGAAACAAGGCCGGGTGTGGTGGCTCACGCCTATAGTCCCAGCACTTTCGGAGGCCGGGGCAGGTGGATCATGAGGTCAAAAGATCAAGACCATTCTGGTCAACAAGGTGAAACCCCGTCTCTACTAAAAATACAAAAATTAGCTGGGCATGGTGGTGCTCGCCTGTAGTCCCAGCTACTCAGGAGGCTGAGGCAGGAGAATTGCTTGAACCCAGAAGGCAGAGGTTGCGGTGAGCCGAGATCGTGCCATTGCACTCCAGTCTGGGTAACAACAGCAAAATTCCATCTCAAAAAAAAAAAGTGAAACAAAATTTAACACGATGAAAATATTATACTTTTATTATAGCTTATATCTTACTTCTTTGGGATTAAACAGGTGATAGCATGTTCTCAAAAAAAATTAAAAAATAAGCAAGGTTAAAGCCCTAATCTCACATATGTTCAAGACACAAAATGGACAGACCAAAATAATAATGGATAATTCTGTTTGCATTATGATGTCTAGGATTTCTGACGGTTTTTTATTTTTATTAATTTAAGATTTCTAGTCCAGTGCTGTGGCTCACACTTGTAATCCCAGCACTTTGGGAGGCCAAGGCGGGTGGGTCACCTGAGGTCGGGAGTTTGAGACCAGCCTGACCAACACGGAGAAACCTTGTCTCTACTAAAAATACAAAATTAGCCAGGCATGGTGGTGCATGCCTGTACTCCCAGCCATTTGGGAGGCTGAGGAAGGAGAATTGCTTGAACCTAGGAGGTGGAGGTTGTGGTGATCCGAGATTGCACCATTGCACTCCAGCCTGAGCAACAAGAGTGAAACCCTGTCTCAAAAAGAAAAGAAAAAAAAGATTTCCACATATTTCCACATACTTCTTTGGTATCAAAGGCACCATGCAAGTTCACGTGACAAAGGGTTTTTTTCTTCAGACTTATCTAACAAAGATACTTACAAACATTGACTCTTGGTAATGCCAAAGAGTGCCAGAGAATTCTTAAATTTGTTACCAAGAGTCTACCTAAAAGCAGACAGACAAAAATGAGTTAACTTAAATAAGGACCCAATTTGCAGCACTGAATGAGGTGGATATGGAACTTCTAGCTTAGTTTCAGAAGCAACACTTACAGATATTTTTCATGTTTATTAACTGAAAATATTGTGCATATCCAACCTATATAAGGTATACAATGTATGATTCAGAATCCCAGAGAAACAAAATTTGACAGTTATATAAGGGATACAGATGTTCTCTGCCAATAGCTTTGCTCTAACTCAAACTGACTGAGGAAAGACTTCTGCACTAGTTTTTTTGTCTTAGTAGAAGCTGTTCTGGGGTCCCAACAAGTCAACTGAGAATGAATACAGGATAATTACACACAGCCATTCATTGAAATTGCGATTTTCAAAGAACTCTCACATACACGCTAATCCTTGCTATATGAGTACCTTCTTAGCAGTTCTCATTTAAATGAACCATATATTTATACACACAATTTTGCTGTGAGCAAACTACTTTGTTCCTAAGAAGTTATGGTCAGGCTGAAGTCTACTTAAGGCTTTATACTTTTTGATCTTAGCATCAGACTGATATTCATACACTGAAATACAAAGTTAGATACTTCGCTTTTTAAAAATTTTTATTTTAGAAATATTTAAAAGATTAAAACTTTTAATTACAAATTTTTCTATAAATTTATTTTTATTTTTATTATTTTTTAAATTATTTGTTAAAAGACGGGGTTTCACCATATTGGTCAGGCTGGTCTCGAACTCCTGACCTCAGGTGATCCGCCCGCCTCAGCCTCCCAAAGTGCTGGGATTACAGGTGTTAGCCACCATGCCCGGCGATACTTCATTTCTCAAAATGTGTCCTGTACAACAGTGATCCCTTATAGATGCTCCAAGAAAAAAAATAAATTTGAGAATGGCATACTAGGTGTATTAGAGATGTATAATACAAATTAGCATTTTATGATAGCTTTGAGATATTCTGAAATAGTAAGACTTATTTAAACACATTATTTCACCAACAAATTACAACCATAAAATTCTTTTGATGAGTAATCTATAGCCAGCCAGGTCATACTCTTTCTGAAAACCTCTAAAATGTCTAAAATCAGAGAAACTAGGTCTATATGAATACTGGAGTGAAACTGGATAACAAAGGTGGCTTTAAAAAAAAAAGGTAAAGGCATTCTCAAGGGAGATTGTGGAAAATTACAGATTATGTTTGACAAATAATAAGTAATCCAGCATGGCTGGAGTGTAAGGTTCATACAAGATCATAGAAGACTAGGTATTGCATCTTTCAGTCATTGCTCCAATGGAAAATAGATGGTACACTTAAGTTAGGATAACTGAAGTTTATTTACAAAAGAGGGAGCAGCAGTTAATGACATCTGGAAAAAACAAGAGTCCTATGGAGCTGACTGCTTTGAGAGAGACAGCCAACCTCTCATTGAGAAGGAATCAGGGGAATAAATACCCAGACCTCATGCTCCTGCCATGACTCTTCCAACTGGAAGCCAGAATACACAAGGAACCCTTAGATGTACTCTATACAAGTCATGTTTCCAGGGCCAGGGGAAAAGGGTAGAGAAGAACGCCAGACCTGGAAGGACAAATGGAAGATAGCAGCAGAGGCGATAAACATTGTTCTTGGACATACTAGAAGTCCTTTAATGCTAGACAAAAGAATTCAGACTTAGACCTATTAGCAATAGAGGCAGTAGAGTTGGGGGTGGGGTTTAGGATTGGAATTGGGAAGGACTAAAAATTTTTGAGAAGAGAATAATGTGACCCTACCAGTTTAGAAATCAATGTAGGCAGTTAGGTTTATCACTTAGCTACATGACCTTGGAAAAGTGAACTAACCTCTTTATTCCTCAGTCTCCTCATTTGAAAATAAATATGACTGCATTTACTTTAAATTTTTTGTTTTACTATTTTTATTATTGTTAAATGAGATTATATCTATATAAAAGATTCAGAACAGTGACTGGCAAACAATAAACATTCCCAAAATAACAGTTATTTAAAAAATAATCATTTGCAAACTAATTTTTGACTTTTTTTGTTATAGATACACTGGTTTTCCTTATGCCATTTTACCTAGGCAGCATTTTATTTCTACAGATGGGCTATGGGCTCAGGACATCTATTGATTCTTTTATATTTTTCTGTCAGTCCCAAAAGAAATTATGGAGTGGGAAGAGTTTGCCACATAAAACCCCAACCACCCATTTGCCTTTTTCTCTGCTCCTGGAATATCTCCTACAATCTCCACGATTTTTAACCCTACTTTTTTTCTGCTGAAGGACTCCAGCCTCCAGCTCCAAACCCAGTGTTCCACACATGGACTTTCCTCTCCATCCTGCCTAATACCAAAATATGGTTGTCTCTGTTTCTACTTACCTCCCAAACACTGAAATATAGCTGTCCCTTTTATTCTCACACAGCTATTAAATATTTTAATCCTGTACAAACTCATTTCTATGACTTTTTTTTATTATAGATACATTGGTTATTTTTTTTATGACATTTTCCCTAAGCAACATTTTATCTCTACAACTAGGCTATGAGCTATAGGCACTGTGTAACGCTAATCTGATAATTTCAGGTCACTAACAGTTGAAAATTGATTAAATATGCTAATCCTCTGGGATATTTATAGTTTTAACATAGGGGCTCTTGAACTTGGCAATGCCTTAACTTGATCATTTCCAAACTGCTAAAAAGGAGGGGAAGTGGAGGGCTAGAAAGCAGGATTCCCCTTCCATTTTTTAACTCCTTAATGATCGGAAGTGCTGTATACTCCTGTAACATTTCAAAAGGTTTTTGAGGTCTGTGCACACACACAGTTATTTCTATTTTTATTTTGAGACAGGGTCTTGCACTGTCACCCAGGCCGAGTGCAGGGACACCAACATGACTTACTGCAGCCTCAGCCTCCTGGGCTCAAGTGATCCTCCCACCTCAGCATTCCCAGTAGCTGGGGCCGCAGGCATGCACCACCATACCTGGCTAATTCGTTTTATCTTTTGTAGAGACAGGATCTTGTTATGTTGCCCAGGCTGGTCTCTTAACTCCTGGCCTTAAGCAATTCTCTCACCTTGGCCTCCCAAAGTGCTGGAATTACAGGCATGAGCCACTGTAGTTGGGCTGTTTTTATTAATAGTAGGATTTCAGGCATTGGAGATTTCTGGTCAGGGAGGCTTTCTGTCCTTCCTACCCTGAAGTATTAGTACAGGATTCTGCACTCAATGAGTATTTGAAGAATTGAAAAATGTTCTATTAAAAGTTCCTGCCTATCTGTATGAAACTTTATCTTGGCTTTCTCAAGTTAATTCAGATTTTGTCAAGATACAGCCATCTTGACAGTTGGGATTATTTTTCCACTCTCAAAAGCACAAACTAAGACTTTTTTTGCTGCTAGATCTTCATACTCCACTCTCATCTGAGCCTTACAGACACCAGGAAGCATTTTAGAAGTGTGATCTAAGCATTACTTTAAGGATGGGCCCCAGCCACTAAAAGGATCTGCCTATAGGTGGTAGCCTGTAGGCAGCAGGCCTCTTTGGAAGCATTTCTTCTCTGAGGGGAACCACCCTCACCTCTATCTCCATTATTTCCTTTGGTGTCTTCAACTGAATCTAAATCTCCAGGTCTTGTTTTCATTTGCCTAAAATGAATATAAAGGTCTTAATTTTATAGCTACCACTATACCTGCTTACCATCTATTTAGAGAGAAAAGAGACATATGTACATTAGCCAGGAGCAGTGGCTTATGCCTGTAATCCCACCACTTTGGGAGGCCAAGGTAGATAGATCCTTTGAAGTCAGGAGTTTGAGACATACGTATATAAAAGAGCCGGCAGCATAAATAATACTATACCAAAAGTTCACGCATTTAAAAGTAAGGTCTCTGAGGGGAACCACTCTCAGAGAAGAAAAGCTTACAGCAGGGCCTGCTGCCTACATGCCAACCTAGAGCTGATCAGAGGAAAGTCTCAGGAAGCAAGCAGCCAGTCAAAGGGGTACAGTAAGCATGTTCTGCCAATAAAGATTACCATTCCTTCTTAATGATTTATTGATTCCCCCTTTCCTGAATGAAGTCTGCTCTATTTCCCCACTTACCCCTTTCAAATAAGAGGTTTACGTTCCTCCCTCCTAAACTTTCTCTCCCCTAAAACATTTTCTGGATACATTAAGCTGCCATTCCACATCTTCTATTTTTTTCCTTGAAGAACAGTAATGATGCTTCCAAGACCTACTGGTCATTGGCTCCACAGACAGCTGCTATAGGCAGCCTGGACTTTAAAAATATCCCAACCTTGGAGAGATTTGGTTTGGGAGGGACTCTAGGGTCTAACCGTGCTGGTCCTCAGTGACAGAGAAGTCTCACAGGATTTTCCAGTACTTGACCTACAAATAGATTTCACAGTGTAGCATTAAGTTTGTTTCCCACATATCCATGTCTAGGTGACAACCATAGGTGACTGATGGTGCATTACTCCTGAATTTTTTTAAAAGGAAGCATGGCTCCAGGTACTACAGCTATGATCTACTTATATTTCACTACCCCATATCCTTTTTTGGGGAGACAGGTCCAATGGTCAGAACTAATGCCCCTTGCAAACAGGTCTCCTTGAGTTTTAACAGTTACATTGGATAAAGGTGATGTTAGAACTAGGACTTAGTAAAGGACCAAACTACAAGTTTAATGCCTACTCTTTCTTCTGTTTAAATCTGAGAAAAGTCTTATGTGGTTTTAACTCTGCCATTTTCACAATTACACTGAAAAATGATGCTGTTTCATATATTCTCTAGCTAATATGATTCAACATTTGTAAAGTAAACCAGTAATACAAAATACATGTAAAAATATACTCACCTCTATCTCCATTATTTCCTTTGGTGTCTTCAATTGAATCTAAACAATCAATAAGGACTTCTCCAGGCCTTGTTTTCATTTGCCTAAAGTGAATATAAAGGTTTGATTTTTATAGCTACAACTATACCTGCTTACAATCTATTTAGGGAGAAAAGAGACATATGTACATAAAACAGCCAACAGCATAAGTTATATTGTACCAAATGTTCATTCATTTAAAGATAAGGTCTTCAAGAACTTCGAGAACCTAAAGATCAGTGGGGCCTGGAGTAACCAGGGCCATCTGGACTAAGTCAGATGAGTAGGAGGTACAGAATTTTGAAAAATGAAAAGAGAATCCATGATTAAAGGCCAGGAAAAAGAAATAGTAAGGACATGTGAGAAGACTGGCCAAGCCAGAGAAGGACCATATTGGGAGGTAGTGAGAGAAATACTGTTGGATAACTAAGGAGGAACCAGACTATAGAGAGCCCAGAATGCCAGCCTGATAGGTTTAGGCCTTATCCTGTGGACAGGAGAGAACCCCCAGAGGTTTCTAAGTAGAGGAAAGGACATCAGGAAATTATGGAAGGAATGGTTAAAGAAGAGCTGTATGAAAAGCATCTTCGGAACTTGGCAAATTGATACAGGTGAAAAGGAAATAAAGGCAGCTTGCTGACTGATAGAATACATTCTACAGTAAGTATCAAAAAACCCCAGCAAGTATCTAGTAGAGCCTTCTAATATACTCTCCATAGAGCCAACTCAATCACCTGTTGAAAATACAGATTCATTTCCCTGCTTAAAAGCCTTCCATGTCCTCCTGCTGCCTAGAAGTTTAAGTCCAAAATCCTGAGCTAAAAATGTCACAATCTGGCTAATTCATCTTTCTATTTGTACCTCCAACCTCTCTCTGCAGCAGACCCTGCCTTCTAGCCAGAGGTTACAACTCCAGGACTCTGCTTCTTATGCTTAATTCTTTTCTGGAATACTCTCCTCCTGTCTACCCTGACAAGGGTCCCATTCTTCAGGGACCAACTCAAATACTATAAATATTTATTCTTCTTCAAGGACTTCACCAAGCAGAATAAACTGTTCTGTTTCTATGAGTCTCAGCTTTTCGTTCATTTTTTTCAGAATGGTACTTACCACATTTATTATAGTAGTTGTCTGTGCATCTCCTGCACTAGAATAAGGGGATATAAGTATTATTTCCTATTATTTTCTGTCTCTAGCTATCAGCATAGTAACTAGCACATAGTAAGCACTGATAAATGTTTGTTAATGTTAACGAAATGGTCTTTTGTTTGCATTAAGAACCCTACAAGAATGACAGAAAATGTCATAGAAAGTCACAATACGTAATTATGGTCCGTAATTTTACGAATTCCTTTCTCTTTCATCTTCTTAAAGGATCTAACATGTTAGTATTAGATATCTAACCACTACTTAACCTGGAAAATGTATCAATATTTCATTTTTCTATCTAAGGAAGTGAGGTCTATAAGGAATGATAAGAGGTAGCTAAGCAGCTCTATGCCATTAATCCAGGAATCTTAGCTTTAGTGTTTCTCAACACTTAGTATCCCAACCTGCATTTTTCCCCCTGGATTTTGGAACAGGAGGTTTCTAATCACCTTCTCTTTAAAGAACGATAATTTCCCAAAACAGGGCTTCTACTTAAAGTATGATAATCTCCAAAAACAGGGCTGCAAAAGAGAGCTCCTTCTTCTTGGTGATTTAGATGAATAACTAGATGAAAGCTTACCAAGGACATAAAGTTTGCGTGGTTAGGAATTTTTGAAGACTGCCTACTCCCCGCCTCCCTTATTTTACAGACATGAAGACTCCAGCTTGAATGAAGACATTTGTTCAAGGGTCCACACAGTGTGTCGATATTACAGACGTAGTTTTAGAATCCTAGTTTCCTGAGCCCCTGACCTACGTTCCTTCCACGAAACTGAAATCCCAAGCTCAGGTGGGTGTATACAGGATGCCAAGCCCCGGGTGGTCCCGGTCGTGCTCCGGTTCACATTCCTGGTCTGTCCCGCAGACCAGGTTGGGGGACCGATGATCGCACGGGACCAAAACTCTGTATCCCGACGCGCTCTTGCCACGGTGCCGGCCTCTGGAAGGCCGCAGTGGCCCAACCGGCCTGGGGACTCTCGATGCGCCTACGAGGGACACAAACATCCTACCCTCGTCAGTGCGGCCAGCAGCGGGGCTGCAGGCTCCGCCCGCGGGTCCCCAACGAGCACCGCGGCGCCCTCTACAGGCCGAAGACCCCTCGAGAATCTTGGAGACTCACTGCGCGGACAGGTCGAAGCGGACATCTCGGTCCTCCCAAAGCGCATCCAGCACCGACATGTTGAATAAAGCCCGCGGCGGACCGTCTCCACAGAGGTGGAGGCCCAGCCGCGTCTTGCTGGCTCCTAGGCAGCGGGCCGCCTCTGTTGTGACGTCTACTGCGGGCGCCGAGACTCAAGCTTCCGCGAGAGTGCGCGCGCGTCGCCCAGCTGGTTCGCGTTGTTAAGCGGATTAGAGATGCGAGGCAGGGTTTACGAGTCTCGGAGAAGCTCAGCTGTCTCCGCCTTTGGGGGAGCGTCCCTGACCTCTGGGCGACCTTTCTCGCCTCCTTTAGCCGTTTTACCCTTCTCTGTATTTCTCTTCACCGTAAAGAGATTTAGATTTAAAGCTGGGCATGGTGGCTTCTTCCTGTAATCCCAACACTTTGGGAGGCCGAGGCTGGATAATCAGTTGAGACCAAAAATTCGAGACTAACCTGGGTAACATCGCGAAACTTCATCTCTACACAGACAAACCTCAAAGTTGCCAGGGATGGTGGTGCACACCTGTAGTCCCAACTACTTCGGAGGCTCAGGTGGAAGGATCTCTTGAGCCCAAGAGGTGGAGGCTGTGGGGAGCTACGATTGTGCCTCTGCCCTCCAGCCTAGCGACAGAGATATAGGACCAACAGGTCCTATATGCATATCCACGGATCTGCCTTCTGTGCGGTAACAAACCCATTACACGAAGACAGGAGAGTTTGCAGCAGGGAAAGAGTTTAATGATTGCAGGGTATCTAGCAAAGGATGGGAAAAGACCTTCAAATCCATCTTCCGAATAGTTCTGGGCTGAGGTTTTTACAAGGATCACAGAGGGTGAGGGGCTGGAAAATTGGGGTCGTTGATTGGTCAGAATAAGGGAGATGAAATCATCATGATAGGGAAACTTCATTCTTTGCTGAGTTAGTTTCTCATGGGGTTCCTCAGACCAGCTGGCATCAGTGGGATCTTTCAGGCCAGCTGGGCAGTAGTTTCATTGGTATCCAGGATCTGAAAGACTGTCTCAAAGGGAAAACTTAGTATTTCATAATGTTCAAGTTGTTCTCTCTAGAGCAATGGAAGAGAACTATAATCTTGTGACAGGACAGTAGGCCCCAAACAACTGTGAGGAAGCAGGTCAGAGAGGAAGCTGACCTCATGATTAATGCCAAATTGGCTGCAAGCTTGGTTTATTTTTGTCCCCCCCACCAACCAATTTGTTTCCTGATTAATTTTATAAAGTTTATAGGAATGGTTTTAGAATGACGGGAAAAAAAGGAAATTTGGACTTAAAACTTCAAATTCCTTACCTGGGCCTAGCTCAATCTGGCCCTACCCACCTCCTCTGTGACCTCAAATCACCCTCACTTCTGGCTGCTCTTTTGCCAGACTGGGCTCAGAGATTTTGGAGGGCCCCCTTTCTTTGTCTGGAACATTGTTTCCCCGGACCTCTGCATAAGCCTGCCCTTTGTCACTTAAATCTCAGCTTGGGCTGGGAATGATGGCTCATGCCTGTAATCCTAGCATTTTGGGAGGCCGAGGTGGGTGGATCACCTGAGGTCAGGAGTTCGAGACCAGCCTGGCCAATATGGTGAAACCCTATCTTTACTAAAAATACAAAAAATTAGCCGGATGTGGTGGCAGACACCTGTAATCCCAACTCCTCAGGAGCCTGAGGCAGGAGAATCACTTGAGCCTGGGAGGCAGAGTTTGCAGTAAGCCGAGATCACACCACTGCACTCCAGCCTGGGCAACAAGAGTGAAACTCCATTAAAAAAAAAAACAAAACAGCCGGGCGTGGTGGCTCAAGCCTGTAATCCCAGCACTTTGGGAGGCCGAGGCGGGTGGATCACAAGGTCAAGAGATCAAGACCATCCTGGTCAACATGGTGAAACCCCGTCTCTACTAAAAATACAAAAAATTAGCTGGGCATGGTGGCGCGTGCCTGTAATCCCAGCTACTCGGGAGGCTGAGGCAGGAGAATTGCCTGAACCCAGGAGGTGGAGGTTGCGGTGAGCCGAGATCATGCCATTGCACTCCAGCCTGGGTAACGAGAGCAAAACTCTGTGTCAAAAAAAAAAACAGCTCAAATGTGAACTCCAGCTGTTTCTGATCCTTCTACCCCACCTGCTGTGAACAACCTGAGGACAGACACCTGATCTATCTAGTTGACCACTCTGAGTAGGACCCAGTAAATACTTCTTGAATGAATCAAAGTCCCTTTTCTCAATGCATGACAATTCTTTAAATTAGTGGTTCACAAAGACTGATCCGGATCACTTCGGGGGGCCCACAAGGTCAAACTATATTCATAAGAATATGAAGACATTATTTACCTTTTTAAACTCTCATTCATATATAGTGCAGTTTTCCAGAGGCTATATAATTTTTTTTTAACAGGATCTCACTCGGTTACCCAGGCTGGAATGCAGTGGCATGATCATAACGCACTCTAATCTCAAGCTCCTGTTCTTAGGTGATACTCCCCAGGTAGTCCTGGCTAATTTTATTTTATTTTATTTGTAGAGACAGGGTCTCCCTGTGTTTTGCTGGCTGGTCTCGAACTCCTAGCCTCAAGTGATCCTTCTGCCTTAGCCTTCCAAAACACTGGGATTATAGGCATGACCCACCATACCCAGCCATGATGATTGAATGTGGAAGCACTTATAAGTATCCTGCTGCCTTTTATTAAACCAAGCATTTAAAAATTGCAAAAATGTAAAGCAATGTTCTCATAAATTTTCTGGAAAAAATATTTTTTTAATGCTATACATGTTAATACATAATAAGTTATTGTTACCTTTGAATGAATGAGTATTAAAACCCTCAGTATTAATATATATAACATGTAAATAAAAGGTCTTCTAGCTTCTCAATAATGTTTTTAAGAGGATAATGGGGTCCCAAGACCAAAAGTTTGATAACTGTAGCTTTGAATTATTATTTAGAGCTCCTATGTGTCAGTCTATAGGCCAAATACTAGGAATACTAATGTGAAAGGCCATGAGGTATTTTTCTCAGATTGAAGAGGGTAATGGAGACAAAAGAGCATGAGTGTACACATATTAAGGGGGACTCCAATGAGTCATACCCTTGTATTATCTCCTCCCCATGAGTGTGGTTGGGACCTGTGAATTTGCTTCTAGCCAATAGAATATGGCAAAGGTGATGAAATGTCATTCCCATGACTGCTTTGTTATAAAAGACTTGGTCTCAGCCAACTGGAGTGAGAAAGACCCTCCCGCTTGCCTTGAAGAAGCCAGTTGCTAGGCTGGGCTGGGTGGCCCATGCCTGTAATCCCAGCACTTTGGGAGGACAAGGCAGGTGGATCACCACAGGTCAGGAGTTTGAGACCATCCTGGCCAACATGGTGAAACCCTGTCTCTACTAAAGATACAAAAATTAGCCAGGCATGGTGGCAGGCACCGGTAATCCCAGCTACTTGGGAGGCTGAGACAGGAGAATGGCTTGAACCTGGGAGGTGGAGGTTGCAGTGAGCAGAGATCCCGTATTGCACTCCAGCCTGGATGACAAGGGTGAAACTCCATCTTAAAAAAAAAAGGAAGCCAGCTGCTATGATAAGAATTAGTACCAGAGCCCTTCATCCTCTAGGTGCAAAGAACTGAAATTTGTCAACAATCTGAATGAGCTTGGAAGTGGATCTTTCCCAGGTTGAGCTTCTGATGAGGCTAAAGTCTTAGGAAATATCTGGATTGCAGCCTGGTAAGACCCTGAAGTGGAGAACACAGGTAAGCTGTGCCTTTACTTCTGGACTGCATAAATGATAATAACTGTCTTGTTTTAAGTTGCTAAGTTTGTGGTACTTTATTAGGGAGCAATAAAACACTAATACAAATGTGGGCCAGGTGCAGTGGTGTGCACCCGTAGTCCCAGTTACTTGGGAGGCTGAGTCAGGAGGATCACTTGAGCCCAGGAGTTTGAGGCTGCAGTCAGCTATTGATTGCGCTACCACAATCCAGCCTGGGTGACAGAGAGAGACTGTGTCTTTGGGCAGGAAAAATCGTAGAATTGGCTTTGGAACTAGTGAGCAAGCAGGAGCTTTTAGAGCTAGCAAAATCATATTGGTAGTAAGCAGGCTGATAAAATTAATCAAACATGTGCTACCTTCCATGAAAAAGCAAGGATGACTCACAATGGAACCAAGAGCCCAAAGGGTAGGTTGAAAGTCAAGGAAGATTATTCCCAGATCTTAAAACTTAATAAAAATCCAACATTTGTCGAGGTGACATTAGAATTGTTATACACCAGTGACTCATTGTTACCTTCCATTTCCTTTCCCCATTTTTGTATTGCTATGGCTGTAACTGTTATCCTATTTCAGTCCCACCATTGTGTGATGGAGTGTTGGGAGCAGACTTGTCTCTAGTTTCACAAGTCCACAGAAAGGAATTGTGCTTTCAAGAACTGAGCTTGATCGATTACACCTAGGCTCATCTGCACCAGATATAGATAATTCAGATGATAAGCATTTGGACTTTGAGCTTGTGCTGTAAGAAGATGGGGGAAACCTTGGGAGGGAGGAAGTCTTTTTTCCCTTTGGAAGGAACACAAATTGTTGGAGGCCAAGAGGGCTACTGTGGTAGGCAGAATTCTAAATGACCCCTAAGATTCTTGCTTTCCTGGTGTACATGCTTTATATAATCCTTCTTTCTTGAGTGCAGAAGAATCTGTGAATATGATAGGATATCAGTCCTTGTGATTAGGTTATGTTATATGCCAAAGGTGAAGTAGTTTTGGAGATATGATTAATGTCCTTTAAAGTAATGGAAAGACAGATTATCCTTGCTGGCCTGATCTTATCAGGTGAGCCTTTTAAAAAGAGTCTCCTGCTGGCTTTGATGAAATAAAAGCCATGTTGTGAGAGAGCCATATGGCTAGGAACTGAGAGACAGTAAGAAAACAGAGACTCTAGTCATTTACCCACAAAGAACTGAATTCTGCCAGCAACCTGAATGGGTTTGATGAGATATTCTTGCCCGAATCTTTACTCTGGGTGAGACCTTGAGCAGAGACCCAGTCTGCATTCCTGACCCACAAAAACTGTGAGGTAAGACCGGGCACGGTGGCTCAAGCCTGTAATCCCAGCACTTTGGGAGGCCGAGGCGGGTGGATCACAAGGTCAAGAGATCAAGACCATCCTGGCCAATATGGTGAAACCCTATCTCTACTAAAAATACAAAAAGAAATTAGCTGGGCGTGGTGGCATGCGCCTGTAGTCCCAGCTACTCAGGAGGCTGAGGCAGAAGAATTACTTGAACCCAGGAGGTGGAGGTTGCAGTGAGCCGAGATCACGCCACTGTTCTCCAGCCTGGCGCCTGGCGACGGATCGAGACTCTGTCTCAAGACAAAACAAAACTATGAGGTGATACATTTGTGTGTTTTAAAACTTTTTTTTTTTTTTGAGGAAGGGAGGGATGAAGGAAGGGAGGAAGCGGGGAGGGAGGGAAGGAATGAGGGAAGGGAAGGAAGGAATTCAAGCAATGAGAGAGACATTGCCGACCTGGATCTAGAGGTTTACAAGTTGCATTCTTTTTTTTGAGTGAAGGAAAGAAGAAAAAAATGAGTAAAGGAGAGGAAGAAAGAGGAAGAGAAAGAGGGAGAGTGAGTGGAAATATTGCTTTATTCTTAAAAAAAAATGGGTATTAATAATGGCCAATCAATGTTTCATTTAAACCTATGAGTACATGTGATGTGGTATTGACTAGAATGTTTATTTTGTGTATTTGAAATGGAGAGCTCTATAAATATTTATTAAGTTTACTTGTTCTGGATCTGAGTTCGAGTCCTTGATATCCTTATGAATTTTCTGTCTCATTGTGTCTGAGTCTCTATGTATCTGGGTGTTAGGATTGTTAGCTCTTGTTGTTGCATTGATCCTTTTACCACTATATCTTTGTTGCTTTAAAATCTATTTTATCCGATACGAGAATTGCAACTCCTGCTTTTTATTTATTTATTTTTGCTCTCCATTTGGTTGGTAAATCTTTCTCCATCCCTTTGTTTTGAGTCTTTGTGTATCCTTGCCTGTGAAACAGGTCTGGATGTAACATGCCATTGGGTTTTGGCTGTCTTTTGATTGGGGGATTTAGTCGATTTAAATTTAGGGTTACTGCCATTTGATGTTAACTGGCTGTTTTATCCATTCATTGGTGTAAATTCTTCTTTATGTTGGTGCTCTTTACTTTTTGGTATATTTTTAGAAGGGCTGATACTGGTTGTTTGTTTCTGTGTGTAATGCCTCTTTCAGAAGCTCTTGTAAAGCAGGCCTGGTGGTAATAAAATCTCTGAGTACTTGCTTGTTCATAAAAGATTTTATTTTTCCTTCAGTTGTGAAGCTTAGTTTGGCTGGATATGAAATTCTGGGCTGAAGGTTCTGTTCTTTGAGGATGTTGAATATTGGCCCCCACTCTCTTCTGGCTTGTAGAGTTTTTGCTGAGAGATCTGCTGTAAGTCTGATAGGCTTGCCTTTGTGGGTAACCTGACCTTTCTCTCTGGCTGCCCTTAGTATTTTCTCCTTCGTTTCAACCCTAGTGAATCTAACGATTATGTGCCTTGGGGTTGCTCTTCTTGAGGAATATCTTTGTGGTGTTCTCTGTATTACCTGGGGTTGAATATTGACCTGCTTTGCTAGTTTAGGAAAATTTTCCTGAATAATTTCCTGAAGGGTATTTTCCATCTTGGATTCATTCTCTCCGTCGCATTCAGGTACACCTATCAAACTTAGATTTGGTCTTTTCACATAGTCCCACATTTCTTGGAGACTTTGCTCATTCCTTTTTATCCTTTTTTCTCTAATCTTTTCTTCGCATTCTATTTCATTAAGTTGGACTTTGACCTCTGATATCCCTTCTTCTGCTTGAACAATTCGAGTATTTAAACCTGTGCATACTTTTCGGAGTTCCTGTATTGTATTCTTCAGTTCCATTATTTCACTCATACTCTTCTCTAAGTTGTCTATTCTCAATAGGATTTCATCAGACTTTTTTTCAAAGTTCCTAGTTTCTTTACGTTGGGCTACAACATGTTCTTTTAACTCACTGAAGTTTGTTATTATCCATTCCCTGAAGCGATATTCTAGCATTGGGATGCGCTCATTCTCCATCAAGCCTTGTTCCATTGTTGATGTGGAGCTGTGATCATCTTTAGAGGGAGAGGCGTTCTGACTTTCAGTATTTTCAGCTTTTTTATGCTGGTTTCTTCCCGTCATTGTAAGTTTATCCTCCTGTGGTCTTTGAATTTACAAACTTTCAGATTAGGTCTCTTGAGTGGGCGTCCAGGTTGTTAGTTCCCAGGGCCAGAGCAGTGGCGTTAAAACTGATGGTGCTTTTCTGCCCAGGATTCTCTTGTCTGGCTTCCTTCTTGTGTCCGTAGTAGGCGACTCTGCCTTCCTGGGGCTCCAAACCTCGGTCAGAAGGGGAGCCGGTCCCGTTTACTCTGCGCCGAGCGCTGCCGCGCCGAGGTGCAGTCACAGCCGCTGCGCCGGGCTCTGGTGTCGTGCTGGGGGCCCTTGTGGGTCCTCCAAACCTGTTTACTCTGCTCCGAGAGCTGCCGCGCCAACGCGCCGGGGGAACCGATGTGCCAGCCACGAAAGTCGCGCTGGCGACCCGTGTGATTCCTCCACTGGGGATCTTCTGCTCCGTGAGTGACCAGAATTTGTCTGAAAGTGTGGCGTCGTCCAGTTCTCCGCACCTTCACTGAGAGCTGCAGTCCTGAGATGTTAGCGATCGGCCATCTTGGATCGGTCCCTTAAACTTCTAAGATTGTAATAATTTACTATGCCGCAATGTTAATATCACAGTGGAACCTTTGAAATGACTGGGGGAAGACAATGACAACCTGTTATTCATCAATATGCATATAACTGACATTCACGTACTTTTAAAATTAATATACTTGGATGGGTGAGGTGACTCACACCTGTAATTTCAGCACTTTGGGAGGCTGAAGTGAGCAGATCACTTGAGGCCAGGAGTTCAAGACCAGCCTGGCCAACATGGCAAAATTCTGTCTCTGCTAAAAATGCCCCCCAAAAATGTAGCTGGACGATGGTGGTGCATGCCTGTAATTCCAACTACTTGGGAGGCTGAGAAACCCCAGGAAACGGGGGTTGCATTGAGCCAAGATTTCTTCATTGCACTCCAGCCTGAGTGAAAAGGGGAGATTCTGTCTCTAAATAAATAATAAATGAACTAACTTTATTTTTTAGGTAAATGTTAGGTTTACATAAAAATTGAGTAGAAAGTACAGAGTCCCATGTATCCCCTCCCCTATCCTAGCTTCTCCTCTATGATTAGCATCTTGCATCTTGCAATGTGTGGTACAGTTGTTGCAGCTGATGAACTAATATAGATAGGTTATTATTAACGAAGATCCATCGTTTGCATTAGGGTTCACATTTTTCTGTCTTACAGTCTATGGATTTTGACAAATACGTAATGACATGACGTGTCCACCATCACTGCATTGTACGGAATAGTTTCATTGTCTTAAAATATCCCCTGTGCCCCACCTATTCATCCCTGCCTTCTGCCCCCTAGACTTCTGGAAAGCACAGATCTTTTTACTGTCTCCATAGTTTTGCCTTCTACAGAGTGTCATATGACTGGAATCCTATAGCATGTTGCCTTTCCAGATGGGCTTCTTTCACTTAGTGATATGCATTTAAGATTCCTCCATGTCTTTTCAAGGCTAGATAGCTCATTTCTTTAAATCACATTCATCTTTTATT